TCCCATTTTTATTGTATTTGTAACATTTAACTAATATATATTAATATTACTATTGCTTTTTATTAACTTTGTTGATACTTTTTGTGTTTATATATCGTCTGGTCCACCACAAGTCGTAGTGTTAACTCCTTTTTGGTATATTATTGGTAATCTTGTGTATTGTTATATCTTGAATAAGCTCTTTTGCTGAGATCCACCACACTGATCAGTAATTACTAAAAATAATAAAGATAGCTAGCACATGCGATCACTATAAGCTAGGAAAATGGAGAATAATCTAATAATTTAACAGAATTTCTTAAGCGTTCATGCTGCATACAGGCAATACCCTATGTACAATGCTTAAACTTTCGTTGCAACACAACGTGGAGCTACTACAAATTCAGCATAATAATTAAACAGATTGAAGAAGCTGTTAGTTTATGTGTAGAGATTGTTCCACATGCAAAGATAAAATCACAACAGTCAACTTGACTATTCACGTATACTTATCGCTTCGAGTTTTATAAATCATCTGTATTAATATGTATATGTACTCAAACATCTTTCAGAGCTTCCTTATAGCAGATGTAAAGAATCAGTCGCTGTTGATTTTGTCGACGGTTCTGAACACCTAGTTAAATTTGGTTCAGCTCACTTATCAGACATGATTGGTTCACGTAAACGCTATAATTTTGCAGTGGCTGACGCAGGTCAATTTGCTACAGAGTGAGAACATGTAATTTAGAATTGAATTGAGGTTACTTCATTAAAATTCATAATTATCATTCAGTAAACATTGGTAATTATAATCTTTACAGGATTGCACGTTCAATGTCATAGTTTTATTCGATAAAAATATTTGCTTTTCGTTATAATTCGTTTGAATCAATTTCCATTTTGCTTGTCCGGATAATAACCGTATCGTGCCTTCACTACTGTTCGCCGACCTCTCTAATCGCGCCAACTACAGGGTCAACAGGAGAACGGTATTTTGACAACGCAGAAAGTATATCAATATGATGAAATTTACAGTTCAACCTGATTCAAGTATCGTTACAGAAGACATTTGGACGCAACAAGCTGTTACCGGCATTGTTCCAGGGTTTTTTTATTTTCAGATGTACGGGATATATTGATAGACTGCTGGGTGTACCTCGAGATTGTGGCTAAGTGCCATATTACTGCCGTGAGTAAATTAAGACTCACAATATTTCCGATTGAACACCTCACATTATTTAACCAAAAAGTGATTAGGGTGATGGGGAGATCGATATTTCTGTTGAGTTAATTAGGAATAGAATAAGGAGTGCCTCCAAATAATCAGATTTTTCGACTCGACAGTTGAGCTTAGGTGGTTTTTCAGAATAGATCAATAAAGAAGACATGTGGTAGTTGATATTGAAGAGGCCTTCTTTAGGGTGTTATCCCGAAAATATTTCACATTGTTGCCTCCGTTAATAATTCGCTTGACTCAACCTTTCAATTTTGTTTGGTAGTTGTGGTGGGTCCGAACAAAGTTCTTCGAATTGAGGCTTGTGAATGGGACATAAGCACAGGTCTAACAAGGAAGGTCGAAATGATATGACTGATCTAAGGCCCAAATGAAAATAATTTTTCAATATGGTTTAACCGCTCATTCATTTATAGGACCAGTGAAATATCACTGAGATCTAGCCAAATCATCCGGCATTTGGGCTATTGAATGACGAACAGCTCATTGATTATCAACAAGATGAAGGAAAAGCAATGCGCATCAGTTCATCGCATATCATGGACTGACCCATGTGGTGGTGGTTGCAATCTCTTCCTTGTACCTAGTCTTAATAATATATTTCTGTAATGACATCTACGTAGCAGTAAATACATTTCCAAAGTAAATAATTCTGTATACCTTCAACATTGATGCTGACCTCATTAGTTCTAATGGACTCGTCCTAGTTGGAAGCAATAGGTCACGCATCCACACTAGATCACTGTTGAGTTTGCCATTATACGCATGTACCAAGACTCTGTCAAACCTTGAATATCTGCTACGTAGACATATTTTCTTTAGGAACAGAAGTGATATGTAAAGGGGTGTAAGTCACACTAAATGTGTGAGTCAATGAAGTAGATAGTCTGTGTCGAATGTTTGGGAGTGTAGCGGTAAATAAATCCTGAAAGAAATGTTAAGAATAGGTAAGAGGACCGAGGACAGTGTTGAACACTGTCCATGTAGACTCCTTAAGGTAATCCTAGGAACGGAGAAGCAACGTGATCTTTTGTTAAGGAGCACTCGTAGTCACGATAATTCTGACATTCGAGTGAAACCTGATATGTCCCTGGAAAATAGAATAAAAAGGAAGAACTAGAAACTCGTCGAGAAAACGGCGAGGAATTTCTTCGGTCAATGGGTTTTCGGATAGTCAGGTCTTGGAAGCGAATGCTACCAAGGCCTGTGTAGATAGACCATTCTCCCTGGGAGCTGTACATGCCAACGCTCTTAGTCCAAGAAACAAATTCTATGGACGGGAAGCATTCGTGGAAAATTTAGGGCCGCTTATTGTATCAGTGACAGGGACTTGGTTAGTTCATGAATTAAAAATGACTCCAGAATTACCCGGATACCACTACCTAAGAAGTGATAGGAAAGAAGATAAAGGAAAAAAAAGTGGTGTCCCTTTATACATTGCCAATAATATAAATATCTGCTCCTCTGCTAACGAATCACATGATAGTGGAACTTGTGAAGTCATTAGTTGTGAACCGGCCGTCGGATGCGATACATTTATACTCGTTGTCATCTATCACAGCCCAATCTGCTTAACTGATGACTTTATATTAGAGCATATTCAGCTATGGAGGGCAAATAACAGATGCTTGATAATAGGAGACTTTAATGCGCCTGATATTAGTTGGACTGAGATGACCACGGAATGATTTATGAACTCCTTTGATAGTAGGTTCCTGATAACAGTAATGGAGCGTGCATTAGTACAGCATGTATTCAAACCCACACGTTTTGATGCAAACCAAGATTCTTCTTTGTTGGACTTGGTAATCACTGAGGATATTGCCAACTTAAATATTCTTCCATCGTTAGTGAATAACGACCACGCTGTTTCGTCATTCACGTTTAGAATTAGTGACATGATATATGATCAGGTTAAACCCCGCCAAATGGTATGGAGAGCTAATATATCAGCCATCCAGGAGTGAGCTGCTAAAACAGATTGCTATGTAGCTACTAGCTTATCAGTTAAAGAAGGATGGTCTGTATTTGAAGGCAAATTTAGTTCAATTACATCCTCGTTTATACCATGCCCCGTAACACGTAAACCGAACGACTATCCATCATGAATAACTAAACAAATCAAGAACCTATTTAGAAGAAGGTTAAAGCACCGGAATATGTTCATATCTACTAGCTTAGAACAATACATGTCAAGTTATTGTAAGATTAGCAATGCCTGTAAAGCGTTAATAAGTAAGACTAGACGATCATATGAAAAACAATTGGTTAGGGATTCTTGATATAGTCCGAAACAGTAATTTTCGTATATGAAAAGGCGAGCTCAGAGAAGCGATGGAATTCAATCACTTTTGACGCAAGAATATACGTGAATCTTGGCAAGAAATGATACAGAAAAAGATGAAGCTTTATCGGAATATTTCAGTAGTGTTTTCTATCAGTAATGAAGAACGACCAACGATTCATTTTGATTGTTGTGACTCGCTGTTGGACCCTGTAGTCATTAAGAAGGGTACTGTCTTAAGGCTACCTCAGCATATCAAACCTGACAAGTCCAGTGGTCCTGATGATATTCATCCTAGGATTATGAAAGCCATATCAGACGTAATTGCTGAACTATTAGCGATACTATTTCATATGTCTCTGAGGCATTCCAGATTCCCCAGAGACTGGAAAAACGCGATAATAAGTCCGGTATATAAGGCTTGGAGTAGTAACTACAGACCCGTTGGCTCAACTAGTGCGGTTGTAAAACTGATGGAAAAAATCATTCGGATATCTGCTATAAACTATGTTGAAAGGCATAGTCTTTTATTCAGAGAAAAACATGGTTTTCAGAGAGGCCTATCATGTTTGACAAATCTTCTCATTGCAAGACAAGATTGTGCTGCGGTAAAAGACCGGAATATTCCTGTAGATGTGGTCTTCATAGATCTAAGTAAGGCTTCCCATTCTGGTCTTAAATTCAAACTGGAACGTTTGGGAATCCATTATACAGTCATTGACTAAATAAGTGACTCTCCATGACAGGAGACGAAGTGCAAAGGAAAATGGAGCTCTCTCTTCTCGTAGGTACCTGTAAAAAGTGGGGTTCCTCAAGGTATAACCCTCGGTTTTCTCCTCTTTTTACTTTATGTAAATGAATTGCCAACTATAGCGAAATCATCCGTTCTACTCTTTGCTGATGACGTAAAGATTTGGAGACCCGTATACAGCGTGTCAAATAGAATAGTATAACAGAATGATCTTAGCTCATTGGTGGCATGGATGAACAGGTGGTCACTAGAAGTAAATTCCAACAATAGTGTGGTGATGCAATTAAATAACTATCATGAACCGTATCACTATACAGTGTGTGGACACGTGCTACTCAAAGTAAGAGAATATAAAGATTCAGGAGTCATATTAAGCAGTGATCTCAAAACCACTATTCACTGTGAGGTTGCTGCTGCTAAAGGGCTATAGGATATTATGGTCTATTCCAGTGTTTAGATGACGAAATATTTAGATTATTGTACCGGATTTACGTGTGACCACATTTAGAATATGGGATTCGAGCAGCGAGTCTTTTTTTCAAGTATGAAGCAGATATTTTGGAAAGAGTCGATTGACGAGGGACTAAGATGGTGAAAGGTCCATCTGGTCTATCTTATGAAGACAGACTGAGACACCTTAACTTATTTAGTTATCTTACCGTAGAATACGTGGTGATCTAATATTGGCTTATCATATACTAAACGATGACCTTGGTATTAACATATCTTATCTTTTACTTTTGTCTAGGATTGATTATTTGAGAGGACATTCGAAGAAAGTTCAAAAGCCGAGATCAAGTCGTTTAAGTTTGGAGTTTTGTTTCTCGCACCGAGTAATGAATTACTGGAATTCCCTACCGGACCATGTAATATCAGCACCTTCTGTTTATATATCCAAAGCGAGATTGAACCTCCACATTATTACAAACTGCAAGTATTAATATAGGTCGATAAACTTTCAATCCTTCTTACTATAAACGGAAGACTATATTTTTCTCTATTCAGATCTAATAAGGAAGAAATACGAACTACATCTAGGTCGCCATCATAATAACCAGCTTAACATCCTAAGAAACGGACATTTCGCTGTTTCTACCTAATAATGTTTGCGTTTTGAATATCCAAGTTGCTGTGTGGATTTTGAGTTTCGCGTTACTGTTGATGAAGTCAATAAGCGACTCGGGTGGGTATGTGTCGTTTGGTCTCCCAGAGTTTGAAAACTCTCAAAAAACCAGCGGATTTCTGAAAAGATTTGTGAATAGATTGACAAGTAGTACTGCACTTCGCACAAAGGATGCTAAAAATAAATTTCAGTCCACAGAAGTCCCTCAGATATCAGCTGATAGTGTAAGTTTGTTGTAAGTGTTTGGGTAGTCTTTGGAAACAACCTAGATTATTTTGTGCTATTGGTTCTGAAACTCTTGGATAGGCTTCGCATGCATCGTCAGTACATCATTAATGATTTTTTAAAATGTAAAATCTGTCTGTTTATTCGGTTTAGTTTTCACTGTTACCATGTTGTATTATGCACTTCTAAATCAAGCAGTTAAATAAATCTGAGAATTCATTACAAGGAAATAGGGAATCGCGCAAGGTTTTCATTTTTTGGTGACTAAGTATGCAGATCCTGTAACAGGAATCAAAATCACGACCAATTAATAGGTGCTTTTTAGTTGACCTTAATAAACCAGAACGAATTTCAGGTCAGCCAGTATAAAATCATAATACTTTTAAGTAGATTCTAAGTCTCTAGAGGTCACTTAGGGATTTGGAGTTGAATAGACGATGATGTAGTTGTTTAGCCTCATGGATGGAAAAGATCTCCAACAGATGCTTATGTACTAGTGAAGATAGTTTTTCAACCGTCCTTATGTCTTTTCAATGTTGTTTGTATAGATTAACATCAATGATCAATACTACAAACACTAATACGTATCAGGTGCACTTCCTTACCGAAGTTCTATTAAATGATCTCCGGAAGCGGTTTTTTCACCTTAAAGTACATTATTATCACGACCAGTGGTTATCTTGCTTATTTAAATTATGCGTGTTAACCGAAACTGACTCTTGAGATCACACCTTCCCGTTCCTACACTTTGGTTTTGCTGTTTGAAATAACCTAATTTTGGTCAAATTTATAGCATTTATTACTTTTGTTGTGTCTAACACTGGTTTGTTATGCACGATAACTTCGCTTTTTGATCAAAAACTTACGGTTCCATGCTCTTTTTATCAAGGGTCTTTAAATAGGTACTAACTTTGGCATTGGTTTGTCCTATTGTTAGATTCATCTCTTTCTGTATTGTTCCAAGCATTTAACCCTACAAGTAACATAACTTTCAAAAATCCAACTAGAAGAGTGGGACTTGTTAGTAAAATACATTATATAGTGTCTCAATGTCACTTTTTTCTCTTAACACTTAATCATGCTGGTACTGGAAGGAGTTAAAATGTATACATGACCTCAAGATCTTGCGAAAGACACATGACGTGCAGTCTATACAAATATAATTGCGTCTCTGCACTTCAGATATCACTAAAAATTATGTGTATATGCGTAGATAAATGATGCCTTTATAATATTTGGCTTGTTTGAAATATTGAAACGTCACTTAAAATATGACACTTAGAAATGCTATGTTATGAATGATTGACTTACTGTTTATCGTTTAGTGAACCAACTTCCGATTATAAAAAATTTCCTAGTAATTTTTGCTTACGCAACTTCATATGTGCACATACTAAGCCGTGTGCCCAGTAAAAAGAGATTTCTCAGCCGCGCTAGACGATTGACCGTATGCCTAAAATCATTGTGTGATCACAGTGCATGAAGAATAATTTAGTTCGCTTGTTGCCAAATGTTCGCGACATGCACATACTTTGTTCTATGAATCATCTAAAGTAGATCAAACTAATGTGCTCCACAAAATTGTATCTGCTTCCTGTTAAGTGTTTAACAGCCCCAATAATTTGTGTACCCCAGCTTCTCTGCCTTGACTAAGCATTGCATCACTATACGCGGCTTCAGTTAAGGTTTTATATTCATTTTAAACTGCTACCTCTAAATAAAACAAAATGATTACATTTTATAAATAAGTCAGTCAGTCATTAACAACGTAGAACTTCGTACGTACGTACATCAGTTCGAGTTGCCACACCACATAAGCACAGAGATGCAGTTGTCGATTCAAATCCCGTAGTGGTAGAGGTAATAAGAGTATAAGCAGTAATCGGGAAGATTAGGGTTTGGAGATGTTATTTAAAGAGTATAATCCAGTGAAATAAATTTGGAAAGAGAAAAAAGAAAGGGACATGAAGAATTCAGAAGATTAGAATTTGGGAGAACACAGAGAGTGGATGCACCAGCGCCATTGCAAACGATTTTGAGCCATGTCATTCAGGGTCTCTAACCATCGGTTGCTATCATCTCGTGGTCCCCAACCAGGTAGTCTGCACCTACCAACATGACTCAGTCCACTTGTCAGTGACTTCATGGACTTGTGCCATGTTTTGATCTGGCCGCCCCTAGCTTTCTTCCAATCTACTCCTATACCACTGAACATAGCACGTCGAGGTAGTCGGTGGTTGGGCATACGTAACACGTGTCCCAGCCACCTCAACTGATGAAGTTTCACTACTTCATCAATTGATTTGCTATCCTTACCTAGTACCCGTTTCCTAACAACTGTGTTACTTACTCGATGGTCCCAGGATATACGAGCAATGTTTCGAAGACACCTATGATCGAATACTAGCAACCTACGAATATCCTCTACTTTTACCGGCCATGTTTCACTGCCATAAAGTGGGACAGAACGAACTGCTGTGCAGTAAACGCGTCCTTTGGTTGATAGACGGATATCTCGCCTACACCATAAATGACGCAAGTTGGCAAAAGTTAGTCGAGCCTTTTGTATCCGTGCTTAGATTTCGTCACAAACCAGACCACAAGGGCTGATGAGACTTCCAAGATAAGTGAAGCGGTCGACACACTCAACTACTTCACTCCCTATCACTAGTTCGGGTGTCGATGTAACCCAATCCTGAAGCAACATTTTGCATTTCGAGGGAGAGAATCGCATCTCGAACATGCTTGCATTGTTGCTTAGAGTGGTCGAAAGACTCTGCATTTTGTCAGCGTCTTCACCAAATAAAACTATGTCATCAGCATATTCTAAGTCAACAAGTGAACCTCCCGGTAGAAGTTCAACCCCTGGAAATTTAGATGAGGAGAGTGTTATCTCTAAAAGTACGTCGACCACAAAGTTGAACAAGAATGGGGAGAGTGGACAGCCCTGACGAACACCACTTGATGTAATCAATTCTGATGACAGTTCGCCATAAGCTCTCACTCTACCAGTTGTGTTCGAGTAGAGTCTGTATAAGGTTAATGTACTTCTTTGGTACTCCTTTCAGTGACAAACACTGCCATAGAACCTCACGATCAACAGAGTCGAATGCCGCCTTAAGGTCGAGAAATACTACCATTGTGGGGCGTCTGAATGTGTGTCTGTGTTCTAGAACCTGACGTAGTGTGAATATCTGATCTACACAACCACGTCCAGGTCGAAAACCGGCCTGGTTTTCTCTAATCTGCTCTTCACGAGCTTTGATTAGGCGTCGAAGTATTATTGAGGCTAATATTTTAGACACTATATTAGTCAAACTGATTCCTCTGTGATTGTCACAGGAGGACTTATGTCCTTTCTTATAGACTGGCACAATCAATGATTGAGACCAGTCAGATGGGATTACGTCCAGTTCCCAAATTCTACCTAAGACCTCGGTTAATCTCATTGCTAATACTGGACCACCATCCTTAAAAATCTCAGGAGTAAACCTGTCAGGGCCTGCTGCTCTCCCTCGTTTCAGATTTCCTATGGCTTTTTCAACTTCGTAAAGGGACGGAGGACCTACATTAATTTGCCATTCAGGTTGACTAGAGATCGTGGGAAACCGAAGTGTGGCTGAAGGCCAGTTGAACTGACCCCTAAAGTGTTCTGCCCATCGATCCAATCTCCTGGATTGAGAATGAATAATATGTCCATCTTTCTCTGAGATTGTTTCGCTAACGGTCGGGTTCCTAATTCCGGTTTCCTTAACGAGTCTGAACAATTGTCTGCTATTACCTATTGCCGCTGTCTTTTCCATCTCTCTTGCTTTCGCTACCCACCACTGTTCGCGATCATTGCGTAGACTTTTTGTCAGCTTGCGCTTAAGCTGACTCCGATCTTCATTATGTTCAGAGCCAGGTGGAATGAGTTTCCGAGCATCTATCAGTGCGATAGATGCTGCTGAGATCCAGTGTTGCTCCCTAACCTTCTGGTTTACCTTACTAGCAGATATCACTGCTGTTTCCACAGCTTTTCGGATATCATTCCATGCTGCCTCAGGGTGGGCATCACATACATGGCTGCCTAACTGTTTTCCTAGTTGTTCCTGAAATATACTCTTAGCTTGACTATCATTAAGTAGGCCCCTAAGAGGTTTCCTTGCAGCGTCTTTCCTACGTCCAGTAAGACGCAAGCAAATACGCGCTCGCACTAGAGCATGATCTGAATCTAGGCATGTGCTCCAGAATGAGCGACAGTCTTCTATCGAGCCCCTCCATCGGTGGCTGATAGCGATATGATCTATTTGGGTCCAACGTTGGGACGAATTAGGGGGTCGCCATGTTAAAAGATGTTTTTCCTTATGCTTAAAGTTAGTATTTGCAAGGAACAGGCGGTTATCCGAGCATAGCTGCAACAGACGGTCGCCATTATCTGTTCTTTGAGCCACGACACCATAAGATCCACCTAGGTGTCTTTCCCTATCGCTTAGTTTACCTACTTGAGCATTAAAGTCACCGGCCACTATTACTACATCCGAGCGCTTAGCTTTTCGGAGAAGGTCCGAAAGCTTTCTGTAAAACTCATCTTTTACATCATCTGAGCTGCAGTCAGTGGGAGAATAGGCAGAGACGACGAAGAGGCAACGACGAGTGTCCCTATCTTTTCGGATCCTCATTGTTCCATTCAGTCGGACAGCGCACAAACGACTGTCTACTGGGATCCACTCTAAGAGAGCTAGTTCTGCCCTAGGACTCAATGCAATACCTACGCCGGAGAGGCCACGGGAAGCCGAATCTGGGCTTCCAGATACACGAAGTGTGAATCGAGTCGGTTCTTTATTTTGGCATGGTGAGGTCAGATGAATGATGCTACTCGGATCCTGTATGCGTGTTTCGGAGACGCAGCACACATCGATGGCGTGAGATTCTAAAGTCCTAGCTAAGGAAGCCTGTTGTCCTCTTTGGCACAGTGTTCGGACGTTAAAAGCTCCTACGTGTAGTTTAGAGCGTGGTTTCAGGAGACCAGGAATAGCGTTCCACGTACTCGAATCGTTTGCTCTAGCGGTGCGAGGTGATAAAGGGACGTGAGAAGGGTTAGTTGGGGGGATAAGAGAGGTAGTAGAAGGTGTAGGAAGGATTTGAATGTGACCAACTTGTTCTCGTGTGCTGTTACGGGTATGAGAGCTGATGTCGCTTCCCGGCTGCCCACACCGTGGAAGGGTATTTCTTGAGGAACCTGAAAAGGAAATTGGATTAGTGTTGGTCTTGACGACCTGGGAGCGTGACCGCAGAGCCCAAGGGACAACTGCTTGAGGCCGGTCGCGCACGGCCTTTTCGTGGGGTTTTTTTGACGTGTTAGCTCCGTTCTTCAAAGGGCCTTACCGCCGGAGACGGAGATCCTGGAGGTAAGGTGAGGTGTGACATTTTAGGGTCGACCTTTCCTAACCCCACCCCTCCTTGTGGGAAGGCAGCATCGCTGTCATGCTGGTTGTCCGAGGGAAACACCTTACTGCTGTCACACCTCTCTACAGTCAGCAGTACGACTTCGCCCTCAGACCTTGAGTTGCTGCTTTTAGTCTTACCGTTCACCAATCGACCTGCCTGGCATGGTAGAACCTACAGGAACATATGTTCCAGCCAATATAGCTCGGTTGGGTCATCACGATAGGCAAGCTCGACCACCGCGTCAAGGTAGCAGCTTCGGTCGGGTACTTAGGCTTTGGTCTTTCCATTTACCATTTGATCTTTTAGCAGTACTACTCACTTTTTATAAACTTGATAATTTTTTTCGATACAACCCATCGCTACTTAAAAATCTAACAAACTAACTTTCAGGATAGTAAAAAGAAACCTTCTCAGGTCAATTAAAAGTTTCAAATTATTTAAATTATTGGTGGGATATAGAAAGATTGCTAGACAAGCAATTTCAAATTTAGGGGTAGGGTTCTAGATGAGAAGATCAATGAGTGAGTTTGTAAACCAGTATAAACCGAGGCTGCAACGTGCTATTCATAAGTAGCCATTAACTTCTGCAAGTGTCGATCAAAACGATTACAGTTTTGATAAAGGGTAACAGGAGTAACGTCTACGCATAACAACCGCAAATAAATCCCGATTGTTCGTTCAATCTTATTCGTAATCGATACTCTCGATGTTTCAAATCAATGAACTTGTTCATTATTAGTTAAAAAGCTTTGAAGATACACTAATTTATTTTACCCCTGAATGCCCTGGTACGGCCGAGAGTGGGGAGAGTCCGCTTTCCCTCTCGAAATACTCTCACACGGCCACGCGTATACAGCCTCTGCCAGGGAAGTCCTACTCATTGCCTTCTCGTGGCGGGGGTGTTGTCTACAAAAATGAGAGGACGAAAAGCGAATGTCCGGCGCTTTAACCGGGTTCCAAATCAATGGTGCACATGGGCTCCAGTATCCTGCGGGAACGAATGGCGTATGAACCAATCGTTGGTCACCGGCTACCATGGGACTGCATCTCCTTACGATGCTCCACTGCCTTGTGGGTTAGACCTTTAGGTCAAAGGCTCGGGGAGTGGCCCCCTAAGATAACCACCTGCTTCGGTTTGGGCACCCGGGCAGTATCACAGCCCACACACAAATTGATGAACTCTTTATGCCTATGGAAATTACCTTTCTCGCTTTGAAAAACAAACAATTGATTCAGATTATTATCATTACAATTATTGTCATTATTAATACTAATATTATTATTACTACTATTATTGTCATTATTGTTATTATTATCATTATTATTATTATTTTCCACATTATTCACCCTCTTTTATACCTATACAGCGGCTCGTCTTTGGTGGAAATCCGACTGTATCTAAACGTTCTCGAGTCACTGTCCGGTTGAAAATTGTATGTTACCACCGAATACGAGGACTGAAGCAGATTTTCTGAAACCACGTGCACCATTCTGTTATAACTCTGTTTCTTACGGTTAATGACCCAGCTATTCCTATTGCTTAGTATTCTTGGACACCGATTCACTCGACAAGTCCCCAAATCAGAACACGGTTGAACAGGAAAGAGATTATATTCCAAATAGCAAGTCAGAAGCACAATAGGGAAAAACGTCAGTATATTTATAGTTTTTACATAAGAAGATTCCAGAATATTCTCCAACTATCGACTAGTGCTGATTGGATAAGAATTAGCCAATCAGCGTGCACCAAAGCAATCATGCATTGATCATGCTTTAATCTAGTCTATGTCCCGCTAACACCTCCCCTTTGAGCAGATTCGTAGGATCTGGTGCTAGGGTCCAACTGCAACCGAGTGACTGGCCTGTGCTTTCGATTAGTCCATCGTCTAGGCAATAAAGAAGTATCACTCTTTTCTTGCACAGAAACTGACGTGTCTATTCCCGGCGTTTTGATTTCAAAGGTGTCTAGCAGAACATCAAGAGGTAATCGATATTGAATCTTGTTGCTGGCTATCGAGGTTGCTTTCAATTGGTTAGCATGACGTACCCAAACTTCCGAGCCAACTGACACCTCGTAAACCACACTCCCCTTCTTTTTCAAGATCCGACCAGCTGTCCATATAGGATGTTTCCCACGATAGTCCATAGCAAGCACTTTTTGTCCCACAGTGAGCAATCGTCTTTGTGCCCCCTGATGTCGGTTAAACTGTTTCTCCATCGATAGGTTTCGTTGGGGTTCAATAGCTGGCGTAGGACGGATGACATCGAAATGTGTACGTATCTTTCTGTCAAGTAGAGCTTCTGCTGGAGAGAGCCCGTTAATTGTCTGAGGGTTCGGTGTAGAACGATAAATAAACAAGAACCTCTCTAAGATATCTTCAGTGGTCCCTTCCCCTTTGGATTTTTTTAGAGCATTTTTAAATGTACTCACAAAGCGTTCCACTTGGCCATTTGATTGGGGATGGTATGGAGGTGTTCGGATGTGCTGGATTCCGTTCTGCCGACAAAATTGTGAGAAGATTTCGGACGTAAACTGTGTTCCGTTGTCACTAACTATCAATTCCGGGATTCCAAAACGACTGAATAGTTGACGTAGTTTACTGACTGTGCAGCTTGCAGTCGGGTGTTCCATGAGAAAAATTTCTGGCCACTTGCTATATGCATCAACCACCAAAAGGTAAGTTTGTCCATGAAGTGGACCAGCAAAGTCCAAATGTATACGCTGCCACGGTGACTGTGGTATTGGGCATGATTGCAGCTCTGCTTTTCGCGGTGCTTTTGTTGCTAATGCACCTTTTGTGCACGAACGGGATAGCTGCTCCAGTTGGGTGTCTAAATGCGGCCAGTATACATAACTTCGTGCTAGTGCTTTCATGCGATTTATTCCAGGATGTCCTGCATGCAATTGTTCAAGCACTGCTGGTTGTAGCTTCTTGGGAATTATGACACGTTCGGCAAACAGCAGACAGTCATCGATGATTGAAAGAGAGAGTCTTCGCTGGTAAAACTGTTGAAGGTCTGTGGAATAGATTTTCGAGGGCCACCCTTCTAGGTGGAACTTTCTAACTTCTTGTAGTGTTGGGTCTCGAAGCGTTTCTTCCCTGACTTCATCTGACGACACTGGAGTGTTTCGAATGGCATCTGCCACTATACTTCGTATTTCTGGGTCTACTGCTGTGGAGGCAATGATTATATCCTCTGGTCCAGGATGTTGAACTCCAATTAATCGGGAGAGAGCGTCAGCTTGACCGATAGTATTTGTTGACTGATACTTGATATTAAAATCATAACTCAGGAGCATTGTTGCCCAGCGCTGTAGTCTATTAGCCGTATAGACAGGGATTCCTTTCTTAGAACCAAAGATTGCAATCAAAGGTTTGTGATCTGTCAGTAGAGTAAATGTACGACCATAGAGCACTTTATGAAATCTTTTGACCGCGAAAATGATTGCAAGAGCTTCCTTTTCAATTTGGCTGTAGTTTCGCTCGGCTGGAGTAAGTGATCTAGCAGCATGGGCAATTGTCTTCTCTGATTTATCCGGAAACACGTGAGATATCACTGCTCCAACTCCATGACTAGAGGCATCAGATGCAACAACAATTTCCAAGCTGGGATCGAAGTGCGTCAAAAGAATCTTTGAGCTGAGCATTGATTTGACTCTGTCAAAAGATGCTTGACATTCTGCTGACCACTGCCAAGGTTTATCTTTCGATAGTAATTCATTTAAGGGACCTCTCACTCGGTGCATTTCAGGCAAGAATGTGCTGTAATGACTGATTAACCCCAAGAAGGATCTTAATGAAGAAACATCAGTTGGTGCAGGCATCTTCTGAATGGCTTCGATGTTGGCAGGGTCTGGTCGGCGACCGTTCTTATCTAAGATAAAACCAAGGTATTTGATCGAATGCATGAAGAAGATACATTTTTCCTCACGTAGTTGGAAACCATACTCCAACACTCGGTTAAGGACTTGGTGTAGTCGATCAGAAAGTTCACTGTCAGTTGAACCCATAACTATGATATCATCTAGATAAGCTGCTGTACCAGGTATACCTGTTAGCATCGTATCCATTATTTGCTGAAAGATGGCGGGTGCGGTCTTGATGCCAAATGGTAGACGGGTGTATTGAAATAACCCTCGATGAGTGTTAATGGCCAGAAGCTCTCTACTATCTTCATCTACTTCCACTTGGAGATAAGCATCGGAGAAGTATATTTTCGCGAAACATGTCCCACCATTAAGCTTGGCAAACAGGTCTTCCGGAACTGGTAAGGGATATTGATATACATCTAATGCAGCATTTAAACCGGTCGAGAAATCGGCACATATGCGTATAGTCCCATTGGCCTTCTTAATCACTACAATCGGTGCGGCCCATGCAGAGTAGTTAACTGGTCGGATTACACCAGCCTGCTGCAAGCGATTAAGTTCCTGGTCGACTAGCTCAAGAGCAGCATATGGTACAGGACGTCTCGGGCGAAAAATAGGTATGGCATCTGGTTTCACTGGTAAGTGCGCTTTCATCTTGGTATAGTGGCCAAGGCTATTCTGAAAAACAGAGGCAAACTTTCTTTTCAGTTTTTCTAGTAACCGTTCACCTGTCTTCTTTGGAAGTAATGGGGTGTCCAATGATGAACACGATACGTTACAGACACTGTTAATTGGTATATCCATTATTCCAAGTTTGTCTAGCATATCTAGACCAAGAAGATCAAGGTTCGGCCGTTCTGTTAGGTAACATATTCCTGTACAGTTAGTTCCATTGAAGGAAAATTCACACTGTAATTCACCAACCAGTTTTAGCACACCACCTGATGCGTTTTTAGCCGTTTTCTTAGATGGCTTCATTGGCGGTTTACCCAGCAAGTTATACGTTTCTCTAGACACTAACATGATATCTGATGCCGTGTCAATTTGAAGACGAGCTGATATGCTGTTTATCTGGATGGTAACATACTTTCTCCGAATGTCATAGTTTGTTTGAAAAGCAGCTACCAGAGAAAGAGTGTGACGTTTGGGTCTTGATCCAGTCGAGCTAAAAGTCTAGTCCTGATCTCAGCATATCGTGGTGACTGAAGAGCTTTGATGAATATTAAGCATTTAAATTGGTCATCAGTCAACGAGCGTAACTTGAAACGTTCACATTCTCTGTTGACAATGTCTGCTAGAACACCATATTCATCAGCTTCGCGTTTCACCAAATTTAGACACCGATATCGAATACTAAACAACGAGGATGACTCGCCGAATATCTCTGACAACTGAAATACCGTCTCCTCGAAACTGAGCTCTCGAGGTAACTTTGGCAATATATGGTCAGCAAAACGTGCATGTTCACTGCTTCCCAACTTACGTACCAACAATCGGGTCTTCCACGCATCGTCTTGGTTACAGAATTCTGTTCTAAATGTATCTTCCCAACGTTTGAACCACGTGAGAAAAGTATTTCCACTTTCGGGATCATAGATGAATTCTGGGATGCTGCTAGCAACTGCATCACAAGACGTACTTGAAATAGCATGTGAATTCGAGCAGTGGATGTTAAGCTGTTGAGTCACAGTCTCCAACATCCGCATTTGTGCATCAAGTTGTGCTTGCTGTTGTTGTAGTATTCGGTTAAGCTGGTCATCTGATATGGGCATCTTGAATTTGTTTTCCTTTTTCCCCGTCGCCACTGTTATAACTCTTGGTTCTTCTTACGGTTAATGACCCAGCTATTCCTATTGCTTAGTATTCTTGGACACCGATTCACTCGACAAGTCCCCAAATCAGAACACGGTTGAACAGGAAAGAGATTATATTCCAAATAGCAAGTCAGAAGCACAATAGGGAAAAACGTCAGTATATTTATAGTTTTTACATAAGAAGATTCCAGAATATTCTCCAACTATCGACTAGTGCTGATTGGATAAGAATTAGCCAATCAGCGTGCACCAAAGCAATCATGCATTGATCATGCTTTAATCTAGTCTATGTCCCGCTAACACATTCAAACTGGCTGCCTTCAACGTTCGCACATTTATGCAGGTCGGACAACTGATAGGCCTGGCTATGTCTTTGGAAAGTCTTAATATCGACGTGTGTTGTCTATCCGAGACCCGTATTCAAGACTCTGGCGAAGTACTACAAATTCGATCTCCATCTGTCGCTTCGAAAAGCTTGTTTTACGTGCGCTTATCCGGGGACCCTGTGGCATCTTCGTCTGGTCTTGCTGGCGTTGGTGTCGCACTAAGCGCTAGAGCTGAGGCAGCACTAGTCGATTGGATCCCCATTAACAGTCGGTTATGTGCTGTTAGATTAGAAAGTTCCATCAAAGTGAGAAGAAATCGGCGTGAGAAACGATGTCTTTTCGTCATCTCCGCCTATGCCCCGACAGATTGCAGCCCGGATGCAAACAAGGATGAGTTTTACCACCAGTTATCAGTTCTTCTCCAGAAAGTGCGTTCGACAGATATTGTAGTACTAGCCGGAGACTTGAATGCTCAGGTCGGGCGTCTAGGCACAGAAGAGAGTCGTTTAGGTGGCCAATGGGGACTCGTTGGTCGCAGGTCAGATAACGGGGACCGTCTACTGCAACTGTTCACAGACCACAACCTGTTTCTGGCTAGCACTAACTTTCGGCACAGTCATCGCCGATGTGCCACCTGGCGTCCTCCCTCTGCATCTCAAGCCTGGACTCAGATTGATCACATCGCGATCAGCTACCGCTGGCGTGGTTGTGTAAAAGACTGCCGCTCCTTTTGGAGTACCTATCTGGACTCTGACCATGCCTTGGTCTGCGCCAATCTTGCCTTACTTTTCAGTGGACAACGAAGTGACCACCACCAAAGATTGATGTTAGCAAGCTGGTTGCAACTTCTGTTGCAAGTAAGTATCGAACCGAGCTAGCCTCTAGGCTAGCTACCACTCCACCGAAAAGTATAGATGAGCATTGGTTGCAATTGCGTGACGCCATGAAAATGGCGGGAACAGTCAGTTGTGGGTTTGCGAAACGTCCCGCTTTTAAGCACTGGGTTTCTTCTGGTTCCTTACAACTCATTGAAGCCCGTCGGTCTACTCCGGGTGATCGTAAGTTTGACCATAAACGAAGGATGTTACGTAAGGAAATTGGGCAAAGCTTGCGTAAGGACCGAGAAGCCTGGTGGTCGATGCGTGCTAATGAGCTGGAAGCAGCAGCTGCATCTGGTAACTACCGGAAGCTCTTCCAGCTCATCCGAGCCACTGGCAGCAAGAAGTCTGGTGTGAGTGAAACAATCTGCGAGGATGATGGGATGCCAATCACTAACATCCATCGACGTCTTGGACGGTGGGCAGAATTTTTCGAAGGGCAGTTCAACTGGCCTGCTGCTCCGGCAACATCGGTCAGACTGTCCTGCCCTCCATGGCCGGTGACGACTGATCCACCAAATGAGGAGGAAGTCCGCAAGGAACTCCAACTCTTGAAGCGTTACAAATCACCTGGCCCAGATGACTTACCTCCGGCTCTTTTTAAAGATGGTGGTGACTTTTTGACTAAGGAATTGACGACGTTGTTTACAAAGGTTTGGGAACTAGAGAGTATACCAACGTCATGGAATGAGTCGATAGTTGTCTTTAAAAAGGGTTCACGTCGTTCTTGTAACAACTATCGGGGGATAAGTTTACTTCCGATTGCGTCCAAGCTATTGGCTTCCGTCATTCTTCGTAGGTTGTTCAAAACCCGAGAAAGATTGACTCGCGAGGAGCAGGCTGGGTTTCGTTCTGGTCGAGGATGTATTGATCATATCTTCACCCTCCGCCAAATGTTAGAACACCGCCATACTTTTCAAAGGCCAACAATCGTAGTGTTTCTTGACATCAGGGCTGCCTTCGATTCGTTGGATAGGAATGTTCTCTGGGATTGTGTATTGAAGAAGGGTGTGCCTGAGAAGTTTATTAACATCCTAAAAGCCCTGTATAAAAACACCTCAGGCAGAGTGAGGGCATACAACCACCTCTCTCCATTGTTCCATTCGAGCAGTGGGGTTAGGCAGGGTTGCCCAATCTCACCATTCCTCTTCAACTTTGCCATCGATGACATTCTGGAAACAGCTCTGATGAATGTAAGTAATGGTAGTGTGGATCTGTTGCCTGGAGAAAGACTTCTCGACCTTGAGTATGCGGACGATATTGTCTTACTGTGCGATAATGCCCAAGGCATGCAATCCGCACTTAATCAGTTGGCAATCAGTGTCCGTAGGTATGGTATGTGCTTTGCACCTTCGAAGTGCAAAGTACTTCTACAAGACTGGCAGGATTCTAATCCTGTACTCACCCTGGACGGTGAGCAGATAGACGTAGTTGAGAAGTTCGTGTATCTGGGTAGCTGCATAAGTGCTGGTGGGGGTGTGAGTGATGAGATCAATGCACGAATAGTGAAAGCCAGAGCGGCTTATGCCAATCTGGGCCACCTTTGGCGCCTTCGTGATGTTAGTCTGGCTGTAAAAGGCCGGATCTACAACGCGTCGGTGAGAGCAGTTTTGCTCTATGCTTGTGAAACCTGGTCTCTCCGAGTTGAGGACGTTAGACGACTCTCTGTGTTCGATCATCGCTGTCTCCGAAGGATTGCTGACATTCAGTGGCAACACCATGTCAGTAATGCAGAGGTTTGGCATCGTGTGTTCGGGCACAGAGATGATAACTCAATTGGTGTTACCATCGTGAAACACCGACTTCGGTGGCTTGGACATGTTCTCCGAATGTCGTCCCAGAGAATTCCACGTCGTGCATTATTTGCCGACTCTGGGACTGGTTGGAAGAAGCGGAGAGGTGGTCAGTGCATGACATGGTGTCGTGGCATGAAAGAAAGCTACAAAGGAGTGGCTTGTGTTGGTCCTTCACGACTCCCTGGTTGGGGTCCGAGAGATGGTGCTACACAGTGGCTAGAGACGTTATCAGATATGGCTCAGAATAGAAGCCAGTGGCGATCCTGCTGTAACCTTCTTTTACTTTCTTTATAAAAAGTGGTTGTGTCTTCCCTAACTGAAAGATTTCTTCTGATTGTACCTTTTCGTTCCGTCGTTACTACCACACTACCTTACTCCAATCTCTTCGTCATTGTTCTCTTTTTCTTTTGCGTTCCTTAGTTTTTTTTCTTTCTCTTTCTACTTCTCTTCGAATTCCCATTGTTTTGTGTGGCGCATATATATTGGCGCTCTCTTGTACCAATATTTATGTGTTCAAATAAATAATAAATAAATAAATAAATACCGTAAATGTTAAAAATTACATTGCTTCATGCTTGTTCTGTATACATTCATGTCTTCAATCCTGTCCAATTTTAATGTTCTACTTTCGTTGATCATATACCGCTGATGCTTTTTTGTAGCTCCTTTTCTTTTATCCACTTAGTAGTGTTCAAAGTTAGTTATTACTGCACTTGAACTAAAAGGTAGTATGTCAGTTGAAATAGCTAAAACACTTTCTCACAGTTCAATAATATAAATTGTTGATAGTTTGTATTGTATCTAAATTTCTGTAGAAAAATGAACATAATGAATTGTCCCACAATGGCCTCTCAGCATTGGATGAAAACATATCTGACGGAATGTCTAGCTCTTCTTCACATAATCAATTGCCTGGATCTATTCGACCACCCGAAAGACGCTACTGGATGCAAGATGAAAATTGCAAATTTTGTTTTGAATGCGGTACACGTTTTACTGCCATCCGCCGTAAACATCATTGCCGTGTTTGTGGGAGGATATTTTGTAATCAGTGCAGTAATCAGGTAAGTCTGTAAGATTGGTTATATTTCCAGTGAGTTATTTTTTCAATCAAGTGATTTTTCATTCTCATCAGTAACGAGTTCGAATTCTCAGTCAGTAACAATGTAGAACTTCGTACGTTCGTACATCAGTTCGAGTTGCCACACCACATTAGCACAGAGATGCAGTTGTCGACTTAAATTCCGTAGTGGTAGAGGTAGTAAGAGTATAAGCAGTAATCGGAAACATTGAGGCTTGAAAATGTTATTCAAGGATTATAATACAGTGAAATAAACTTGGAAAAAAAGGGACATGAAGAATTGGCAAAAGTTAGTCGAGCCTTTTGTATCCGTACTTAGATTTCGTCACACACCAGACCACAAGGGCTGATGAGACTTCCAAAATAGGTGAAGCGGTCGACATGCTCGACTACTTCACTCCCTATCATTAGTTCGGGTGTCGATGCAACCCAATCCTGAAGTAACATTTTGCAACGCGTCGGTGAGAGCAGTTTTGCTCTATGCTTGTGAAACCTGGTCTCTCCGAGTTGAGGACGTTAGACAACTCTCTGTGTTCGATCATCGTTGTCTTCGAAGGATTGCTGACACCCAGTGACAACACCATGTTAGTAATGAAGAGGTTTGGCATCGTGTGTTCGGGCACAGAGATGATAACTCAATTGGTGTTACCATCGTGAAACACCGACTTCGGTGGCTTGGACATGTTCTCCGAATGTCGTCCCAGAGAATTCCACGTCGTGCATTATTTGCCGACTCTGGGACTGGTTGGAAGAAGCGGAGAGGTGGTCAGTGCATGACATGGTGTCGTGGTATGAAAGAAAGCTGAAAAGGGCTGGCTTTTGTTGGCTCTCTTGTACCAATATTTATGTGTTCAAATAAATCAATAAACTACCTTCGGCGACTGTGTTGTTTGGCTCAGAGTGGGTAAGCCCCCAAATGCCCTGGTACGGCCGAGAGTGCATCTCTTTCTCTCGAAATACTCTCACATGGCAACACGTATGCAGCTACTGCCAAGGAAGTGCTACTCACCGCCTTCTCGGGGCAGGAGTGTTGTTTACGGAGTTGAGAGGACGAAAAGCGAATGTCCGGCGCTTTACCTGGGTTGGTGGACACGGAGAGTGCACCTAGGGAAGTTAAAAACCCCTGATTCCAAACCATTGGTGCACAAGGGCTCTAGTATTCTGAGGGAACAAATGGCGTATGAACCAATTGTTGGTCACTGGTTACCATGGGACCATATCTCCTTACGATGCTCCACTACCTTGTGGATCAGACCTCTTGGTCGAAAGCTCCGGGTGTCGCTCCTTAAGAGAACCACCTGCTTCGGTCTGGGCACCCAGACAGTACCACAGCCCACACACAAATCAAGTGACTTGTGTGACGCATATGTATTCGGTGCCCTTTTGTACCAATATTTATGTATTTAGATAAATAAAATATTATAGATGCTTTCTTTCGTCCTTCTATAGATCTTGAACATGCTCGTCCTGTATTTCTCATTCTTCTCAGCCTCATAACTTTCTATCGGAATATGTTTGCTTTTTTTAGTTCTTGGCTTTTAACAGAGTTGGGTGGTGGCTAGCAGTAGAACTCAGGACGCATGTCTCGTCCTATTTGGGACTCGTCAGCTGGATGTACCTGCATCCCAGAGTCGATGTTCACTCCGAGAATCGGACCCAGTACCGTTCGCTTCAAACGTCATCACGTTAACCAATTAGGTGCTGAATCCTGATAGTCACTAGTTTGCGATATAGTGTGAAGTTTGAATTCATATTGTATTGTTTGTTTGAATCTTCCAATTAATGTTTAGAACCTCAATTGACCAGTTATCATATCACAAGCTAGTGGCTATCGAGACTCAGTAGCTAAGTGGATGGCGTTTGAAGCGAACGGTACTCTTGGCTCGAGTCCCGGAGTGAACGACAGTTCTGGAATACAGGTACACCCAGCTGACGAGTCCGGAATAGGACGAAACGTGCATCCTGGATCCGACTGCCATCCACTATCCATGTTTGCTTATAATACTTGTGACTCTAGGTAAAATCGAGGCAATACACACAGGATGCACATATACCAATAACAGAATGATCAACTGCCGTTCTAAACATCAATGAGAAGATTCGAACAAACGATATAAAATGATAACAGTATTATTTTTCCTCGAACACCTTCCAAATCTCAAGTTTTTTAATAAAATTGTGGGTACTGGAAAATATTTCTACTTCGAATTTGCAAACACTTATTATCACATTTGTAGAAATCTTTTATTTTCAATCTTCCACTAATTTTTGTTCTTCCTACAAATATGTCATATAAATTTTCTCTATCCATCTAAGTTTTAATGCATTTGTTTTCATTTGTTAAGATTGTTGAAGGGACACAAATTGGACTTGATGGTCTTCAACGAGCCTGCAGTTATTGTGCTGAAACACTAATTAGTACTAATACCAATAAACCAGAACATTCATTGGACAAAAGTTCTGTCAGATCGCTAAATACAGACAATATTCATGGTTTGAAGAAAAAAATAAGCTTGACAGAAAAATCCCAGAGAAACAATAACCGACCAAAGTCTGTTCCATCTCATGTTAGTCATCTTTCCAATCTCACTATACGCATGAGTACTGGTTTGTTGAATATATCCAATTCAAAAGCATTGCTTACTCCACCTTCATATTTGAACAGAATAGCTGTAGATTTAGTTAGCCCAAACAATTCTACTTCTACCAATTCAGCAGATGGATGCAGAGACTTGTTTCCTACATTTTTCTCGGCAACCTTCCCAAACGGTAATGATGCATCTCCGTTAGTGGATTCTATTAGACAAACAATGTGCACCATTGAATCTAATACATTTGGTGTAATTCGTCGAACACCGCGCATAAGTCAAGGTCCAGTTTTAAATGAATCGTTGAATATAGATATTTGCAGTGCTCCATTCAAAAAAATTTCTTCATCTCATTCGTTTGAATGTTTACCAAGCAGTGCATCGCAGTCATTATTCAATTCATCAGCAGGTCAAGATATACTTTATTTATGGTCAAGACTTTGGGCTAATTCACCAAAGGATCTTGATTTTTCAACTATCAGTATTTCACAGTTGACCGCATCATCAACTCGACCATTAAGTCGTGTGCATAGCCATTCAAATGAAAATTTAACGAAAGACAATAGTTCATGCAAATCGCTACAATTATTTAGATTAAAAAACGAAAATGAAGAGTACTACTGTACTTATGGCCTAGCACTAGTTTATTGGTTAGTCAATAATATACCGGGTTTGGAACGTTGTAGGTTAGTTTTTTTTTGAAAGATTGCTTGCCTGCAACCCAGGTTGTACTTATATAACTTGGTGGTATGCTTGAAGTTTTGTTGGGCACTATGAAAAAACTATACGGTCTTCGAGAAAGTGGCATAAAATTGCCTATATATATATATATGGGGAATTTGTTTAACAAAATGCAAATGACAGCTATTGTACAAATAATTATTAAAAAGGCAGTGTAAGTCACTAACCAAGATTTAAACCTTAGTTAATTAAGTCTGTTGGTGGTAATACCCTTACCACAAAACCGGTAGTGTATTTCATAATAATGATCCATTGATTGAAAGTAAATTGCCTTAGATGGATGAGTTATTTACCAGATCATAATTGGAATGAGAGAGATAGGATCATAGATTTAAGTGTTTCATTAACAATTAGTCGTTTACAATATGTGAACCTTATGTCAAGTTGGAACTTTTTCAGTTTACGGGATTGATATTAGATCACGGTTGATAATTGAAAGAGTGTTTAAAACCTTCCCTCACTTCAAATGTACCTTTTTGTACTTTTTTTCCTATGAATTAATTCTGTTACAGAATGAAAGGACGACTGGTCTGCCAAAAATTTATCGACCTTGGTTTACTAACTGATCTACAAAATCCTAACTGTAAACAGTTTTATGACAACTTTACATTTTATAAATTAAAACAGGTAAATGATAATTTGTTATTTTTCTTCTTCGTCAGTACACCGATAAAGTATACTTACATTGACTGTATCGGCTATCCAGGCAGCTATCTTTAGTAGTTGACATTTAATGACTTCATAAGACAAATTTAGATCTAGTGTCTTCCACTATTATTTTAAAATACGCTATGAAACTATTAGGTTGCTTTTTGGTAGATATAAATTGTTTTCATTGTACTGGGTATGATAGTCTTTTTGTTAACCTGTTTAACTTATAGGAACAGTGAAAGTTGTTGCTTTCATCCATTAATTTATATGCTAAGTGGTGTATCTTTTCATACCAATATGACCGTTCGATATTTTTGTCTGTCACTAATACAACTTCCGTTCGCATACTATAACTTTAAGCAATGTCCATCTGACCTATTTTTTCTCAAAGTATTATTATGAATACTCGTTCTTGTTCTTTCATTCCCACTCATTGTCATTATAGTTCTCTTGAAAGTCCACTTTACTGATCTGCAGGTACCTTATTCTTTGCACAGTAGAAATAGCTGAAACATTCTTCCTACCGTGTGTTCATGGGACTAGACGACGAAGATTAAGAATAGTAATGCAACAATTACAATCGTAGTAATTAATGGTATAATGTTTCTTTTAAGTGAAACAAACAACTTAAGTATAATTTAATCTAGGGTTTATTGAGTGCATCCAATTAGATAATATTAGGTTGACTTTAACCTAATGAAAAGATAATTGACTTCTGGTCAATTTACTTAAAACCTCAAAAGTCAATAGGATATCTTCCAGAACAATTTGTCTGATTACCGATGTCTTACTAGTTTATCTAACTATTTTAATAATACCTTACTATTAGTCTTTTTCACATATATTTTATGGTATGGAAATTTCTATTCATTACATAATATTTTGTGTTGCTCCCCCCTCCCCATAATTTACTAAATTCATTTAGTATATTATCTGTTACAAAAACATTCACTGACGGAATATACCCACTGAGATATAATATAAGAAAGATTGGTTCAGCAAGGAGTTCTCCTTTTGGCGAATTCATCTTCAAAGCTGACAATCGCATTTATTATTATTATTATTATTATTATTATTATTATTATTATTACCCGTGATGAAAATGTTTTAATACCTTTGTTTATTCCACTTCACTGCTATCATGTTTAACAGAATTTTATTATCACTATTATTGTAATTATCATTATCTAGAAAGTATATATATAGTTTTATTGTAAAGGGATTGAATTTTCACAGATGTTTATTCGCAATGTTTATTATTGTTCCAGATTGATTCAAATAGTCGATTATATCATCAAACTAATTCAAGAAGAAAAACTGTGGATTTTACTTCATTTTATAATAATTTTAATGTCAACTCAACTTCTACTAATAGTACTACTTATTCAAGTATACTTGAGATTCATGAACCAAATTGGTTATTAGAGATTAATAGTTCTGAGAATGAGATTTCTAGATCTTCTTCACCTTGCTTGATGGCAAGCTCCAATGATTTAATATCAAAACCACCTGGGGGTAAATTAATGGATATTATAGTTTCTTGTATTTAAATTTTTATTAATTGAAATCCATGAACACAGAAAAGATTGACAAAATCTGTCAAATTTTGGCACATATTTTTCACATATTGTTCATTTTTTATGCAATCTTGTCAGTAAACCTATCGAAAGGATGTTCAATTGATTGACACAAATTTTCAAGAGAACATACAAGTTTGACTATCGACAGATATATAAACAGAAAGAGTAATTTAGGTAGAATATTGTATTTGTTCATGGCATTTTTTTATTCATATAGATCTAGTGACTGAGTGTTAGAACAGAATACCCAAATAAGTTGTTTCTTCGTTATTTCTGATGGACAAAATAATTTGTTCAATCCGTTTCTTTTGATATAGAAATGAGTTGCTACCTAGCTTGTAAAATTTGTACCAGGCGGAAATTAAACAAGTCACAGTTTCATGAATCTATATTGTTAAGCGTCCTATTTTTATTACGTACATGTTGTCATTTATATACATCACATGTGATTGAAAAATCTACAAGGTCTGTAGTGATACCATACATATGTTTATTATTGATATACATATTCCCTTCCGCCTGGAGCCCCTCTGAGGCTTTTGCCAGTCCCAAGCCCGGATAAAGGAGGAGGGTTGGACGTGGGGTTAGCGACCCCAACCCATAGAACACTAACTTACCAAAAAAACGCTAACCAGAAAAAAATTATCCAAACCATCTAAACTCTGCCCTGGGAGTCAGAAGGTCTTCATTTAGAAGAGTTATGACGCCTCATGGTGAAAGCCGAATTCCTTCGGAATTCACTAGGCTGATGCCCCTTCTGACAACCATTTATTTAGGTACATATAATGCTCGTACAATGTGGGAGACTGGGAGAGTCTTCCAAATTGCTGCAGAAATAAGGAGATACAACCTGGAGTTGCTTGGGATCAGTGAAACACACTGGACGCAAGTTGGACAACAAGGACTAGCTTCAGGGGAGCTTCTGTTATACTCTGGCCGTGAAGAAAAAAATGCCCCACATACACAAGGAGTTGCATTGACGCTATCCAAACAAGCACAAAATGCACTTATAGGATGGGAATCTCATGGGCCAAGAATAACCAAAGCCTCCTTCAAAACAAAGAAAGAGGACGTTACAATGAACGTCATCCGATGTTATGCGCCTACCGACGACTACATTGAAGACGTTAAAGATCAATTCTACGATAGGGTGCAGTCAATCTCCGAGAAGCGCCCAACAAAGGACTTGACCATTCTGATGAGAGATCCAAATGACAAGGTAGGAATGGACAACGCCAGATATGAAGACATCATGGGACGACATGGACTGGGAGGAATGAATGAAAATGGTGAGAGATTTGCGAACCTATGTGACGTCAATAAACTGGTCATAGGTGGCACTATATTCCCACATAAACGCATTCACAAAACCACATGGACTTCACCGGGTCACACTATGCACAGCAATAGATTCCAAGTCTTTCATGATCTACTCAATGGAAAGGAAACGACTATGGACAGCAAGTGGGGAGGGATAAAAGAGGTAAACACTTCAACATGTCATGAAGTTCTGGGCCACAAGAAGCGCTACCACAAGGAATGGATCACTGTTGATACACTGGATAAGATTCAAGAAAGGAGGAACAAGAAGGCAGAAATCAATTACCAGCCGAACAAGATCAGAGAAAGCCAAGGTACAAGCTGAATACACAGAAGTAAACAGGCAGGTGAAGAGGAGTATCAGAACTGAAAAACGTAAATATGTGTAAGATTTAATAACGATGGGCGAAAAGGCTGCGATAGAAGGAAACATAAGACAATTGTATGATACAACAAAGAAACTCGCTGGAAATTATTGTAAACCAAAACGACCAGTGAAAAGCAAGGAGGGCAAAGTAATCACCAACATTTAAGAACAGTGAAACAGGCGGGTAAAACACTTCAAAGAACTCTTGAGTCGACCAGCTCCACTGATTTATTTATTAATTTGAACACATAAATATTGGTACAAGGGTGCACCAGATACATATGCACTACACAAGTCACTTGATTTGTGTGTGGGCTGTGATACTGTCTTGGGGCCCAGACCGAAGCAAGTGGATTTTTTAGAAAGCCACACCCGGAGCCTTCGACCTAAAGGCCGAATATTCTCTTTTCGTCCTCTCAATTTAGTAAACAACACTCCTGCTTCGAGAAGGCAATGAGTAGCACTTCCTTGGCAGTAGCTGCATACGCGTTGCCATGTGAGAGCATTTCGAGAGGGAGAGCTGACTCTCCCCACCTTCGGCCGTACCAAGGCATTCGGTGGCAGCTCCACTGAACCCACCCATCATCGATGTAGCACTCACGGACCTTCCAATCGATGTTGGCCCACTGACAATTGAAGAGACCAGCACAGCCAACCGACAAATCAAGAGTGACAAAGCAGCAGGATCAGACAACGTTCCAGCAGAGGCTCTGAAAGCAGATGTAGCAGTAACTGCAAAGATGCTCCACATTTTCTTCAGCAAGATTTGGGATGAACAAGTACCGACAGACTGAAAAGTAGGACACCTGATCAAAATACCAAAGAAAGGCGATCTCAGAAAGTGTGATAACTACAGAGGCATCACTCTTCTCTCAATACCAGGAAAAGTCTTCAATAGGGTATTGTTAAACAGAATGAAGGACTCCGTAGACGCTCAACTCCGAGACCAACAGGCTGGATTCCGTAAGGATCGATCGTATATAGATCAAATCGCAACACTACGGATGATTGTGGAATAATCAATTGAATGGAATTCATCACTCTACATCAACCTCATTGACTACAAGAAAGCATTCGATAGCGTGGACAGGACAATACTATGGAAGCTTCTTCGACACTAAGGAGTACTTGAGAAGATAGTCAATATCATACGGAATTCCTGTGATGGATTAAACTTCAAAACCGTGCATGGAGGACTGTTGACAGACTCGTTCAAAGTGAAGACTAATGTCAGGCAAGAGGCGGAAACCTGGAGAACTGCGAAAGCCATCATCCAAAAGATACAAGTGTTTATTAACAGCTGTCGATGCAAAATACTTCGAATCCGTTGGCCAGACACTATCAGCAGCAACCTACTGTGGGAGAGAACAAACCAAATTCCAGCGGAGGAAGAAATAAGTTAGAAGCGCTGGAAGTGGATAGTACACGCATTGAGAAAAGCACCCAACTGTGTCACAAGGCAAGCCCCCGCACGGAATCCCCAAGGCCAAAGGAAAAGTGTAAGACCAAACGATACATTACTTTGAGAAATGGAGACAGACATGAGAAAAATGAACAAAAATCGGATAGAACTGGAAAGGAAAGCCCCAGGACGAAATGGGTTAGAGAATGCCGGTCGGCGGACTATTCTAGATTGGGAGTAACAGGCGTAAGTAAGTAAGTATATCTCCCCTCGTTTATTAGTCTAAATCAAAACACTGAGTTTTTGTAGATTTTTTATCATCGGATTTTTACTGTTGTAGGTAAGTGGTTGATACAATACACCAATATACTTCATTGAAAACGTACTGATCTTTTGAGAATCATGATATTTTATGAACAATGAACAAGAAGTGTGCTTTACAATTCGGTAGTTTTAGTCAATAACTCTTTTGGTGTTTGTATCGATTGCTACTGGGTTTCAGTCCCAGTGTTGTCACCTTCCATCTACTGATTTACTTGTGCATTCAACTGACAAATTTCAAACATTTTGAAACTCGTCGTGTTTGTTTGTGCTATCGCTTGTCGAATATGTAATAAAGAACTTTGCTTTTAATGAAATACGCTGATAATTCAGTACAACTGGACATTAATTTAATGAGTTCACAAGAACTGAGTTTCGTGATGCCATGTTTACCTTGTGCTAAACCATCGAATAATGTATAATGTATTATCAACTAACTGGAGACGGTTAACCTATGAAAAGATGTTTTTTTCAAAAGTACTTTGTTTTACGTCTTAAGATGTGTGAGAATATAGTGTTCTGTGATTACGAAATAACTGATTGGTATCCTTGCTCTAACTTTTTCAATTTAGTTTCCAAACTACTGAGCTAATGTTTCCTAATATTCAAAATTTACCGAATAATGTCAATAAGCAATTTTATGGTAACTTTTATTTTTATACACTAGTGGTTGCATAAATATCCACATTTTAAGCAAAAATTGATGATAGCTGGCAGTGGGATTCAGGATGCGCGTTTCATCCTACTTGGGACTTGCAAGCTGGATATACCTGCATCCCAGAGTTGATGTTCACTCCGTGACTTGATCCCAGTACATATGCCAATAAGAGACTGATCGATTGCAGTCCTAAACATCAATGGGAAGATTCATAGAAACAATACAAAATGTATTTATTCACGTTTTAATTTTTACATGGGAAATAAACTTACTGAACCAATGGCCAGCGTATTTTAAATAAAGTGACCATGAATCCAATAATCCTTTAATTAAGGGTTCATTACCTTGGATTATTAAAATACCGTTTTATTTATCGTATAATATATTTTCTTCTAATTTATCGGTTAGTGTTTTATTTATGAATATTTTGCCAAGTAACCATCTTATTTTCGATATTTTAAACACGATTATTGTTCAGTTCGATCCAGTTTTGAAGTTGGAAAAGATGTTAGTAGAATGCGAGATTGTAGTCTTGAATCTCTTGGTTCAACACAAAAATGGAAATATACAACACAACCAACATTAAATAACCAGCAGCAGCCAGTTGATCTTTCAGTACAGCTGAATACTGGCTTACTGATGAATACTGATGAATACATATGTAACATGAAGTGAGTTTTTTCTTTCATTTGTGTTTGTTTCTATGACTTTTTTAATAAACATATCATTATTTGCTATTTTGGTTATGTAAAATGGTTAATTCTTTCAAGATTGATATGGTTTACTGGGTTAGAAGTTTTTGAGGTCGAAATAATAATGAAATGAATAACATTATAATTTTGCGAAGTGTAACAAGTTAAACTTGTTCAGTTTGCATGAAGTTGTATGTTGACGTATTTCATTTTAATATATTCTCCGAATTATACTTAATTATAATCAGCAGGTGAATTCGCACTCTCAACTTCTGAAAAGAGGAAATCCAGAACCCAGGTATCTGTCGTTAAAAGTACAAGATTTTAACCACTCAAAGAGAACCTTACTTATATATTGAATAAGATTATACATGGTCTTCGACGAAATCTATCTTGAGAGGAGAGTTTTTGCTTGAGCTGACTTTGAGAGCAATTTTCCCATACTGCTTCATCGTGTGTATAATAGTTTACTTTTGTGTTAGATAACTAACATTATCCCGTCTAATTACTAGGAGGTGTTCAATGACATATCATAATCCTTTTATCATTAATCTTGTTAAAACAGTTCATAGTACTGTAACAACCCTGTCACTCAAGCCTTTTGCATAGTAAGGAAATATGTATCAGAAATGATGCACTTACTTTTCACCACAGCTTTTGTGGTCACACATTTTCGTTGTATGCATAATCACCATTTCAGCTCTCGACTTTGAACATCATCCCAGGCCCCTTGGTTGCTAATCCTTTAATAACAGTTCCATATTACCTCTGTGTTTCTTTTCTTATTACTCTGAAACGATTTACTCCATTTTTGCTTGACATCATTGACACAACATCAAGCAAAGATGTGGAAATCGGGAGATTAGTGTTTTATCACATATAAGATGTAGCTTATACTACGAAATATAATCTATTCAAAACCATAAATCGAGATTTTGGTCATTGGTGAAGCACTCGCACTGGTATTTCTTACCTTCAGCATTTATTCTAGACTGTTAATTATGATCTTTCGGAAACCAGAATTTCGAAGTATTACAGTATTTTAAATAAGATTAGTTCAGCGAAGATTTCTCTTTTCGGCGAATTCATTTTCAAAGCTGTACAATCGCAAATATCTTTACTTATTTTTACAGGATGATAATAATATTGATAATAAACTTCCGTTAGACATAGTGACAGTGAGGTTAAATAAACAAAGGTATTGAAAAATCTTGTTAAAACAAGGAAGGTTTAATAATCGTTTGATTGTTAATGGCTTAAGTATTTATCAAAAGATAGATATGGTAATTATCACTGGGAAAGGATGGATCAGCATGAAAAGATAAAATGTTGAAGTTGAGATCAAATGAAATTAGAATGATCGTGGAAACAAAATAAACTAGTTGGGGGTAGAGGATTTAAGAGGAAGATAGAAGGTGAAACATATGGCTGTAAAGGAAGAAGAGTATAAAAAGAGGAAAAAAATATAAGACATTCAGACCATGGTAGAAAAAGAGGTTGTACCAGTCTCTTATGCACTCACAGTTCCGGTTTTTCCAGATGTATGACTAATGCTTCGGCAATTCAAAGAAGATACAGTCTAATTGTTTTTGGAAGACTTCTACTTACCTTGTAGATGACTTTGAACGCTGAGTCTGTCTTGATCGAGTGACATGTGCTCACAAGGTGTTCGTTTATTAAACTTCTTATCGAGCCGTTTCCTCTTTTTAGCCACGTCGGACAATGTTCTTGAATTCTTTTAGATAAAGTACTCATCGAATGACCTATATACCTTGCTCCACATGAGGATGTAAATTAGTTAATGCATATTGGGTTGGTCAGATTCGATAATTTATCTTTAAGATTATTAGTGAACAATGATTGGCTGGAGAATACTATTCGCAATCTTGCTGCAAAGAATGTTCTTTCTAAGGAATCAGAAATTCTCCTCTTTAGGATGTATGTAGCTCTATTACCTTTGAAGTCGATGTTCATGTATAAAGTTTTCTTTTCTACTGTAATTATTTGTGTTTTCGGAGTTCTCGGCTTCATTTTCTTATCAATCAATATCGAAGGATACCCGTTTTTGATAAGTATCTCCTTTAAGAGGCCCAATTCTTCATCTATGACGTCGGGACTACAAATTCTTCGTATTCTTGTTGAGAGTGTTATTATTAAGTTTCTTTTTCTACTAATAGGAACCCAGCTGTGGAAACTTGATAGTTGGCTATTCCACATGGGTTTCCTGTAGATAGATCTTCTTAGAGTACCATCATGCTTTCTTGTCATTTCTACATCAAGAAAGTCAATATTTTGTTTTCAACTTCTAGTGTGAATTTTATTGCTGAGTGGCAATTATTAAACATCTCAGTTATAGAATCAGACTGATAGTTCGATTGAAGAATATTTTACAAGAAAATTATTATCCAGCTGACTTCGTCATAAAGTATTTATCCGAACCAAAAAATAAGACAAAGACCACCATGGTCAGTAAAAATTTTTTTATTTAAAACTTAATTTTAAAGGCAATGCAGCTGGTGATATTTTGACATCTCATCTTAAAAGACCTGTTAAAAAGAGGTTTAACTCTGTTGATTTTTATGTAACGTTTTTAAATAAGCCATTTTCTACCCAACGAATCAATGATAGTATACCAGTGATTTGCTCTTCCATATGTGCACACCAATTTGACTGTTCTTGTGGAGTTAGTTACATAGGCCTGACATAGAGAGCATTAACCTTGAGTACTTATGAACATGTAGCGATATGATTAGGGAAAGGAGTCACGAAGTAGGTCAAAAGTGCCATACTTTCTCACTTAGTATGTAGCCCGACCGAAGCTGCTACCTTGACGCGGTGGTCGAGCTTGCCTATCGTGATGACCCAACCGAGCTATATTGGCTGGAACATATGTTCCTGTAGGTTCTACCATGCCAGGCAGGTCGATTGGTGAACGGTAAGACTAAAAGCAGCAACTCAAGGTCTGAGGGCGAAGTCGTACTGCTGACTGTAGAGAGGTGTGACAGCAGTAAGGTGTTTCCCTCGGACAACCAGCATGACAGCGATGCTGCCTTCCCACAAGGAGGGGTGGGGTTAGGAAGGGTCGACCCTAAAAATGTCACACCTCACCTTACCTCCAGGATCTCCGTCTCCGGCGGTAAGGCCCTTTGAAGAACGGAGCTAACACGTCAAAAAAACCCCACGAAAAGGCCGTGCGCGACCGGCCTCAAGCAGTTGTCCCTTGGGCTCTGCGGTCACGCTCCCAGGTCGTCAAGACCAACACTAATCCAATTTCCTTTTCAGGTTCCTCAAGAAATACCCTTCCACGGTGTGGGCAGCCGGGAAGCGACATCAGCTCTCATACCCGTAACAGCACACGAGAACAAGTTGGTCACATTCAAATCCTTCCTACACCTTCTACTACCTCTCTTATCCCCCCCAACTAACCCTTCTCACGTCCCTTTATCACCTCGCACCGCTAGAGCAAACGATTCGAGTACGTGGAACGCTATTCCTGGTCTCCTGAAACCACGCTCTAAACTACACGTAGGAGCTTTTAACGTCCGAACACTGTGCCAAAGAGGACAACAGGCTTCCTTAGCTAGGACTTTAGAATCTCACGCCATCGATGTGTGCTGCGTCTCCGAAACACGCATACAGGATCCGAGTAGCATCATTCATCTGACCTCACCATGCCAAAATAAAGAACCAACTCGATTCACACTTCGTGTATCTGGAAGCCCAGATTCGGCTTCCCGTGGCCTCTCCGGCGTAGGTATTGCATTGAGTCCTAGGGCAGAACTAGCTCTCTTAGAGTGGATCCCAGTAGACAGTCGTTTGTGCGCTGTCCGACTGAATGGAACAATGAGGATCCGAAAAGATAGGGACACTCGTCGTTGCCTCTTCGTCGTCTCTGCCTATTCTCCCACTGACTGCAGCTCAGATGATGTAAAAGATGAGTTTTACAGAAAGCTTTCGGACCTTCTCCGAAAAGCTAAGCGCTCGGATGTAGTAATAGTGGCCGGTGACTTTAATGCTCAAGTAGGTAAACTAAGCGATAGGGAAAGACACCTAGGTGGATCTTATGGTGTCGTGGCTCAAAGAACAGATAATGGCGACCGTCTGTTGCAGCTATGCTCGGATAACCGCCTGTTCCTTGCAAATACTAACTTTAAGCATAAGGAAAAACATCTTTTAACATGGCGACCCCCTAATTCGTCCCAACGTTGGACCCAAATAGATCACATCGCTATCAGCCACCGATGGAGGGGCTCGATAGAAGACTGTCGCTCATTCTGGAGCACATGCCTAGATTCAGATCATGCTCTAGTGCGAGCGCGTATTTGCTTGCGTCTTACTGGACGTAGGAAAGACGCTGCAAGGAAACCTCTTAGGGGCCTACTTAATGATAGTCAAGCTAAGAGTATATTTCAGGAACAACTAGGAAAACAGTTAGGCAGCCATGTATGTGATGCCCACCCTGAGGCAGCATGGAATGATATCCGAAAAGCTGTGGAAACAGCAGTGATATCTGCTAGTAAGGTAAACCAGAAGGTTAGGGAGCAACACTGGATCTCAGCAGCATCTATCGCACTGATAGATGCTCGGAAACTCATTCCACCTGGCTCTGAACATAATGAAGATCGGAGTCAGCTTAAGCGCAAGCTGACAAAAAGTCTACGCAATGATCGCGAACAGTGGTGGGTAGCGAAAGCAAGAGAGATGGAAAAGACAGCGGCAATAGGTAATAGCAGACAATTGTTCAGACTCGTTAAGGAAACCGGAATTAGGAACCCGACCGTTAGCGAAACAATCTCAGAGAAAGATGGACATATTATTCATTCTCAATCCAGGAGATTGGATCGATGGGCAAAACACTTTAGGGGTCAGTTCAACTGGCCTTCAGCCACACTTCGGTTTCCCACGATCTCTAGTCAACCTGAATGGCAAATTAATGTAGGTCCTCCGTCCCTTTACGAAGTTGAAAAAGCCATAGGAAATCTGAAACGAGGGAGAGCAGCAGGCCCTGACAGGTTTACTCCTGAGATTTTTAAGGATGGTGGTCCAGTATTAGCAATGAGATTAACCGAGGTCTTAGGTAGAATTTGGGAACTGGACGTAATCCCATCTGACTGGTCTCAATCACTGATTGTGCCAGTCTATAAGAAAGGACATAAGTCCTCCTGTGACAATCACAGAGGAATCAGTTTGACTAATATAGTGTCTAAAATATTAGCCTCAATAATACTTCGACGCCTAATCAAAGCTCGTGAAGAGCAGATTAGAGAAAACCAGGCCGGTTTTCGACCTGGACGTGGTTGTGTAGATCAGATATTCACACTACGTCAGGTTCTAGAACACAGACACACATTCAGACGCCCCACAATGGTAGTATTTCTCGACCTTAAGGCGGCATTCGACTCTGTTGATCGTGAGGTTCTATGGCAGTGTTTGTCACTGAAAGGAGTACCAAAGAAGTACATTAACCTTATACAGACTCTACTCGAACACAACTGGTAGAGTGAGAGCTTATGGCGAACTGTCATCAGAATTGATTACATCAAGTGGTGTTCGTCAGGGCTGTCCACTCTCCCCATTCTTGTTCAACTTTGTGGTCGACGTACTTTTAGAGATAACACTCTCCTCATCTAAATTTCCAGGGGTTGAACTTCTACCGGGAGGTTCACTTGTTGACTTAGAATATGCTGATGACATAGTTTTATTTGGTGAAGACGCTGACAAAATGCAGAGTCTTTTGACCACTCTAAGCAACAATGCAAGCATGTTCGAGATGCGATTCTCTCCCTCGAAATGCAAAATGTTGCTTCAGGATTGGGTTACATCGACACCCGAACTAGTGATAGGGAGTGAAGTAGTTGAGTGTGTCGACCGCTTCACTTATCTTGGAAGTCTCATCAGCCCTTGTGGTCTGGTTTGTGACGAAATCTAAGCACGGATACAAAAGGCTCGACTAACTTTTGCCAACTTGCGTCATTTATGGTGTAGGCGAGATATCCGTCTATCAACCAAAGGACGCGTTTACTGCACAGCAGTTCGTTCTGTCCCACTTTATGGCAGTGAAACATGGCCGGTAAAAGTAGAGGATATTTGTAGGTTGCTAGTATTCGATCATAGGTGTCTTCGAAACATTGCTCGTATATCCTGGGACCATCGAGTAAGTAACACAGTTGTTAGGAAACGGGTACTAGGTAAGGATAGCAAATCAATTGATGAAGTAGTGAAACTTCATCAGTTGAGGTGGCTGGGACACGTGTTACGTATGCCCAACGACCGACTACCTCGACGTGCTATGTTCAGTGGTATAGGAGTAGATTGGAAGAAAGCTAGGGGCGGCCAGATCAAAACATGGCACAAGTCCATGAAGTCACTGACAAGTGGACTGAGTCATGTTGGTAGGTGCAGACTACCTGGTTGGGGACCACGAGATGATAGCAACCGATGGTTAGAGACCCTGAATGACATGGCTCAAAATCGTTTGCAATGGCGCTGGTGCATCCACTCTCTGTGTTCTCCCAAATTCTAATCTTCTGAATTCTTCATGTCCCTTTCTTTTTTCTCTTTCCAAATTTATTTCACTGGATTATACTCTTTAAATAACATCTCCAAACCCTAATCTTCCCGATTACTGCTTATACTCTTATTACCTCTACCACTACGGGATTTGAATCGACAACTGCATCTCTGTGCTTATGTGGTGTGGCAACTCGAACTGATGTACGTACGTACGAAGTTCTACGTTGTTACTGACTGACTTAATATGTAGCGAACATCATCCTAATATAAGTGAAGCCCTCGCGTTTCTGTATTAAGTCCCGAACAATCTACCTGAAGAAGCAAAACTAGGGCTCCTTTATGTAGCGGAAGCGGAATTAACTCCAGAAAGCGGAACTTATGCGTCCAAAAGCGGTATATTCTAATTCTCCACCTATTATGATCCATCATGGGGTCATCCCATACAATAAACTATATAATAGACTCTTGCTGCCAATATACGTTTTCCGTTTATCTCTCCCGTGTCATTCCTAATTTGCACATTATCCTTGCTCAATTCACTTGAATTTATTGTCTCAGTCATGTTCTTCTGACTACATATTTTATTTACATGGTTGAAATATTATCACTATTAATGCTCTAATAATAATAATAATAATAATAATAATAATAATAATAATAATAATAATATTATTATTATTATTATTATTATTATTATTATTATTATTATTATTATTATTTTTATTATTATCTCAATTGATCAGACATTTCTCTTATTTTGCATTCTGTTCACATGATTTATCTAAGCTAATTGTTTGCAACTTAATGCCTTACGTTGAAATTTCCCACCGTTTTTAATAGATGACCTGGATTCGAAAAATGACATATTCTAGATATATCTAGACCTTTACTTATAAAAAATTCATTATTTTGAACAGGTAACATAGTTAATCTTATTCATTCACATGTGCCTTCCTCTGGCCATTTTGACACAACAATTATATATTTATAATGGCAGGGCCTGATGACAAAGTGACGGGAAATAATTAGTTGCTCAAGAATCTCTTGTTTCTGAACGTCGTAATTTAGATTCTATCACTGACAGGAGCTTTAAAATATAAAATATGTTGAGTTATATTCTCGTTTCACTCTTTTTATTCCGAGTACCTCATCAGTGCTCCTTCGTCCCATCATAATGTAGGATTCAATCATCACCTTTTCTAATATATTTTTTTAGTGACAGTTTTAAGAAATCTCAATATATGCTTTCAAGCTTGTTTCAACAAAATTGTTATCTATAGATGTGCTCTAAATATGTTTAATTATATCAGCTAGAATTTTGAAGTGTATAAAATTTGTTTGAATATACCTTCTTAAATTACCTCTTTCTGTTCCTATGTTTATTAAAAAAACTACTATTAGGAATATCTTTGATAAACATATATATCGGTTGGTTTTACAAGATGTACGAGATAATGTCTTAGATTCTAGCTGGGCATCAATTCTAATTCGTTTGGCATGGAATGTTTGTCAAACGGTGCACTTTGATTTACGATCAACTGGTTTACGTTATTTTCAATTTAATCGACAACAGAAGCAACAATCTCAGTCAAATAATGAAACCGTAAAAAGTAATGACGTACAGAAATCTGTTATGAATTCTAATACTGTCCATAAACAACAAGTTTACTCACCAATGGATATTCGATATTATGTACATATTAAAAAAGTACGTCCTAACCTACTGGCTATATATTTCAATTAGTGTTTTGATAATTTAAATTTTATTTACAGTTTAACTGACGATGATATGGTCATATTTAGCCTTATAAATGATTGTATTTATGTTATTAACTAATAATTTTACATTTCTAAACCATATGTCAATGATTTGATTTATCTTGTCTTATTCAGTATTTTGAATTTTCACGGTTGATTACCGGGATGAAAAAGTTACAATAGTCATGAATATTACAGATTTCAAAACAGTTTAAATAGACAAATTACTCAGTTTTTAGCTTACATGCTTGATAACTTTTCCATAATTTTTGTAAAAATAAGAATTTCACTAAGTTTTTTCATATTTGCTTTAAGGATTTCATTGATTAGATCAGTGATGAAGAATGTGATATTGATAGGTAAGAATCAATCCTGATTGTCAGATTTTACCCTTATTGATAGCCTAGTGATCTAAACAAACATTTTTTTCTTCAGACAACTAATATTTTATACATGTGTGTGACATTTTATTAGGAAAAAGCCTGTTCGTCACTGGTCTTTTGCTACGATTTTTCATATTAGTTAGTATATCTGATGGTTAGCATAGATAATTTGACCTGATGCGTAATTAATTATTATCCATATAATGATAAAAGATTTTGTAAATTAATATATATATATTACCAGTGTAAGTAACATCATTAGATCTTATTTCATTCATAAACAGTTGGTTATTTTACATATTATTTAATTAATAAGTGTTTATTTATTTTAACACTCATTATTTATGTTTGTTGATTAAAATAGCTATTGGATGAAGATAACAAAAATTCAGATTTGTTCCCTGGTCTTATTATCTCTAAACGTCCAACCCACAAACTAATGCCAACTGTTTTAAATAATCCACGCATACTTCTATTGGATTCATCTATAAATTATCAACGTACTACTTCTAAAATGACGTGGCTAGAATCTCAGATTATGCAAGTATGAAAACATATATGTATAAGGATATATTTTATATTATTTCGTCTTATAATAGTTTTCATTTTTAAATCACATCTGGTGTTGATGTTGACTTAATAAATCATATTTGTTTGCTGGTAAAATGATTTTTTATGGTATTCTCTACTCAATAGTACTTCTTAATTTAGAAAATTCAACAAATTTTTCCTCTTAGCATTTTGTGTTATTCTGATCATGTAGAATAAATTCAATGTAACCTCTTCCATATCACATTTAGGCATCAATATTATTTACATTGTACTCGTAGTTTTTATTTGATAGTGAAAAAATATTAAACTTATGTCATCAACATAAATCGTATATATTACTCTATTAATCATAATGTATTTAGGTCCATCATATCGTTGTGTACGAATTGTAAAACCTAATACCCTACGTCTAACTTTAAGATTGCTCACACCCTGGTTCTAACATGCGCGAGCAATGGTTTGAAACTATTATCAAATACTAGTAATCTACGACTATCTATCTTTGAATTCCTCGTTTCACAGTCATAAAATAGATTAAAACTAACTGCTACTCAGCTTGTCTTTTGATTGATAGACGTACATTTCGTCTGCAGAGCAATGGTTAATTGTAGCAATTAGGTGTGTTCACGCTTTTTTTTGGACATCCGATATATGTGGATGGTTAATTATGTTTTTATTGCACTAAAACGGTATACGGCGTATATTTTCTTCTTTTTGGTTGTTGCAGGAAGAAGAATACATAACCAATTGTGTTTGTAAAATTCTCTGTCTACATCCCAATATTATATTCGTCAGTGGGACTGTTTGTTACTTAGCACAGAATTTTATTTTCAAAGCAGGAATCGTTTTATTTTCCAATGTAAAACAGGTAAGCGTCAATTTTTAATTTTTTTTAGCAATCTCAGTCAGAAAAGAGTGCTTATGATAATAAGTTTTCCACACAAATGATAATTTGTTAATAATCATTTAAACAATTACTTGTTTTCGATAATTTCCCCCACTCAGCCTTACAATTAACGGTAGAAATGTTTATTTAAAATATATAGATCTTTATGCTGAAGTTCATGGAAAAAAGAAGAAAACGAACAACTAATTTTTGTATTCATATATATGGACGGAAAATTTTTCAGGATATTGTTTCTGCTATGTATACTTTATAAGTGTTGTCTCACAAACCTTTGAAGCTTTATTACTTACACTCTTTATATGATGTTCAATGATGATCTCTTTTGAAATTGTATTCTGTCTACTAGGTAAAACAACATTTAACATTTGATAGATTCATTATATCTTTTACTTAGCCATACTACAGTGTTTAAGACAGTCACGATGGGCTTGCCTGATCTTCCTATGTAAATGTCTTCGTAGGTGTAGTTAAATCTAGGAAATCTATTCATTACTCACATCGTCTGTATACAGTAGGACGTAAATAGAATATATAATGTTGATGACAAAGAAAAGCTTGGTAATGTTATTATTATTATTGTTATTAGTTTAGGTGTAAATAGTTTAATAATTACATTCCCTTTGAAAACATGTGGACTATTAAATTTTCTTACTCATGTCAAACCGCTTCCTAATGTAACTTTCTTTGTTGCAGCCTTCAAAAACCTTTACTTACTTACACGTGTTACCTCTCGTGAAGGTGCATATGCCGCTCACCAGCATTCTCCATCCAACTCTGTCCTGGAAAATCCTTTCTATTTGCTGTTCGTTCTTTTGATGTCTGCTTCCAATTCTCGGCGCAGTGTTCTTTGACCTTCCTCTTTTCCGTTTCCCTTCAGGATTCCAAGTTGGAGCTAATCTTATGATGCAGTTTGATTATTTCTTCAATATGTGTCCTATCCACTTCCATCGTCTTTTCCTTATTTCCTCCTCAAATGGAGGCTTGTTTTGTTCTCTCACAGTAGGCTGTTGCTGATGGCATCTTGTGTAGATAATTGTTTATAAATACTTGTACTTTTTGATGATGTTTGTGGTAGTTCTCGAAGTTCCAGCTCCGTTAGGTAGAACTGTCTTGACGTTCGTATTGAAGATTGTGACTTAGGTATTGGTTGACAGTTGTCTTGAGTTCCATATGTTCTTCAACTATAGGAATGCCGTCCTTGCTTTGCCAATCCTTACCTTCACACCTGCATCAGATCCTCCTTGTTAATCAGTGTTGCTCCACAGATATCTAAAAGCCTCCACTTGTTTCAGAGCTTCTCCATCAAGGTGTTCTCCGTGTTGTATTTCAGGATCCTGCTTTTCCCCTTGTGTATGTTGAAGCCTACTGACTCAGAAGCTGCTGCTACACTAGTTGTTTTGATTTGCATTTGTTAATGTATATGGGATAGAAGGCTACTTCATCTGTGAAGTCTAAATCGTCTAGACGCATCCAAGCTGTCCATTGTATTGCGTGTGGTCTGTGTGTGCTGCTTCGATGTCCGGTGGATTCAATGGAACTGGCCTATTCAAGAGTGCTTCAAAGTGCTTCACACATCTGCTCCCCTGTCATTGAATCTCAATGATTGTCCTGCCTTTTTTATCCTTGACCGGTCTCTCTGGTTTGCCGTATTTCTCTGCCAGTTTCTTCATTATGTCATATAATTGTTTGATATTTCTTTCTCTTTCAGATTCTCCAATGTCCCTGCTAGATATTCCACGTGTATCTGCTTATCGGCTCTTGTGCTTCTTCTCACTTGCTTGTTTGCTTCTGTGTATTCAGCTTGTGTCTTGACTCTGTTCTTGTACGGTTGTCGTTAATTGTTGTCTTCTTATTCTTGAATCTTGTCTAGGGTTTCGACAGAGATACATTCCTTATGATGATGCTTCTTATAGCACAGAACCTCCTGAAACGTTGATCCCCTTCCAATTGCCCTCCATTGTAGTTTCCTGTTCTTTGAGTAGATCTTTTAAGGTCTGGGACCTGTTGTTGAGAGCTATCTTGAATTGAGTTTGTTAGTATCTCGTAGGAAGGCTGTATTGAACCTTCGTACTGCTGTTTCCCCAGCTGTCCAGTATTTCTTTAGCTTCAATTTTATCTTGGCCACAACCAGGTGGTGATCTGAATCTATGTCAGCTGCTCTCCTGGTTCTCACATCTTCCATTGTCCTCCTGATTTTTTTATTGATACAAATATGATCTATCTGGTTCTCTATGTTGTGGTCCGGTGAGATCCATGTAGATTTGTGTATGCGTTTGTGTGAGAATATTGTCCCGCCTATAAGTAATTTGGTGAATGCACATATATATGCAAATCTGTCACCACTCTCGTTCCTTTCTCCCACTTAGTCCATGTCGTCCCATGATATCTTCATACTCGATGTTGACCATTCCGATGTTGGTGTTTGGGTCTCCCAGCGGGATTATCAGATCCTTACCTGTGCATTTCGCTAAGATCAATCGCAGCGTCTCGTAGAACTGGTCATTGCCATTGCCATCATTGGTGGATGCGTAACACTGGGTAGCATTCATTGTGATTTGCTTCTTCTTTATTTTGAAGGATGCTTTAATAATAGTGTATCCATGAAATCACCATCACAGCAATTCCCTAAGTGTGTGAAGCGTTTTCTTCTTCATGACCAGAGTGCGACAGCATCTCTTGCGAATCTAATATTTTTTCCCAGCTTGGATCAAATGGGTTTCTCTGATTCCGAGTACTGCCAAGTTGTATCTCCTCATTTCCGTTGCTATTTGACTAGTCTTTCCGCTCTCCCACATTGTTCGAACGTTCCGTGTACCTATGATAATTGTTGTTCTGGTTGTTAAAAAGGAATAGGCCTCGTGATTTCCGAAGAATCTCGGCTTTCATCATGAGACGTCATGATTTTCCTTCCAACTTCCAGGACAGAGTTTAAATGATTTAATCTGTTTATTCTGGTTAGCGTTTTTAGCAAAGTTTTCTACGGGATGGGGTTGCCAACCCCACATCCAACACTCCCCTTTTACCTGGGCTTGGGACTGACAGTAGATTTAGAAGAGCTACAGGCGAGGTTTCAAAAAGTTTTATTGAGTAACTTCCCGTACAGGTGTTATGTTGATATCATCGCCCTTTAGTGAATACCTTCCAAGCATATATTTCTACCGAAATATTGAACAGTAAATGAGATTCTTACAATATAAACAGTTTACTTGTTGTAATTTAAGTGGTTCATTCAACAAATAAGTATAGCTTTCTATACTGTTGATCTCTATTAAAGGAACTCCCCATTATTGTTTCTTTTATTTTGACTCGCTCATTTTTTCTCGGGACAGTTAAAATGGGAATAAATCCGTTCGTTGGGTTTACACGTTTAATCCTTTTTTTAATAGTCGGTGTTGTACCGTATTGCACGAATGACGGGTGCTGATATCTTGGATTCGATTGATCGGTTAATGAGCAATCCTTCAAGAAAACCAGATAATAATACTCAAAAGTCAACAACACGTCTTGGTGTTTGTAATCATTTTGAAGTTAGACAATTACATTTACCAGATGGTAAGTTTCTGTATTCTTTGCCTAATCAAATACTTTGTTTTATAACTTTTTAAATTCTTTGTACTCCTTAAGCTTATAAAGTGACCTTGGAATCCCATTGAAATCAGCCTTTAAAGAAATGTGTTGGTATTTATAAACTCAATATAAGACGAATTCCTTTAGTGAATCGCAGGCAAATATATCATATTGACATCAACTGTGATTTAAGTCATTTATGTTGAACCAAAACAAACTACTGGATTGTTTTTAGTTATATCTCAAAATAGACCAGATATTATCAACTACCGTTTACGAATTCAGTGATCAATCTATCTGAACGAAATTCTGTGCTAACCATTGATGTCTATACAGAGCAGTATAATGCTTCTTTTGTAAACGTTAGATGGATTATTCGGCTAATACGTTTTTACTCTCGTAGATTAGTTATTTTTCCGTTACTAAACCTACTAGGTAGCTAAAACGAAAGAATTTCCGGTGTTGTATTCTTTATCATATTCTTAATCTGAAAGTGACAGTACCATATAAAGAGATTTCTTGTTACATAAAATTGATTTTATTTGGCTAGCAGTGGGATCCAGTACACGCCTTTCGTCCTCTTCGAGACTGCTCGGCTGAATGTATGTGCGTCCTAAACTTGATGGTCATTTCGAAACTTGGACTCATTATCGTTCATTGTAAACGCCAACGTGTTATCTGTTGAGTTACTGAATCCAATTATCAGTAACGGGATAATACAATTCATTAGAAATAAGATATTTTTGTTATATCCTAGTGAAGATTAAATTACAGGTAACTTCCGAGGACTATTAATGGACTAATATTCTATAAATATTCTTATTGTATAATTATTCAATAATTAAATCATGTGTATTTATATTCCCCTTATTATAAGCTTCATTTTGACCTATAATTTATTATTATACGACTTACTGTCCCTAAATTATGCTCAGTATGTTAACTACTGCCTCCCACGTTCACAGCCACTTTTTGTGTACAAATATTATTTCCTATTTTATGGTGCGTTGAGGTCTGTTTGTTTGATATATAAATACAGTATGTTTGAAATATATGATCCGCATATTGGAAGCTGATATTCGGTGTTCTGGACTCAAGTGGACGGGCTAGGCGGACATAAAACCAGTAAGGACGCTAAGCCGGATATAGAGTCATAACAATTTTGTTGTCTGGATAAATACAATTTTTTGAACTTCGTAAATGACAATTTAAAGTTTCTGCTTTACGTCTGGTTTTATTTGTAAATTGCAATATAATGTAATAGTATTTATCGTAGATATACTTCAATGTTTGTAATCTTTTCGCTTATCGCAATCAAAATATATTCAATTTTATTAGCATTTCAAAGCGTAGATAATGGAAGGTTAGTATTTTGTTGCAACCTGATGAAATATTTGAATGTTTGGTTAGGGTTTTATTTTGTACCACTGTTAAACTTTTTGAAATTTCAACAGGCTTCCTAGTCTGAAAAATGTCACACGCTGGATTTTATGCTTTTCATAGTATTTTCCTTTCATTTACTGCTTCGTTTTGCCAGATTCCACGAAATTTCTTACTTTCATTAAAAATAATTCTACCGAAACTGGTTTGGCGCTTGATTCTAATCCTATCCGGTATATCACTCATGAAGCGACTGTCATTCTACGAGATAATGATCTTGCTTCACTTATCCGTGCAAAACGTTGTTTTCTTTTCACATTACGCTTGTGCTATAATGCACAGTTAGAATTGGCTTATTCAAACAATGATCATATTTTTCATCTTCCTCATTTGTTACTGAATACGGATACGTATTCAAGATCACGTGTACAATCTCTAAATAAAATATGTTTACAAAACGATGCCGAATATTCATCGCTTTCTTCTCCAGTGTCGAGAAAAAAAGCGTTATCCGACCCCAATGGTTCAGTTATTTCTATTTCCTCTGTAAGTTTACTACTTTTTATTGAGCATGATTCTAATATAATCAGTTACTACCATATAAGTATCCTGAAGTTCTGCTGAATACTATGATAGACAAAGTTAGCTAATTCATATTTAAAATGGTTAGCTAAAAGAAGCACGGTCACTTGCTATAGTAATAATTTTTCTGAGTGATTATTTTGGCGTCGGTGTTATCATTCCTCCCAAATGCTCTGCTGCGACCAAGAATTGGGAGAGTCAGCTCTCCCTCCCGAAATGCTCTACCATGGCCACACGTATATAGCCACCGCCAGGGAAGTCCTGCTCCACTGCCTTCTCGCAGTGGGGGGGGGGTTGTTTACGAAATCGAGTGGACGGAAAGCGAATATGCGGCTCTTTAACCGGGTTGGTGGTGGTCACCCACTACCATGGTACTACATCTAACGTTTCTCCACTACCTATGGATTAGACTTCTATGTTAAAGGTTCGGTGTGTGGCCTCCTGAGAAAACCGCCTTCTTTAGTTTGAGCGTCCTTGCAGTATTCCAGCAAATCGAATGATGAAGTGCTGCGCACATGTATTTTATGCCTCTTTGTGCCAATGTTTATGTTTTTAAATAAATAAATAAATTATCACCAGTCATTCAAAAGACTTCTTTTGCTATTATTATCTGACTCATAAGTAATTTAAAAACCAGATACGGATGTGCATCGGTCAAAATTCTCATAACTCACCAGCACAATGAGATAAAATTACGAAAATAAGTATCGGAGTAGTTCAAATCATAGGAATATCAGTGTTAGTAGAATCAGTTAAACACAGAGGAAGAATTTGATAAATAAAAATTTCGGAATAGATTTAAAAGTCAGGATCTGATGAAAAACAAATAGCAAACTCATACCATCGGAACCACTTTTAAATCATGTCATCTAATTTCTCCAACTAGTAATTGCTGCTATTACCCGTACTTTTAGCCAGGTAATTTGTACGTACTCATATGTCTCAATCCAACAGTCGCTGATTCTATGGACTGATTCCACATCTTGGCGCCTGTAGTTTTCCCCGAACTATATATTCAGTTATATACTGTTCATTGTGCTTTTTTCATTTATTCATTTTTTTTCTCTATAGACGACCGAACAAACATCTATATCAAACGATGAAGATGACAAAAACCTCTGCTCTGATTTAGCGATATATCTTCAAGGACGTCTATTATCTGTCTCACCAAGTGTTGAATTTCGCTTACCCTATTTAGCATCTAGAGAAGGCCAGTTATCTTATTTATACCCATATTATACTTATGTAATTGACTGGCCGTTAGGACGTAGACTGAATGATTTGATGAAACGGAAAGAAAAAGTAAGCCTTATTTGTTAAATGATTTTTTTTTTCGATAAGTTTTTAACACCATTCTTTTTGAATTGGTTAATGCTAACTACTAGGCATATGTTTATTTGATGTGTTGTGATGTTTATCGGTAATGTCCTATATAGTGTCTTTTGTCTAGTCAAATTCCACTAAGACTGAAGAACTAGGAAAACCATTAAGCTATTATAAGTTAGTTTTCGTATATTATGCTGTCCCCTTCAAAATTTATTCACAACCGACATAACACAGTGATAATAACTTTACATCTCTAAACTAAAACTTTATACAACCATGGTAGAGTATACTTTCCTAAATGTTAAGATCTAAAGTGTCTTGAAAATTCTCTTTGCTGTACATATTGAGGCTGTACATCAAATAATATCCTTCTTATTTATTACACATTCTTCTTTGGTCATTATTATATCTTTTAAGATGCTTATAGATTCACAACAATTATAAAGATGCATTTACAAGTTTTTATTTTGTGAGAAAAAGAGGTAATTATTCATTTTAATTTACTCTAATTTAAATTTTAAAGAAGATTTTACAGTTCTATATTCTTTTTATGAACGCACAACATTTTATAGAAACTTTCGAACTAATATTTTCACAACAGTGAAATGAAAGACTTTAAAAAAAGATGTCATATTTATAGAGATCTCAGCGACTAGAATTAAAATAACTTCAGTGTTTCAGTTGGCAGTCTGATTCGAGCTACTTCATTGAATTTCTTATTATTTCTCTAAAGAAACTCAAAACTTAGGGTTTATCTTAATGTTAAGCTCAAAGATTTTTGCGAACATAATTTCCTCTTTTTAATCAAATTGGTATATGTTGAGTATTCAGTGTGAATTTAATATCATTTTTTATTATTTACTTAACAATTAGTATTTCCAATATTTTGTTGATTTTACCACAGATTTTAAATAGTGAATTGACAGCATTAAAATATTACATGATGAGTGCTAAATTACATAATCATCCATCAAAACATATTTCAAGTAACGAATCATCTCATCCTTTCACAAAGTGTAATTTGGAAATTTTTTCATCGCCTACTTTACATAATTCAAAATTAAATCGTCTTTTACCATATTTTCTTAGTGATAACAGTGACAATAATGATAGTTTTAGAAAAAATAATTTTGCAATGGATGGATTAATTATCTCTGAGACATTAACATCATCTGATGAAGCCTTGTATACTGATTATAAAGCTAGGGGTTTTATGAACAATAATAATAAACAGAACCTTGAAAGTTCTCGTTCATTTCCACGTCTTTGGGCTGGTATGAACAGTATTTTATCTGGTCATTGGAATTCTTTATTTAATACAAGACATTTGAAATCATTTAAATCAGGTCTTACAAAAACATCAACTACAACTACTGGTTTTACACCCACTTCTAATGTGCAGCTTATCTCGGAATCTGAAAGTGTAAAAGTAAGCTTATTAACTTTGTTTGTTTTCAAGCATATTAGGATTTTCTTTTTCTTTTTTCTTAGGATGCTACAATGAATTGTATTATCTTAAGGTTTCAGTTGTGTTAGCCTGAAAAACAATTTTAATGGTTGAATGTCTATAGCTCCGAGAATGAGTGTTTAAATGAAAGTTTATTCTTAGTCAAGATTTTACTGTTCATTTTACTTTCGCAAATCTTATACACGTGAAGTAAAACAACAACAATAACTTCGACTAAAGAATATCACCTAATCCATTGATGCTTATTTGCTGTAAACAGTTAGGAGCTATTCTAAATCATTATAAAAGCATATGAACGGAATTATAAAATCTTATATTAATTGTTCTTTCAATAATAAACAGAAATCATGCAGAGGATCTGATCCTGATTATTGTTGCTACTTTGACGTGGTAGTAGGGCTTGCCTATCGTGATGAATCAATCGGGTCACACTGACTGGAACAACCGTTCCTCAAGGTCCTACCATGTCAGACAGGTCGGTTGAAGAGCGGTAAGACTAAAAGCAACAAACCTAAGGTCCGAAGGCGAAGTCGTACTGTTGACTGTACAGAGGTGTGACAGCAGTAATGTTTTTCTCTCAGATGCTGCCTTCCCACAAGGAAGAATAGGGTTAGAGAAGGTCGACCCGAAAAATGCACACCTCGCCCACGGATATCCGTCTCTGGTGGTAAAGTCTCAACAAGTACGGAGCTAACACGAAAATTACCCACAGAAAGGTCGTGTGTGACCGACCTCAAGCAGTTGTCCCTTGGGCGCTGTAGTCACTTTCTCAGGTCAGTAAGACCACCTTTAATCCAAATTCCTTTTCAAGTACCCCCAGAACAACCCTTCCACGTTGTGGGCAACCGGGAAGTGATAACTGCCCTCATACCTCTAACAGCACTCAAGACCACTCTATTCATAATCAACCTTCCTCTTCAACTCCTATTATTCCTCGTACATCGAGTTGCATTTTTTGATGCCAAAACTGAAAGATAAGTAAAAACGGAAATGTAAGGGCAAATTGTTATACAGAAAAAGGTGTCTAATGTATAAAATAATAAGGTGTAAGATTTGAAAGAAAACAATTGGTTGCATACATTAGTTTTATTACAAATTATTGTAAGGTATATAATTTAAAATTTTCAATCGAATGCGTTACCAGAAGTCCTACTTTTTATACTTGGAAACAAGAATCCTTGCAATTCCCATGATGTGAAGTGGAAACACCAAGACTGGTAATAATGAAGATTTATTGACTTTTCAAAAACTCAACGTCATTAAACCAAGTACACTCATTTATGTGCTGGTTTTACACACATTTTATAACTATTTAATAAGAATCATATATATGAAAAGATACACAGGATACTTATCAGGATTACTTTCATTAGAAAAAAAACATAATTTGAAAATAATATTTTGTTTATTTATTTTGTATCATTAATGAATAGCGTCTAAGAAGAAGCATTCTAGATCCACGTTCATATCAATCTTTGAGTTTTCTTGCAATATTATTTACAACAAAATGTATTATGCGACCAGAACCATGTGTTCCACCTTTGATAGCTACAGTGGAATTTTACGGTTCAAATGATTTGCCGTTAGGATTATTTTTGGAGAAATTTTGTTTCATGTAAGCTTTATCTTTAAGTAGTGTTGGTATTATTACAGTGTAACTAGATTAGAGTTATTATATTTTGCAGAAGGCAACTTTTTAAAACTTTTTCTACATTAAGATTAAATTTTATTCCCACTAAACTGAATAAAATCTATATTTCAAAATAACGCTTTCAAACTGATCCCGATTATGTACTTAGTCAAGGTCGTAGTCTATTTTTTTGTTCAACTCAAAAGGACGGATGTATATATAACTTCGACTCGTGTACACGTCATTCAGCTTGCAGAATACAGCTTCTTAGCGATTTCCCAATACTCTCAGTCACATATCAGGTTGGGTCAGCATAAAGAAAACTCGTGTATTCATATCTAATTCGAGCGAGCCCAGAATTAAAAAAAACACATTGTTTCCGACGACTGGCTACAATATGTCTGTTGTAATTGATATCAAGTGCTTTTCGTTTGGGTTTTTTCGATAAAGCATAATTATTATGTTCTTTTTGATATTTTTTAGGCAACAACATTGCCGTAATCCACTTTGTAATGTAGTAATGGCTGATCATATTCAAAGATTTATTCAAACTTCAGGATCAGTACAACTTATGATTCGTAAATTGATTCAAGATCCACCTCGATCAGAAGTCTTATCAGATATACCAAATCTAGGTAGTAATGATGCAAAATATCGTCGTCATTGTCGTATACAAATGTGGTTATTCTGTCCAATATGTCGTATTAATTCACCTATTAAACATATGTCTGCTGATACTTGGCATTTGTCTTTTGTAAAATTTCTTGATTTAATAATAAATAGTTCTGATAATTGGGCTTATTGTGGTCTATTCAATAAAAACTTGGATGATACAGTCAATGAGGTGAACACAACTGATGCGTCTAATGAACCATCACTTAATTCAGTAAGACATGGATTCGACAGTCAAACTATGAGTCCAATATTACAATTCCAGTGCCCACATTCTGTTTATAAATCTTTAGAACATTGCTTTGCTTTTGATCGGAAATTAGCTATTTTTAAGTAAGTAACTGGTTAAATGTTTGTACGAATATTTAGTCAATTAATGTTAAAAATTGAAGGTTATTTTAATTTAGTCATTATTTTGCTCATTTGATTATGAAGATTTATTTTTTCTGCCGCAAACATGATTGTGTTAGTTACAGTTATATTTTTTGCATTTTCATACTTTTATGGGGTCGTCAGCACTTTATAAAGTCTCAGATTTAATTATAAGCAGAAACGGATGGTGGCTAACAGTGGGATTCAAGACTCTTGTTTTGTCCGTTTTGAGACTGGTCAGCTGGATGTGCCCGCGTTCCAGAGTTGTTCACTCTGAGACTCGAACTCAATACCGTTCTCTTCAAACGTCACCACGTTATCCACTTAGGTGCTGAGTCCTGATAATCATTAGCTTGTGCAATGAGATGAAATTTAATTCATTTTCGCACTTTTCGTTGGCATCTTACTACTGATGTATAAGACTGCAATTGATTATTCTGTTATTGACATCCTGTGCGGACAGTCTCGTAATTGCCTTAAGTCACAAGCATTATAAGGAGAGATGGATGCGGGTATATTCAGCTGATGAGTTCTAAGCAGGACGAAACGCACGTCCTGGATTACACTTCTAACTACTATTCATCTCTGTTTATAATGCTTTTGATTCTAGGCGGTATCGAGACTATCTGCACAGGATACCAATAACAGACTAATCAATCGCAGTCCTAGTCATCAATCGGAAGATTCGAAGTATTGTATTATAAATTTAGGTCATCTTCAAGTACTTAAGCAATCAACAAACGTTATTAATCATCAAATAGTGATGGCCGGATATCTAGATCGAACTCTCTTTACGATACGTATAGCATTGTGAATCCTTTAAATACTGACAACTTAGCTTCTTCCCAAACTCTGATACTCTCCGATATATGGATTTTAATGGAAAAACTGCTGTCAGAAAATACTGAAGAAGCTGTGCTTCGAAAATCACTTCATGCACAGACAACAAATTCGTATGGGTCTAGTTAAGGGCGATTGTGATTCTCTATAGACCATGTTTATGAAAGTTTTAACCCTAATTCCAGTGATGGTTGCCACATTAGTACTTGCCTCAGTCAATCAGCCAGCAACACCGTACAACTTTGTACGTGCGTACATCAGTTCAAGTTGCCATACCCCGACCGTTGTTGCTACCTTGACGTGGTGGTCGGGCTTGCCTATCGTGATGAAGCAACCGAGCTATACTGGCTGGAACAACCGTTCCTCAAGGTCCTACCATGTCAGACAGGTCGGTTGAAGAGCGGTAAGACTAAAAGCAACAAACCTAAGGTCCGAAGGCGAAGTCGTACTGCTGACTGTACAGAGGTGTGACAGCAGTAAGGTGTTTCCCTCGGACAACCAGCATGACAGCGATGCTGCCTTCCCACAAGGAGGGGTGGGGTTAGAAAAGGTCGACCCTAAAAATGCACACCTCGCCTTATCCCACGGATATCTGTCTCTGGCGGTAAGGTCTCAATAAGTACGGAGCTAACACAAAAATTACCCATAACAAGGTCGTGTGTGACCGACCTCAAGCAGTTGTCCCTTGGGCACTGCGGTCACGCTCTCAGGTCACTAAGACCACCTTTAATCCAAATTCCTTTTCAAGTACCCCCAGAACAACCCTTCCACGTTGTGGGCAACCGGGAAGTGATAACCGCCCTCATACCTCTAACAGCACTCAAGACCACTGTATTCATAATCAACCTTCCTCTTCAATTCCTATTATTCCTCCTACATCGACTTTCAACTTTAAATTTCCTCTCTCGGCTTCCACCTCAAGTGTCACCATAACCAACGATTCTAGTGCGCAAAATACTGTCCCAGGTCTACTGAAACCTCGCTCCAAACTACACATTGGAGCCTTCAACGTACGAACCCTATGTCAAATCGATCAGCAGGCTTCCTTGGCTAAAACCCTAGAGTCTCTTACCATTGACGTGTGCTGTGTCTCCGAAACACGCATACAGGATTCCAGTGTGGTCATTCACTTGACCTCACCTCGGCAAAACGGAGAGCCAACGGGGTACACCCTTCGTGTATCTGGTGACCCGATGGCAAGTTCTCGTGGACTGGCAGGTGTAGGCATAGCACTAAGCATGAGGGCGGAACAAGCACTGCTAGAGTGGATCCCCGTCAACAGTCGTCTATGTGCTGTTCGACTGAACGGCTACGTAAGAACTCGGAAGGATAGGAACACACGTCGTTGCCTTTTTGTCGTTTCTGCCTACGCTCCCACTAACTGCAGCTCAGATGATGTGAAAGATGAATTTTACAGAAAGCTGTCCGAACTTCTTCAGAAAGCTAAACGCTCAGACATAGTACTCGTAGCAGGTGATTTTAATGCTCAGATAGGCAGTTTAAACCAAACAGAAAGGCATTTAGGTGGATATTTTAGTATTCCGACACAGCGAACAGATAATGGTGATCGTCTGGTGCAGCTATGCTCAGACAATCGTTTATTTTTAGCAAACACAAATTTTAAGCATAAGGAGAGACATCGTCTAACATGGCGACCCCCTACACCAAACCAACGATGGACTCAAATAGACCATATTGCCATCCGTCATCGTTGGAGAGGGTCTGTAGAAGATTGTCCCTCATTCTGGAGTACCTGCTTGGACTCCGACCATGCCCTAATACGGGCACACATCTGCTTGCGCCTCACTGGACGCAAAAAAGCCACATTAAAAAGACCCGTTAGAATTGAGTTAAGTAACGAGAAAACCAGAAGTAGGTTCCAGGAACAACTGAGGTCACACTTAGGTAGTTGTGAAGACGAGGCTGACCCAGATGTTGCTTGGAAGGGAATACATTCAGCTGTGGAAACAGCAGTGACATCTATTAGTGACTTAAACCACAGAGTTGTAAGGAACCAGTGGATTTCTTCAAGGTCTGTCACACTGATGGATTCTCGCAAACTCGTCCCATCAGGTTCTGAACATGATGAAGAGCGAAAACAAATCAGATCTAGGTTAAGAAAAAGTCTAAGAAACGACCGTGAGCAGTGGTGGGCATCGAAAGCAAAAGAGATGGAAAAGGCGGCGACTATAGGGAACACAAGACAGCTTTACAGACTAATAAAAGAAACTGGAATTAATAAGTCAAGTGTAAGTGAGATTATATCGGAAAAAGACGATACACTCATCTGCTCCCAGTCCAGGCGTTTAGAACGATGGGCGGAACACTTTAGGGAACAGTTCAGCTGGCCTTCAGCTACTCTACAACTACCCTCCATTCCCAGACAGTGTGAATGGAACATTGAAGTAGGTCCCCCGACTCTTGCTGAAGTTCAAAAGACTATAGTTATTCTGAAACGAGGAAGGGCAGCTGGTCCAGATGGATTGGCTCCAGAGGTCTTTAAGGATGGTGGTCCAATTTTAGCCATTAGGTTGACTAATATTTTAGCTAAGATCTGGGAGTCGGACGTAATCACATTTGACTGGTCGCAATCACTTATCGTCCCAATATATAAGAAAGGGTCAAAATCATCCTGTGACAACCACAGAGGGATTAGTTTAACAAACATAGTATCTAAAATACTGGCCTCGATAATTATCAAACGCCTAACTAAGACTCGCGAACTACAAACTCGAGAGAACCAAGCTGGCTTTAGACCTGGTCGTGGCTGCATCGACCACATATTCACCATTCGTCAGGTTCTAGAACACAGGCATACCTATCGGCGTCCGACGATGGTGGTCTTTCTTGACTTAAAAGCAGCATTTGACTCGGTAGACCGCGAGACTCTGTGGCAGTGTCTGTCATTGAAAGGCGTACCTCAGAAGTACATAAACCTTGTGAACGCTCTTTACTCGAACACTACTAGTCGAGTCAGGGCTTATGGCGAACTGTCATCTACTTTTGCAACCTCAAGTGGTGTCCGTCAAGGCTGTCCACTTTCTCCATTTTTGTTTAACTTCATCATAGACCTATTGATGGAAATAACACTCTCGTCGACTGAATTCTCGGGTATTGATCTCCTTCCAGGAGGTCCACTTATCGACTTAGAATACGCAGATGACATAGTCCTGTTTGGTGAAGACGCCGATAAAATGCAGAGTCTTTTGGTAGCACTGAGCAACAATGCCAGAATGTTTGGGATGCGCTTCTCTCCCTCTAAATGCAAGTTGTTGCTTCAGGACTGGTCTGCGTCAACACCTGAACTAAGGATAGGGAGTGAAGTAGTTGAACGCGTTGACAACTTCACTTATCTTGGAAGTCTGATTAGCCCTAATGGGTTGGTGTCTGACGAAATCTCAGCACGGATTCGAAAAGCTCGTTTGGCTTTTGCCAACTTACGTCATCTTTGGCGAAGGCGAGATATCCGTCTACCAATAAAAGGACAAGTATACTGCGCGGCAGTTCGTTCTGTTTTACTTTACGGCAGCGAAACATGGCCCTTAAGAGTAGAAGACACCCGTAAGCTACTAGTATTTGACCACAGATGCCTTAGAAATATTGCTGGCATCTGCTGGGATCACCGGGTAAGTAATAGTGAGGTTAGACGCAGGGTATTAGGGAATGATGGTAAATCAGTTGATGAGGTTATGAATCTTCATCGACTGAGATGGTTGGGCCACGTATTACGTATGCCTGAACACCGATTACCACGACGTGCAATGCTAACCGGGGTAGGGGATGGTTGGAAGAAAGTTAGGGGCGGCCAAACCAAAACGTGGCATCAGTACCTGAAGTCACTAACTTCTAGTCTGAGCCATGTTGGTAGATGCAGACTACTTGGTTGGGGTCCGCGTGACTTTCGTAACCAATGGTTGGAGACTCTTGGTGACATGGCTCAGAATCGATCACAATGGCGTCGGTGTATACACTCCCTGTCTTCTTTTAAACTAAGAGACTAAAATCACTTCATTCTTTCTGTCTACGAACTAATTCTTTCTTCCTATACTATATCCTTATTGCAACCTTTGACCTAACCACTCCTATGAATCCGCTGTTCATCTTGCTGTGCTAATGAGGTATGGCAACCTGGACCGATGCACATATGTGCCTGGTCCTACGTTGTAGCTGACTGACTGACTGATAATGGTTGAGATAGTAGAAGTATAAACAGTAATAGGAAAGATTAGGGTTTGAAGATGTTATTCAAGCAGTATAATCCAGTGAAATAAATGTAGAAAGAGAAAAACGAAAGGGACAGGAATTCAGAAGATTAAAATTTTGAAGAACATGAAGTGTATGTCAAAATACTTGTGAAGTTAAATGTAGAATAGACAGGACGTCAGTTGCGTAACCTTTCGAGGGTTGAATAAATATCAGTCTGGATTGTATGAAATCAAAATAATATTAAAGAAGCACATGATTTTCGAACCGAAACTAATAATGATGCTGCCTTCGGAATCAGCCGATTTGTCAGTAAACTCGTAGACGTCGCCTGTGATGTTAATACAAATGATAAATCGTTCGTCCCCTGATGATGACTGTTGTTTTGCCAGAAACCGAAATTACCGAATTTGCTGTGATGTTTGCCAAGTTCTCGATGTCAACGAAGGGCTGCAAGATGGACATAGAAAGCAAAGTCAGTGATAATAACCGACAATCAATTAATATATTAAAATTTCTGCTATATAGTTTAGTTTTTAGCCTCATAATAATGTATATTTTACCCTCAACTATCCACCTTACCTTGATATATGATATTGATCCTCTCATAAGTTATTTTGCTTCCTACTACAGATATCAACCGGTTAATGTTTATGAGATTGTTATGCCTCCAAATGAGATTCGTGTTTTCCCGGTGAAAGTCAATAATTCGAAGTCCGAAAGTACCCGCATGTTAACTATGAAAAAACCAACTGCTGCAAGTGACATGAACACAAATGATTTGGAAGATGGTTACTGCACGGATAGTACAGACCATACTACCGCTACTGCTACTAAGTCTCATAGTCAGTCAAATCATCACAAAGTTACTAACCTGCAGAAAACATCTCACCTACCAAGTTATCTGTACGCTGAAGCTTCCGATGTTTTAACAAAGTAGGTGTTCATTATTTTATTAGCGTTTGTTACAACGGTGAAACAATCTTATAAGAATAATGAAATAAGAGTAGACTATGCTGAAATATGATAGTCATTTTGTGTCAAGTCGACCAACTACCGGTATTTTTTTTAAAACTGTTTAAAGGTATACTAATAAATGTTTACTCTAAGCTCAGATAGTTTAATGATTAAGAAATTCAATTTCTAATCCTTTGATTCCAGACTTGAGTTTTTATACATGGTCACATGGTCAGTTTAGTATTATTTTCAGCCTCCACTAAAATCAGTGTCACACCTTAGAATATTCACTTGTATGTGGGTTGAATAATTGCAAAACAATAGTAATTGCAAATTTCATGTAAATGAGCACTACATTCCTATAAAAATGAGTAAAACTTCTCGTTCAACACTCTATATCAATAATTACTGACTTCAGCGTATCTGCAAGATATATAAAAAAATTTCAAGAGATTCGTTCTGTGAACATCCTCCTAGTTCATTTGTTAAATTTGTGTTGATATTCGCTGAAAATAGTCGGTTTTTTTTATTGTACTGACATGCATTCTTCACGTAATAAATTATCGAATTCCAGTACCCTGGTTGCATTTGGACGAATGATGAAAATGTATTTTAGGCATTTACTTCGTCTGCCGAAGTGTTCGGCACCAAGTGTGGTTTGAGATTCATGTAATTACTTCTAATTTTAAGTAGCTGGAAATTCGTTCTGTCCTCAAGTTGTTATCCTATCCGCATATTATTATTTGTAAAATAAATCCATGTATTGCATTGCACTGTTTCCCTTTCCTTCTTAGGTATTACACTATAAATACTGTAATTAAATGTCATATTGCCAATCAACAAAATGAGAAAATATCTTGCGAACTGTCCGCTATGCTCGAGGCCTATCTAAAAGTTCTTGAAGTAAGAATCTTGATTATTTTCTAGTCCATTTTTAAAATTCCTTTTTGCGGTATAATTATGGCATCATGAGCTTTTGTATTTATATGCATTTTCATGTATTGGATAAAACGTGAACTGAACCCCTTTCATTAAGGAAGAGTAAGTATCATTCATTCAGACACAATTTTATGTATCGGGCTGAACATGCTGAAATACCTATTCAAACTCAAGTTAAATATGAATGTACTTGTTTTTCTCTTTCAAAACAAAATTCTACGCTGAATAACAAATCTAATGGTAAAGTTCTTGTGACATTTTAAAATTAATTGATCACTGTGTAGTGGTAGTCAGTGCCATATTTGCTTGATCAGGTTACAATATGCCCATCGTGTGGACTGTGTTGAGATGCTGGGTGTTTGGAGATAGTTGATGGTAAACCTCGAGATCTGAGTTTCGTGATATGCACTCTTCAGCAAAACGCACCTGCAATCTTGAAGGAACCAATGCTGCTTGTGGGGTTCAAATTTGCGTGACCTAGCTTCATATTCTGAGACGTTACCTACCACTGAGCTTTGCGCACCACTGATAAATATCTTATTTTCACAATTGGTCAGTAGCGGGATCCGAGTCCCATAGGAATATCTTCTCATGATTGTATATATACTTTGCTGACGAGTGCCAACCATCCCACAGTCTAGGTCCAGAATTTCCTGTTAAATGCATCCAACCACCTTACATATGAAAATCTTCTTCATATATAAATACTTGTTCTTTAAATTGATAAAAGAAATATTATTATTGAGGAGGTATGGGATGTCTTTACTTTAAGTGGTTTAATGTTACGGGGGCGACAGTCGGCAATCAACTGACTTTTTCTGTATTAGTAATTAACATTTTTTAGTTTGTAGTCAAATTCGTTGAGTCGGCTTAGCTATGGCACTTTTTCGATTGGTCGATCGATTATTTTTCTGTAATATTTACTGAACTATCCTCTCTACGTATTGTAGTTTGTGTTAATTTTGTTTTCATTATGCTTTTGTTCCTCATAGTGTGATTCCACTCGTATACTAATGGATGAAAGATCAGAAATTTTGGATTTCATTCTACATCCGAGTGACAGCAGTCAAAAGGAAAGGTTTTCTAATAAACAGTATGTTGAAGACATACCAGCGGGTATATCACATAGTCTAGGCCCTCTTGCAAAGCCTGTAGAAGATGATTCTGAATCAAATACTGTAGAAAATGAAAAAATATCCACACCTGATAAGCAAACAATAACTACGGATGAAAAAATCTTTTGTACGACTACAATCCAGTCACGTGTTCGAACTCATTCAAATAGCATTTCAAGTGTTCATTATGGCTCCAGTGAAACTGCTGAACAAAGATGTGATATTTCACAAAATGAAACCAAATGTCATAATTGGTTCAAACTAATCTCTAGTTTAAACAGTGGTTAAGTATATTTGATATAATAAAGCTGATTATTGTGTAAACAGTTTAAATACTTTGCTTCTTCATTTTTAGTGAATGTGCAATTGTTTCAAATACTTAATTACTGATGGTTTTTATTTTTTATCAAATTAGTCATTTATGCACTTGAGTTTTGTTTATTTAATAGTTCCTACCTCTTACTTCAGTGAAGCATGTGATTACCGGTTGAACAAATAATATCCTCTGTTCATGAACAGTTGTTTAAATGTTATTGGTGCACTATCTGAGGTGCTCTGGTGACTTAAAATATACGACAAGTCAACAACCTTTGGAATGCTTGAGTCTTCCTGACCTACAATTAATTGTGCCCAAATGAAGAAGCAGTATCACTTCGTAAAATCGTATATTTGATCTTTACTTCTATTTCACTTATGTGACAGCTGGAATTAATAGGTTCATGTTTACGCAAAATTTCATACAATTAAAATGTTACTCACTCAGTTCATAACTACAAAGGTTAATTTTCGCTTTTTAATTTATGTTCTCATTTTCAGTTGAACAGGCCTTAATTGTACAAAGATTAATTAATGAATTGAAACGTTGGATGTATCGATTTATTTCGGATTGGAATTTCAGGTTTGTTCTTTGCATGGAATACGTAAATACTTTTTACTCTATTTCCGAACTATCGTATAGTGCTATCGTAGTAAATTTTTTACAGTCCCGATCATATGCTTTTTTCTAAAAAAAGTGATTATGATTTTAAGAATTATTCCCATCACAAACCAACCAATATTTATCAGGCCGGACCATCAACACATTTTTTTCATCCTAGTTTAGAGGCTCCTCACTAGTATATGGCTATCACACCACAGAAAGTTATCTAGGCTCCTGAATAATAAGCTATTATTTATCCATTGAATTGAAACCCAGCACTCTAGGTCTGTGAATTTCCTACCCATTTAAGGCCTCCGAATGCCCTGGCATGGTCGAGAGTGGGGAGAGTCAGCTCTCCCTCTCAAAATGCTCTCACACGGTCACGCGTATATAGCCTCTTCCAGGGAAGTCCTACTCACTGCCTTCTCGTGGCGAGGGTGTTGTTTACGAAATTGAGAGGACGACAAGCGGATGTCTGGCGCTTTAAACGGGTTGGTGGACACGGAGAATGCACCTAGAGGAGTTGGAAAACCCTGATTCCAAACCAATGGTGCACATGGGCTCCAGTTTCCTGAAGGAACAAATGGTGTATGAACCAATTGTTGGTCACCGGCTACCATGGGACTGCATCTCCTGACGTTGCTCCACTGCCTTGTGGATCAGACCTTTAGGTTGAAGGCTCTAGGTGTGGTCCCCTAAGAAAACCACCTGCTTCGGTTTGAGCAACAGGGCAGTATCACAGCCATCACACAAATCGAATGAGATTTATGTGGCACACATGTATCCGGCGCCTTCTTTTACCAGTATTTATGTGTTCAAATAAAACAAATAAAAAAATAAGTTTCCGGGTCCAAATTGTCTCCTCACATCCGTTTAGTCTACTGGCTACCATATACAGCTTTTGAATAACATGTTATTCAAAGATTACTTCAAGAACCTTTATATAGTTACTGTAATTATCTTCAAATTTTCCAATAGATTAGAGATGGTTTATTATAATAATTGCAACTCTTCACCAACAATAATAACCGTAGTGGTATGTTATCTTAAATATATTTTTTTTACTTATTTTCTGTTATGGAATGTTTAGATTTAATGAATATGAATTATTAATGAAACGAATTGAAAAAAATATACGCGACAAACGGAAAAAGCCGACATTGTCGTATATTTCTACAACAGTTGCTAATTCGTCTCTTCACCCATCACCGAATCTTCTTTCTCCTTCAGTTCCTTCTCAAGTAACGGTTACAACTTCCGTATCACTACCACCACCAATAACAACACCATTACCCGTTAGTAGTATCATAACTAGTTCAAAGAGTGCAAACAATCTGCTAGATTCTACAAAATCATTTGAACACAACAATGATATGATTACAAATCTGTCTTCTTCCAATCTACCCATCGAAGTATCAACATCTCAAACTGTTTACTTTAATTCTATAGATCAAAATACGGACAAATTTTTAACTGGAATTGATTTAAGTAATAACATTTCAGTTAATTCAAAAACACCATTAAATAATGTGTTAACAGTCAGTCAACCAGAACTTCTAGTTCACTCCATAAAAAAAGACAGTGAAATGTACAAGTCTATTGAAAACACCTCAAGACTTGATTCTTTTAAGTCTGGTTTCAATTCATTTCATGATAGCATTAACCATGATTCAAGCCAACATACAGAAGATAATTATGTTTCTGATTTGTCTAAGAATTTACCTATCTTGGATCCTTTAAATTTAAAAGGTATTTCTCTGTTTCGTGTTTAATTCTTGATCTGGTGAAAATACATCATATTGACGACCTTAAACAGTTTTGAGACAGATTTCAGGGTTCGTGTCTATTTATGGGCCAATCAGAATGCACGTGATACTGATGAATAAGTCATTGCAGAAAACCAAAAAAGGTTAAGTTTTAGTGTTAGGGTTATCGTAGGAAATTCAGAAATCTTGCAACATTACACACTTCTCAACTCTGTTTACTTTCTTTTAGTTTTTCCGTAAAAAGCTGTGCACTTTGTAAATATTATTTTAATAGTTATTCAAGTTTGTTCGTATTGTTTATTCTTGCCGTGTTTATGCTATTTAAACCTTTTGATAGATAAAAACTAGTAAGTTTACTTGGATATGAATGATTTACAAGCTATCTGGCATCCCATTTTGAATCTTGGACAAAAGCCACAGAGCTACTATTTTAAATGTGATTGGTTTGTCCGTATGATATACTGTGACCATTGTTTTTGTCTTATATACTGTATAATTCAGCGTTGACTTATAAATACAATATAACAAGCTATTCATCTGTAGATAGATGATGAGAAACTGTTGTTAAAATTATATTATTGGACAGTAATATTTACTGGATAAATAATTATTATGTGTTTTTCCGTACGATTTTTAGTCGTATTCTCATTGCCATGTAACGTACATACTTTTAACATACTCTTGGATGAGAATTATTTTGCTTATAAGGTATTCTTTTGTCTACTGTCGTCAAATTGAAGCTTAATCATACGAATTTTTTATGCTTAATAGTTCGCTTGACTGAAAACAAAGTCCCATGACCTTTAATGCAAATAATTCTGTACACATTATTAAATGTTTGCCATCAGTACACTCTTCTTTTAATTGATAATATTGTATTTAACTTAGCTGAGCGTGCAAATCATCCCTGTAATCAACTTTCGGTAATATCAGAAAAAATAATCTTTCTGTGATAATACCGTTATGTTTCATAATAATCTTAACCTATATGCATATTTCAGCTGTTTACCAACGACGTGGTCCGGAAATCTTCAATGCTGAATCCTCTTCTCAAAATCAATCGAACAAAACTGAATCTTCAACTCATCCTATCCAAAACGAAATCTCAATTACGAATAATTCTTCCTCTTCTGGTGTGCGTCGCTTTATTCATAACTTTTTACCATCAGCTATGGATTTAAAAGTATTTGGCGAACCGGTCCCACCTCACGAACATCCTCAACTGACCATATGTGATGAAAGTTGCATTAACATTTTAAAACGTATTGAAACTACTCTCAATAAATCAAATGAAATCAAAATGAACAGTTTTGATTATAGTCGACTGTCTGAGTCTCTCTGTCAATTATTGCTTGCACATCCAGATGTTTATGTTAATGATCGAGAATTTACTTCAATTATAGCTTTTGCTTTGACGTAGGTTTTGAATATAGCAATATAGTTTACAGTAACTCATATAAACTAGTATTCGTATTTGGAAATCATCTACACTTGTACTCGAGTTTACACAAGAAGAATAAAGACTGTATTCATAAAATTGTCTTTACATAATCTAATATCTAAATAGCTAGATATGCGTCTACATAAAAATAGACATATATATATATATATATATATATATCTTTAATACGTAGTTAAACTCAAGCATGCAACTCTATCGTCATGACAGATTCTATAATTATCGAGGAAATTTCGGAGATTTTAGAATTTTTATAGTTTTATTCACCAGCTGATCTTAGTTAAATCACCATTAAGAGTCTGGACGGACTGAAAAGCTGTTTCGTTCTAATGTGGGACTCATGGGTAATCATTCTGGACCTTCAGTAGTGCATGCGACTGCTTAACCTTTAGACCTTTGAATCAGGATCTAACTTCAATCAGTTCATGATTTTACTCAGCTCCTATGCATTGTCTGCAGTGGATAACCATCTCTTTCTAAGTTATTGGCTGTGTACTGCTTTATATCCTCAGATTACAACTTCATTTTCGTTGTAAGGAGTGGAGTGGTACTACGAGAGTGCTTGGACTAAACTTTGAAGGACTAAATTTTCAGACGTCAACGTAGTATTTGCGAATCATTACGTTACTCCTTCAGTATCCTCTTATCTTGAATTAAGTTCATCAGTTATGTTGCAGTTTGATTTTATTAACAGTTTCAAGTTATAACCATATCTTATGTACAGATCAGTATTCTTGATACATTGAATGAAGTTATTCTATTAGACCCGTATTCATTTAATATAAATTAACTACGTACTGTATAATATCCATAATCAAGGAAAAATGAGTACTTATTTTATTAATTCCTTTTTTCTAAATGTTTCTTTTTAATTTTCATATGTTATTAGTACACGAGAATACGAAAGAAAGTTAGTGGATTTACATTTTACCCTTCAAGGCTCACTGCAGCACAGTTCTGATGTTCAGCTAGGTCAGGCTGCTCTTTCTAAGTACGTTTAATGGTCTATTTTTCAAAAAGATTCTTGTTCAAGCTTCAAAAACAATTTCTTTCCTACTAACTAGAAATTTTTAATGACAATCCCAGTTCTATAAACAGTAATAATTTATATAGACGTTTACGAAACCCCATGTATCACGGGTAGATTTATGTACGCAAATTCAAAACAGTATTGTTTATGTATGATACTATCCAAGTACTCTGAATTAGATTATCAGTGTTTTGATTCAAGTGCTTTTATCTCTAGGTGACACTCCTTAATAGCATTGATGGAACTTTGAATGAGTTCTAACACTTGAAATAATATTAGTGTTACATTTCATGTATTATCCACATTTACTTTTTATTGAAACTGACAAAAACCAGGATATTTTTCAAGTTATATAGTTAAAGGTAGTTGATAGAAATATTCGAGATCAGTTAAACAATATTGCGTTTCTTAGTTTAATGTGTACTTTTTAAATATGATTCATTAGATTCGATCAGGGCTGAAGATTATAGAAATTCATAGTGGTTGCCATTTGGCGACAGATTAGCACATTTCTGTTATGTTAATGAACTGTTAAATAAATCATGGTCCTATACTATAAATGACAGAGAAATTCTGCATCCTTTGTGAATATGCAACTTCACCTTTGGACTTTTGATTTTAGGACATTCTGTTTAATTTTAGATCGAAAACGACTGATACTACCTAATATGAATGTAATTACTTTGTCAAGAGATGTTAGAAAAATGAGTGGCATTTTAAACATCAAAAAGTCGGTCGATAAACATTAAAGTCATGTACGATGAACACATAACTATACAGGAAAACAATATTTTCTTTGGTCACACCGTTGTTTGCCTTGTATAAATAATTGGGGGGGGGCATGATATTGAAAAGCTAAGTGTGAGAACTTGTTCATCTGTATGGGTCTTTTTGTAAATTTATTAAATCTGCGTTCATTTATTTGCATAATTACACTAGCACGTTTTTGTTGTTTCTTTTTTCAGTTTTAAGGATAATGAGTCAGCTGTTACAACTGAGAATATATCTGGTGCAAAATGTATTGGTGAAAAAGAAAGACTAAACATTCTATATGATGACACTTCCCTATCGAATCCAAATGATGATGGTTCTTCTAAAAAGTCAGAAACATCACAAGGTAAATCAAATGTGCCAGTATTTAAATTCTTATGTCCCCTATTGAAAAGATTAATATTTTCTCATTTCTCCTATTATTACACATCACTTGCTATTTAGTAAAGCTAAACTCAAGGATGAAGATATCTGTGTATTCATATTGGTCTCAAATCGATTACGAGTTGACACTCAAAGAAAACCGATGAATATACGTGTTTAAAACGATTTTACAGCAAAGAGAAATAATGCATCTAAATGACTCTCTTGAAAAAAGCTGATGTAATCAGTTTGAAATTAAATTTACAGAATTTCGGTTAGGTTTTCAAGACTTCGGACTATCAATTTTCCAAATGCACATTCTTTTAGATAAGTTATATCATGAAGTATGGAAATTCGACAGATTCTTCGCAGCCCTTCACTAAGTCTGATTGAATAAAACTCAATCCATAGATTGATAAACATTATTTGGTGTAAGTTAAACACGTTACGAATATGGACTATTATTAGGACAATAAAATTGTAAATAATATTAGCACAGACATAATAAGAATAGAAGTTTTATCTATTTCTTTCGAATACTTTGCGTTATTTTGCTTCACTCGATAGATAAAATTACCACAAATTATCTTTTATATAATTTTTTCTTTTAATTAAGAAGAATGTAATAGAATACCATCTTCACCAAATGTAAGTGCATTGCGTGATCAAAAACCGCCTACACATACTCATAATATATCTGCCAGTTGTCATACTACTTCATTATCAACATCTACAACTGACAAATCCAATGGGTCTCGAAGTCGTCATATTAAAATACGTAAGTTGTTCTATAAGTTTTGGAAATAATGCAAATAAATTATTGAATATTTAAAAAAGTGTGAGTGAAGAATATTCTCTCTATTATATCTAGAACTTGGATGTTTTGCTATACCGTATACAACTTGAGCCGTCTCCACACTTTCTAATTAATTCTCCCTTGGTTTCCTAGTCATACCTGGGTATTGATTATTGGAAAGAATCACCAAGTTCATGTTGAGTACATAATTTAAAATTATACATGATAGTTTCTAAGATCGTAATTATGATAAAAGATAATTAATTAAGCAATCCATTATTTAATTGAAGAGAAGAATTAGAAACAACGCAGCGAAAAACATTTTCTTCTCAACCATACCATTTAATAAATCTACAATCGTATAGTGATTTCACAAATATATTAGTCTATAGAAGAAAAGAAAGAGATTGCACCACAAAATGTTCGGAAATTGCAAGTTTCACAAGGAGGTTGCGTAATGACCAAGAGACTAGAGAAAAATGGGAGGATATAAATAATTTACGGATCAGAAATATTAGACATAATTGTTCTCCTTAACAGATATGAAGCAATAAAAAACGTGGAACTACCGATAATAGCTGAATAATAATTCTAAAAAATCGGAATAGGTTAATATTAGCTGACTTCTGATCAAAAAGCAGACTCTGAAGGGAGTTCGAGTTATGGGAGAATGGGAGACTGCAAAGTATCAAGTACAAACGCATTGAAACTGGTTGATCTAATAATTCAAACATCATTAAATGCCCTAGTACACCGAGCATGCTCGCATAGCCTCGCGTATACGGCTACTGCCAGGAAAGTCATACTGCCTTCTCGCCGCGGCGGAGTGTTTACGAAATTGAGAGGACTTAAAGCGATTGTCGCGCTACTTATCTGGACTCTGACCAACCATTGTTTGCACTTATCTTATTTTACGTTTCAACGACCAACAAACTCATCGTCCTAAACGAGTCGATGTCAGCTAATCGGTTTCGGCTGTTGTTGCAACTAAATATCAAAGCGAGCTAGGTTCATGGCTAGCTACCATCCCACCGAAAGTTATATATAAGCATTGGTTGCAATTGCATGACGTCATGAAAGTGGCGAGTAAAGTCACTTGTGGCTTCGCGAAAAGTGTCTCTTACAAGTAGTCGGTTTCTACAGGTTTCTTACAACTCATATGTCTACTATGATTGATTGCGATTTTAACAATAAACGAAGATTGTCACGTAATGAAACTGTGCAAAGTCTGCGTAAGGACCGAGAAGCCTGTTGATCGTGGCGTGCTAAGGAGTTGGAAACAGTAGCTGCTTCTGACACCTACAGGAGGCTTTATCAACTCATTTGAGTCACTGGCAGCAAGAATTCGTGTGAGTGAAACGATATGTGAAGCTGATGTGATGCCAACCAATGATATATACCGACGTCTTGGACGATGGGTAGAGTTTTTCAAGTAACAGTTCAACTTGTTTGTTGCTTTGGTGACATCGATCAAACTGTCCCGTCCTCTATGGACTGTGATGACTAACCCACCTAACGAGATAGAAGTTTTCAAGGAACTTCAAATCCAGCAGCCCTGCAAATCGCCAGGCCTAGATGACCTATCTCCGATCTTTTTCAAAGACGGTGGCGACCTTCCGATTAAGGTAATCATTTAGTTGTTTTTAGGCTTCTAGCAGTTAGATAGTGTTCCAACGTCGTGGAATGAGCCTATAGTTGTCCTTATCCTAAAAATGCGATAACTATTGAGGGATAACCCTGTTTCTGGTTGCATCCAAATTATTATCTTCAGTCATGCTTTGCAGATTGCCCAAGACCTGGAAAACATTTACGTGGGGGAGGTTGGTTTACGTTCTGATCGGGGATGTGTTTATCATATCTTCACCCTCGGTCAAGTGTTAGAACCCTATTCCTACCCTAGTCATCTCTTACTGCGTTGTCCCAAAATACACGAGCAATGTTTCGAAGACGTCCGTGACCGAATACTAGTAACTCACGAATATCCTCTATTCTTAATTGCCATGCTCCACATCCATAATGTGAAACGAAGCGAACTGTTGCGCAGTAAACTCATCCTTTGGTTGGAAGACGGATTTCCCACCTGCGCCACAAGTGAAGCAAGTTGGCAAAGCTAGTCAAACCTTCTGAATTCGTGATGAGGTTTCCTCAGACACGAGACCATCAGGGATGATCTAGTCATTAATTCAGGCGATGACGCCAACCAATCCTGAAGTAAAGTTTTACTTTTTGAGAGAGATAATCGCATCCAAAAAATGCTTGCATTGTCGCTTAAAATGATCAGAAGACTGAATTTTATAAGCATATTCATCAAACAGAACTATATCATCTGCGTATTCTAAGTCGACAAATGAATCTCTCGATAGATCAGTCCCTGAAAAGTCATACGAGGAAAGTGTTATTGCTAATGCATATCTACGACAAAGTTATATAGAAATGGAGAAAACTGACAGTCTTGAGGGACACCATTTGAAGTGACTGATTCCGATGACGGTTTGTCATAATCTCTGACTCGAACATTAGTTTTCGAGTAGAGAGGCTGTACAATGTTAGTATACTACTTCTGTACACCTTTCAGTGACAGACTGCCACAAAACCCTACGATCAACGGAGTCGAACGCTGCCGTAATGTCAGGGAACACAACCATAATTAAACGTTCATAGTATGTCGACGTTCGAGAATCTACTGAAAGACGAATATTTAGTTTATACATCCACGTCCAACTTCGATACCAGCCTGGTTTTCTCGGATTTGCTTTTCACCAGCTTCAGCTAGACGTCAAAATATTTTTGAGGTTAACATTTTAGGTGATTGTCACAAGAGGATTTTTGTTGTTTCTTATAAACTGAGACGATCAGCTATCGAGACTTATCAGATGGGATGACGTCCGGTTTTCAGATTTTAGCTAATATCTCAGTTTATCTAATTTCTAAGACTGGACCATCATTCCTAAAAATCTCAGCATGGTAGTTCTGTTTTATCTACTCAACGAGTATAAAACTTATTTCTCTTGGCAGGGAATCGCACTTTTTTGTTATTATTATTATTATTGTCGTCTGAATTTAACCATTTACTCTTAGCATGCATAAGAAATTAAATATGGCTTTTGTTCTCAAATTATAATTCTTCATTCTGCTGTTTATTATCACGATTATTATTGTCCCTCCTCCACAGAGTTTTCAGATAGTTCAACTACTTTCTTCTGTTGTGTGTACTATGCCTCTGAATTTTTCCGTTTACGTCAACTTATAATGCCTAATGGAGATCTGTCGTAAGAGATATCATGTTTATTTACTGTCGCTTTATATTTTATTATTATTATTACTATTTTAATTCTTCATATATATACAAACTGTTCAGTTAAATGTATATAAATATAATTATCAAGTGTAAATAAAATGAAGTACATATGTGTTTAGCTTGCAATTATTTCAAACATATTAATTCATAGCGTTTCTTTTTTGTTCATATTCTTTATGTGCACGTTATCATCACATTTGTAGATGGATTCCGTAATAATCGAATAAACACTGGGCTGTCATAGGCCGACAAATAATTTATCCTTTTATTTAATCTTGTTAAATCATAACATTGTTTGAGCTTTAGTTAAACAAGTAGTGGAAAAGAAAACAGCTAATTATTAATCATTACAGTTATTAGTTTTTAATGAAAATAGCATCTTGTTTTGCGATATCGAGTCAGTTACACAAGTGCCCAGTTTCCAGTTTGATTGATAAAATCTGATCAACACTAAAGTAATAGATGCATGACACTGGTCATTACTCAGTGGGTGGTCAGCCGTAAATATCTCAATCCAACAGTGGATAAGACTCTGTCTAAATAGCTCAGTAATAGTATCTTAGACTGTGAAAACGACTGATGCAGTTTCAAGTCCCAGGCTGAATATCATCCCCGTTAAGATTACACGTACGTTTTGCTGACAAGTGCCACTTGGTGTGAAACCTAGATCTGTTGTCCCCCGCGGACTACTTCCTAAAATCTAACGAATGTTGCTTTAGAAAATGTTTTTACTCGTGTTTTATGTCCATTTTGGGTCGTTTTCCATTGCTATTTATACGTTTAATACAGAAAAATATCCTGTTCATGATGTATTTTTATTATCTAGAATGAATCCGTTGTCATACTCTGATTAATTTCTTTATTTCATACAACTGACGATACAAAACAAGTAAAAATTAATTATTTTGAAAAGTAATGAAAATTATGAGTACCTCTGTGATTCGAACCAAAACCGTTAGACAAATCTGAAAAACATTTTTCTAATTAATATGACCTATTATTCACTTCGTTTTACAGCGCTTATCCATAGATGACATCTAAGTATATCGCTTTTTTGACTAAGCGAATAGATTATATCGAACGTCTTTTCTCAAGTTCAGGAATAATTAATCTCGCGCTTTACGTCGCATTACTAAAAATTAACTCGTCAGAGAAATATATTTTATATAAACAGTACATTCAAATAATGGATTCCTTTCAGTCAACTGCTAGTTATCATGTCTTCCATCCGAAGTCTTATTTATATTACAATCGTATATCTTTGGACTTTTTTATGGTGATTGCTAAATAAATTGATAATGAAACTTCTTTCTTTTTTTTAATAGTTTCATACATTCTTTATCACGATGCTATCAATGGGATGCACGTGGTGGTAAATCAGGTTCCTTATTCATGAAAACTCGAGGTATGTTTTGACACATGTGTTAGGTAATTGTCATGTTATATTTTTATTTACAATAGAATTCATAATTTGAATAATACTATAGACAGTACGTATTTTGTCCATTTTCGATGTGGGTAGCTTAAATATGCACATTAGTATTTGAATTCCCGAATGTTGATTTGTCCATCCACTTCTCTCTTTGATGTCTTACTTTCTTTATCATGCTTTCAAATTTAGATAAGATTATGCACTAACATGTATAGCGATATTGTCAGTTCATAATGTTACCGTCTGTTAGTATAAGATATTCAAAGGGGTGTATACTGGGCTCAAACAGATGGTAAAAACCAATAACTGAAAACTGTTCGACGTTTTATTTTTAAGGACAGTTTTTAGGTTCCGTAGAAAAATAATCTGACCAAGTTGCCACGTTTACTTTTGGACCAATATACTATTATGCATACATCTGACGGTATATGAGTATATTTTCTACGTTAGTCATATATATGGCGATATTATTGAACTTTTTTTTATTACTTGGTAATTCACAGATGAACGATTTGTAATTAAAGAACTATCTTCAATTGAAATGAAAACATTTCATGAAATCTCTCAGGATTATTTCGATTATGTGATTACTGCAGCACTTGAACAAGTAAGATGCTACATATTTCATAGAATATATTTTATTAAATTTTATTTAATCACTTAATGTGTTGACCGTTTTATTTTCCATTAACTAATACTTCACATATAATGCAAAGTTTATATACGTACATAATATGTATTCGCGAAATATATATTTTAATTTTGACCTATTTAGTTATATTTGTACATTATTTAGTTAAAACGTTTAAAAATTAGAAGAAACACCAATCATAATTTACCGTTCTTGCCATTTTAAATATCTTTATTGGGATACGAATGAATTAAAACTTTGTCAGATGAATCCTGCTAATGAGTCTCGAAATGGGACAAAACTTTGGCCCTAGATTTTGCTGTTGGCCATCATCCATCTCTGCTTACAACAGTTAGCTTGGTTTATCATATACAGCTCCATTCAGCCGATTTATAGCTACACCTCATGTTTATGAAGGGGGACGTGGTTACTTATACTATGCAGCGCTTTGGTTGTAATGGACAGAGTGGAAATCATACATTTAATCCGGTGTTTGAACTCAAAGTTGTTGCTGGTTACAGTTTTTATTATCGTATTCTATTTTGTTGTCATGAGGCTTTAGATACAAAGATAAAGATAAATTATTTACTGTTTTGCCACTTTTTACTACCATCTACCATAGAATGATGCAACCGGTGATCGATATTCTATTACCATTAGATTGGATAGTCGATCGATATGTTATACACAGACCGAATTACCTTAAACTAGATTCACGATTCCCGACCAAAAATATCAAACCAGAGCATGAGTTAGACAATACTGTATTCAACACAATTACCAGTAGTCTGCGCTCAGTGAGTCCAAAGTAAAAATCAATAATAATAATAATAATAATAATAATAATAAGGAAATAATGTGCACAATAGACAGTAAACTGAGTGTTTGTTGGTCCACGCTTAGTGGCCAATCACATTTCCTTTCAATAGCCACACATCAGTTTTGTAAAGTTTGACTTATTTTACTGAACAGCGTTCGCGTGCCAGACCGAAGGTCCTGGATTTGAGTTTTGCGTGCGGAATCGTGGATGCGCACTGCCGATGAGTTACATACTACGACGAAACGGCCGTCCAGCGTTTCTAGGTTTTCAATGGTGGTATAACATTGATCGGTTCTTCATCTTAATTAAAACTCAACAATCTCCACAACCCTATACTAGTTACTGAACAGCATTCATTCTGACACTCGTTTCATCCACATCAACGTAAACGTTCATTTGTGGTGATTTTTTTACTTTAATAAATTGACTTTGTTTCACTAGTTCCTCACTTTATAACATATTTTATTGTGTTTTATGTGACAATTATTTTAAAACTATCCAATTAATTATACTTGTTTTAAAAAATCCTTTTACAGCGTCTTTGTGTTTTATCAAGAATACTAGGCATTTTCCATGTTGGATTTAAAAATTCTACATCAGGTGAAGCCCATCGATTCGATGTACTTGTAATGGAAAATTTATATTATGGACGTACTCAACTGGCATATATTTATGACTTGAAAGGCTCACTACGTAAACGACTGGTAGATGAATCCTTCAATAATATCAACAATAATGGAGTTAATGCAAACTCTACTACTATGCCTACAGATCTAGCACAAACAACTGATGAAAGTACAACTAATTCCGGTATTGCATCGTACCACTCGTTTACATGCAATCAGTCAACAACAGTATCAGATAGTGGTTTGACTTCAGAGACAACTACAGTTAAACATAATGTACCTGTTCTTCTAGATCAGAATTTACTAAATGCTTCAATAGATAATCCGTTGTATTTAAGAGTTCATTCAAAGGTTAGTCTCTTTTATTAAACACCATTCATTAAACAAAAATGATTGAATATTTTTTAGTAGGAAAATACTATAATTTTTCAAAGCACTCGATACAGCGCTTTATTGTTTTAGTCCAAACTATATAATGTTGATTTATGTCATTCATCATAGTTTTTTTCTTTTTGTCCATCTACTGAAACCCTCTATATGCAGACATCTTTGATTAAAACCAAAAATCACACGTTCTCTTTGTGGAAGTTTATCTACGTTAGTTAACAGCATAATGTTTAAATAAATATCCCAGCTAAATAACCATAGCAACCTATGAGTTCGAAGTTAAGTTATAAAAAGCCAGACAATCGGCACCCTCCAACATCTTAGAAGAATAATTTTCCTTGAGAGATCTTAAAATGTTTTTTTTTACAACCACTGATACATTTCATAACTATACTCTTTGAATTTTTTATGCTAAGTGGAACACTATATGGATGCGAACTTAATTGAGGTCTTGCATTTTTCTGACTGATGTACGAGGTAGTTCATGCTTTTTATGAGATGGAATTTATTGTAACACATTCAATGCTTATCCTACTTTTCTTTCTGGGAACAAAAATCTACCTACTCGATAAAAAGAGCGGTAGATATATACTCTGAGCTGTTTGAATTCAATCATGCATTGAATAGTTGGGGGTAGTGTACGAGTAATCATGAACGTAGGTTGCACACTATTTGACACTCATCAGCAAGGTGTTCCTGTAATCTTAACAGAAATAACGCTATCTGCGGAATACAATAAAATTGATTAACCTTTTTATATTAGTGAATAGTTTTCATTGATGATTGTTTGATTTTAACACTGCTCGAACCTTTTTACATTGTTTAATAGACCAGACAATTTTTAGTTATCTAAAGACTGTTTGCCAATGCCGTTGATTTATTGACTTAATTTTAGACGATTGACACTCCTATAGTCTTGAACCTCCGACAAGTATGAAGGTATTTAAATAGTGGAAATTAGTTTAAGTATATAAAGTTATGTCTACAGTTCGACTATTAAGTCTGTGCAGTTTAACCAAAATTTCGATCAAATAGAAAGTATTTTCTGTACCCGTGGATTTTGTTTTAGAGGTATCAAAGATAATTACTTCCATCTCATTTCGTTTTTCTTTCATGTTTTCATTATCTCTGCTGTAAACGTAAACGTACAGAAAATTATTTAAGTGCATTTCAGTGTACTTGGTTTTGACTGCTTTTCATACTTACCACCGACTTCCTCAAACTCAAGCAGATGGATTGGATTTGTAGTCTATACATTATCCTACATATATTATGCATTTCTGTTTATGAGTGTACTCTTCTTTCTTACATCTCTCACTGCTTTTGCTATGAAAATGGAACTTATGAACCTTGTTTCTCAGGTATCACTGTTATTGCTATCAGTTACATAAGCTTTAGACTTTCCACGTTCCATTGCTATGAACTCTATGGTCAGCTGTACACTACCACGGATCAGTTTTATACGTTTGTATTTTGTTTCGACATTTAGCAAATAATTTTCACTAACCAGGACATTTTTGCATTCATATATAAAAGTTTAGATTATTCTCATTTACTATTTATCTGATTTGCTCTGTTTAGTGTAGAAAGAGTTTTGTATATCTGTTTAACAGCAGTAGCACGTTTTAACTTGTTATCGTGTGTGTGTGTGCATTTAAAGATTTATTCCCTTGTTCTCTTATCCGTTTTCTTAATTTTCAGAATGCTCTTTCACATTGTCTAAATATGGATACTGCATTTTTAGCGAATCTATTTATTATGGATTATTCTCTACTAGTTGGTGTTGATACAACAACTAATCAACTTATTATTGGTCTAATTGATTATCTACGTAAATTTACGCTAGATAAACGTTTAGAAATGATTATTAAACAAACAATAACTAGTGCACAAGGTCCAATGCCAACTATATTAACACCAGATTTATATCGTGAACGTTTTCTTTATCAATTGCATAGTTATTTTCCATTATTACCGGATCAATGGTATGATAGTTTAGCTGAACATACTGAAAATTGGCGTGTGTCATCAGTTCAACGTAAATCACTATCAGTGAATAAGACAAAGTGAATATTTAATTTTTTTTTCATATTTACACCAGAAACTGTGATTAGTAAATAATAAATGAATACCATACATGCATAAGATTAACTTACTCTTACTATTATTATTATGACTATTTAATCCCTATTTTCTATTTCTATGGTTATAATTATATATTATCATTGAAGTAAACACAGTTGATAATGATTTCTTTGAATTGTAATTTCTTGTTTTATTTTTAGCATTTTTCATTCAGTTGACAATTTGTCTTTTATATTATAATCGTCTTATTTATTTTTTTGGAGAATACACTTTCAAAATTGAATACATTTTTTCTCGTTGTTACTGACTATGTTTGTGATTCGTCCCATTATTACTGCAAATGCAGAATATTTCTTTAGGATTGGTCTAAGTCAATGCTTTAACAAATTATAGGGAGTGAATTAGCTGAGTGCATCAGCCACTTCAATTATCTCTGAAGTTCTATCAACTGTGGTGGGTTGGTGTTTGACGAAATTGCAGGATGTTTTCGCTTGACCTTTACCAACTTGTATGTTAGGTAAATCATCAGTCGATGAATTAATGAATCTCTATCGACATCTGTTGTACCAGTGGAATCCTGGGCCTTTTATATAGTCATATAGCAGTTAGTGTATCAGAAACTAAATGATCTTCTTTTACATGAAGCGTTTTCTCCAAAACTTAGATCTTCCTTCGATAGTATGGTGGTATTTACGCCTGTCATGCGGAAGGTCCGGGTCCGATTCCCGGCCGAAGAGTCGGTTTGTGCGACCAGGCAGTATCATAGGCCACACACAAACCAGGTGACTTGTGTGGCGCATATTTATTTGGTGCCTGTGACGACGGACCACCGGTGAACTCGAGGAAGCTGTAAGAGGCTCATAAGGAGCCGAAGACGTTCCATCCAATCACCTTTCGGAAGAATGTTCTAGAATTCCAACGTGTAGCTTCCCCATTGGATAATGCTAATAACTCCCTGTACGCGGATTGGAAGACTGTAATGATGATTTCGTTCTCACTAAAAACTATAAATACCTGACAATTTTGTATTATGTTTGACACTGTTTGGAATAATATTCCTTTCGTTAGTCTTCTGTCTTCTTATTGCGACTTGGAAGGGTTTGGTGTTCTAGTGCTCAGTTATACGCGGTTGTATCAAGAAAAATCAGCTTTTTTCAAGTTATAACATCTGGCGACGGGTTATTGTATCAATATGTCATTTACCTTGGAACAATTTGAAGCCTTATTGGAACGCCAAGAACAGTTCCAGATGCGCATGTTAGAGATGCTAACTCAGAAAATGAACCTGGATCAAAAAGAAGTTACAGATGATCCCTTCAAATCTCATGTTGACCAGATTGTTAATTCTATCCATGAATTTAATTTTGATGGTTCAGCTGGCATTACTTTTGAAACTTGGTTCAAGAAATATGAAGATTTGTTCAAGGTCGACCTCAAAAAACTTGATGACGCCGCTAAGGTCAGAATACTCTTGCGAAAACTTGGAACTTTTGAACATGAACGTTACAGTAACTTTATCCTTCCAAAGAATCCAAGAGATTTTTCTTTTGATGCAACGATTGAAATTTTGTCGCAAATCTTTGCTGAACAGTCATCCTTGTTTAATATTCGTTATCAATGTCTCAAGATGACAAAAGTAGGCGATGATGACTGGGTGAAACATGCGGGTTTAGTAAACCGTGAATGTGAGCGTTTCAAACTATCAGCAATGACAGAAGACCAGTTTAAGTGTCTCGTATTTGTGTGCAGCCTCCAATCTCCCGAAGATGCCGATATTAGAACCAAAATTTTGAGTAAAATTGAACAATGTTCGAATATGACACTACAAGAAGTAACCGCCGAGTGCCAGAGATTGGTGAACCTAAAGCACGACACTTCGATGGTCGAAAATAATGGCCAGTTGCCATACGTTCGTGCTGTAAGCGGAAAGAACGATTCTTGCTCAAGAAAGGCATCGCACACAGATAATCAGCCTGGCATTATAAAAGGTTCTGTCCATATAAAGAACATTGTTGTAGCAAGTGTCATCGCAAGGGACATAAAGAAAACTGCTGCAGAAAAAGAACCCATAAACGACATTCTTTGAAACCCTACTCGAAGAAATACAGATTTAGTGCTCGAACTAACAAAATATTGGTATCACATAATCGAGCACGAATTTGCCGCCAAAGAAAGTATGTAAACTTGGATATAAATAAAAAGCGTGCCCGCCTGCAACTCGACACCGCTTCTGACATCACACTTATTAGTCGGAAAACTTGGAATCTTATCGGTAAACCACAGGTGCTCCCAACAACCCAGTTAGCTCACAGCGCATCTGGAGGAAAACTAAATATTGTTGGAGTGGTTTGTTGTACAGTCTCGAAGGGAAATGCGAAAACGAATGCAACTTTATATCTTACACAGAATCCAGGACTACATTTGCTAGGTCTAGACTTGATAGAAGCACTTCAATTAGCAAATCACCCCATTAACCACATATGCAGCGCAGTGAGAACCAGTAAACCGGTGGAAAAGGATCTGAAGAGTGTTGTATTGGAAAAACACAGTCAAGTGTTTACGGAAGAGTTGGGGGAATGCAAAAAGGTTAAAGCACTATTGATTCTTAAACCGGGAGTCACCCCCGTCTTCAGACCAAAATGTCCGGTACCCTATGCAGCACTACCTATTGTTGAACAAGAATTAGAGCGTCTGCAAAGAAGTGGAATAGTCGAACCAGTAAACTTTCCTGATTAGGCAGCTCCAATAATGATTGTTAAAAAGCCTAATGGAAGTATCCGGTTATGTGCAGATTATTCGACTGGATTAAATGAAGCGCTTGAAGCCCATCAATACCCATTGCCGGTACCAGAGGATTTATTTGCGAAACTGAATGGGGGTAAGTATTTTGCGAAATTAGACCTATCAGACGCTTATCTACAGATTCCGGTAGCGGATGAGTGTAAGCATTACTTGACAATAAACACTCACAAGGGATTGTTCCGATATAACCGACTTTCTTTTGGAGTAAAGACTGCCCCTTCAATCTTCCAACAAGTTATGGACACTATGTTACAAGACATTCCTGGAACCGCGGCTTATCTCGATGATATATTGATCATGGGTACAGACTATGCTGATTTAGAGAATAAGGTGCATACGGTTCTCAGACGCATAGCAGATTATGGATTAAGACTGCGTGCCGAAAAATGTGATTTTTACATGGAGCAAGTCCGGTATTTGGGATTCATAATTGATAAAAACGGGAGAAAACCTGATCCTGAAAATGTCGAAGCCATTAAGTCCATGCCTCCACCGACGAATGTGTCAACTTTACGTTCTTTCTTGGGAATGGTTAGTCATTATGGAGTTTTTCTGCCAGATCTGCATCGCCATCGTGCTCCTCTTAACTGCTTATTGAAAAAGGATACTAAATGGTTCTGGTCAACTGAATGCCAAGAAGCATTCCTAAAACTGAAGCAGCTTCTATCATCGAACCTTCTCCTTACACACTATGATCCCGATCTTCCAATTATAGTCGCAGCAGATGCGTCGAACTACGGAATTGGAGCAGTAATTTCACATGCCTACCCTGACGGTTCTGAGAAAGCAATCGCTCACGCTGCGAGATCTCTGACTATGACTGAAAGAAACTACAGTCAAATAGAAAAAGAAGCCCTCGCGATTATATTTGCTGTAAAAAAGTTCCACAAGATGTTGTTTGGTCGGCAGTTCACCTTACTTACAAACCATAAACCTTTACTGACAGTTTTTGGATCTAAAAAAGGCATCCCGGTATATACAGCAAACCGGCTACAGAGATGGGCTACCACACTGCTGGGTTATGATTTCAAGATAAATTTTCAACCAACAACGGATTTCGGACAGACAGATGCACTCTCAAGATTGATTGGTCTGCATGAAAAACAAGAAGAAGAGGTTCTTGTAGCTGCTATAGATGTCGAGGCCGAGGTTCACAAAATATTGTCAGACGCAGTTTCCGGACTCCCGGTCACATTTGAAGCCATTAAAGAGGCCAGCAAGAAGGATAATGTATTAAAGATTGTTCGCCATTGCATACTCAATAAATGGCCTTCATCTAGATTACACGGAGAACTCTTACAATACTTTCGTCGACGAGAGTCATTAACAGTTGTCGATTCATGTATAATATTTGGCCATCGTATCGTTATCCCCAGAAATCTTCGACACCAAGTCATTAAACAGTTCCACAGCGGGCATCCGGGGATAAGTAAAATGAAGTCACTAGCTCGTAGCTATGCATACTGGCCGTCAATGGACCATGAGATAGAGCAAAAATGTCGCAGCTGTTGGTCCTGTCAAGAGGCTGCAAAGAATCCAACGAGAGCTGAGCCACAACCATGGCCTAAACCGGACGGGCCTTGGGAAAGAATACATGCTGATTTCGCCGGACCGATACAAGGCAGGAATTACTTAGTTGTTGTAGATGCTTTCACAAAATGGCCGGAAGTATATGACATGCCGAATACGACTTCAGAGAGTACCATAAGAAGATTGTCAGGATTGTTTGCCTGTTTTGGGGTTCCAGAGATCTTAGTGACTGACAATGGTACTCAGTTTATGTCATCTGCCTTCAAACGCTTCTGCAACGAGAATGGCATATTGCATCTACAATCCCCAGTCGAATGGCCAGGCAGAAAGATTCGTGGATACAATTAAAAGAGCTCTGGTCAAAGGGGGAGGTGAGGGTGTCCCGGAACAAGTGATTAATAAGTTCTTGATGTCTTACAGAGTTACCCCTAATCCGGCAGTACCAGAAGGAAAGTCTCCGGCCGAGTGTATGTTCGGAAGGAAAATCCGGACAGTTTTTAACAGTATGTTGCCGCCCAGAAAGACAAATAAACCCACGAATGAAAATCGTAAGGTCAATCGTAGCTTCCAGGTGGGTGAAAAGGTACTTGTCAGATCGTATCAAGGTAATAGGAAGTGGGAACCAGGTGTCATAGAACGTCGAATCGGAAATGTGCTGTACCTAGTCCAGAAAGATGTCGGGAAATGCATAAGACATATAAATCAAATGCAAAGAAATGATAGTACAGTGGTCACAGAAAACCGGCTCCCATTTCAATTGCTCGTAGATTCATCTCAGAAGAACCATCATGAGCGCGAATATCGAAAAGACAAACGACGCAGAGAGAAAGCTGTACAACCCTCGAGAGTAATGGACCGCAAGAGGAATGCGACACCCAAGCTTCAGGTGGATCCAAGAAAAAAATCTTACACAACGGACTTTAAAGGGGGGAAGTGTGACGACGGACCACCGGTGAACCCGAGGAAGCTGTAAGAGGCTCATAAGGAGCCGAAGACGTTCCATCCAATCACCTTTCGGAAGAATGTTCTAGAATTCCAACGTGTAGCTTCCCCATTGGATAATGCTAATAACTCCCTGTACGCGGATTGGAAGACTGTAATGATGATTTCGTTCTCACTAAAAACTATAAATACCTGACAATTTTGTATTATGTTTGACACTGTTTGAAATAATATTCCTTTCGTTAGTCTTCTGTCTTCTTATTGCGACTTGGAAGGGTTTGGTGTTCTAGTGCTCAGTTATACGCGGTTGTATCAAGAAGAATCAGCTTTTTTCAAGTTATAACAGTGGCCCTTTGTACCAATATTTGTGTTCAAATAAATAAATAATCTGAACATATTTTGGTACCACTTTCATACCTGACTTGAGTGTATTTAAATCATTAAGGTTTATGTATGCATGTTTGCATATATTTGTTCACCTGTTCTTGTAATGCATAGTGTGTATGTCATTCATCAAGGAAATTCTCTCACCTTTTAAAAGAGCACATTGTTCAGTAAAATAAAACTCAGAACTACAAAATTTTCTGTTTTGGAATATGTGACTGATCATAACATCATAGCATCTCAATCATTATCCTTTTTTTCACTAAAATTCAATTCTCATCACTATTATGATTAAGTTACTACTCTTAACCGAATATCATTGTCGTTTTTAGTAACCTCCATTTACCTACATCAAAATTCACATCGTTATTTCTTATTTTGTAGTTGTGTCTTAGATCTTTCGTTTCGTACATCTACTTTGTTTTCAAGTCATTAACGAACCGTTTATTTATTTTGCATTATTATAAATAAATGCATTCTACAAATCCAAATAATCATATATATCTTCATGAAAAAGTAAAACCTGTTCATTAGATTAAATTATATCACATGGATAAAATCGTACAACCTTTAGTAAAAAAGTTATCGAAATGTAAGTTTTCTTCAGTGAAACATAAATTATTTCTACACTTCTTCAATCAACTTGAAACAAAACTATTCATAAATAATAAATAAAGTCGTGTATTCAATATGAGACATTTATTGTTTTCTTTTTCCTCATAACCATTAATCATTGTGAATAAGACGTTACCCAGTAAGCAAGAGGATTGCCCCAACCAACTTCCATTTGAAGGGTGTGTATTTCATTCAACAATTCAGTATCATTTAATTTCATCTAAAATGAAAGTTTAATATTACTATTGAATTTTGGATCAGTGAAAATGTTTTCACAAGTGAATTGATAAAATCTACTGTTATTTTCTTTATTGCTACACTTACGGTTAACATTAATCGCATGGCCATTTTTTTAAACTTTTTTTTCCATCCCTTTTGAAAAATGTTCCCATCCGCATCTTCCAATAACTTTCATTCTGTTTCGTTCAATCAAATAGCTAGTTTTAAATTTGTTATAATCGGTCGTTTATTTCTTAAAGTTGATATAAGATGTCAGCACTTGGCGACAGAGCGTATTTTCTTCCAGTTATGGACGGTAGTAACGTGCAAAGCACAAGCTCTGTCGTTTCTCACGTCACAGAAACCGATAACCTATTCTTGAGCACATTTTATCTCGTAGCGTTCCAATCTCTTGAAGCGTCGAAGAGTGCCATTAGAACTTATGAAAAGGCTAAGTACTACCATTATACGGTGAGAGATTCTCATTTCCATAGAGATCGGAAGCCGTATATTAAATTCGTATGTTGGAGAAATGGCCATAGAACACCTAGCGGTTCCTCACAGTCGAGTAGACGAAGGAGGTAATTTGATTAGCGTTATTATAATTTTCCATAAAGGACTTCTGTGAACACTCAATGTCCTTCCTTCATATTTTGTAAGTTACCAACGTCGATATGGATGCAACGTTATGCAATGACGAGGAAGAAATTATTTCGATTAACTCACCAAATGTTTTAGCTATAAATGGGACATAGATATGTCAACTAAAACGATATTCAACTTGAATGTACTCATATGTTTATAGTGAAAATTCCCATTTTGAGATTTGGTAAGTAAAAAAGGAACTAATCGAGCGAAGAAATTTCTTTTCAATTAGTTTTTCATCATGGCGTGCAGTTCAGCAAGTTCGTCATCGTATAACAGAGCACCATCCGTCGTGGTTGAACAAAGTACAGGTAAGAGTGATTGAGTTCTATTCTCGCTCACTCGGTTGACACAGGTCATCAAGTTGAACTGCATAAAGCTTTTAACGTTATCTACCATATTTCATCAAACCTGCCATATGGTTTACTAGTGCGTCTTTTGCACATTGCTGAATCCATGTTCACAAACCTAACCTTTGGATCCAAAAGACATTTGTACAACCGCTTTTGCTACCTTGGCCATCGGTATAGGGGCGTCTGTAACAGAACGTTGATAAACTGTCTTCGTACTTATTTCATTTTGTTTTTTGAACTCTGTATTTTGCTTATTCTCAACATTCATCTCTTGATTATTACATAACTACTATTCTACTGACCACTCATCAAAATATTCTGTTCCTTCTCTTTCCCATATATTATGTAACGTAGCAACTTCTTGATTTTCGAATAATTAATTTGATCATTATTAATCCTTTCTTCCAATCACTTAATTTTAATTTATAATCGAAATGTCATTACGTAATTATTACGTAACGTATCCACTCGATGAGTATTATTTCATTATTGTAAATCATATATGTATTAGTGTAGAGCCATGATGAAAAACTAATTGAAAAGAAATTTCTTCGCTCGATTCGCTCCTTTATATGTTTGGCAATTCTAACCTTCATTAAGATATAAAATGTGTGTGAAGGCAACATATTACTACCGAATAGATAGGGATTTCCTAGCACAGAGTTAGTTCTTTATCTAGCACCACTTCCGAAAAATGGTTACCAGCTTAAGTAGGTTTCTGTTTGACTAAAAATTTGTAAAAATCATGGCTCGTTTCGCTTCAAGTAATTCATGTTGCAGATATTCTCAATCCGGATAGTCAAGAAGCATCCTTGCTTTTGTAATCATTGAAGCATCTTAATTACCTCAAATAGTTTGATTCATGAACGAAACAAAAGTTTCAAAATGCTAATAGAAATGACAGAACTCCAGACACCCCACAGCCCAATATATTTCAAATGTGTATGTCTGTGGTGAATATTTGTTTAAATTGATAAGAGGATTAGAATGATGACAAATAAAATACAGTTACTAACTTTTATACAATATTTAAAGGATTGTTCGGCTTCTGTACATCGATTTGTTTTTAAGCATATCATAGATAAATAAGCCCAAACCTCTGGATTTCTATTATTAATATAATTAGCCTCAGTGAGAGCTTCTTCGGCATTTTCTAGTTCCTCTAGCTTCATACGATATGAAAATGAGAAAAGAAATAAGATCTAGCACCTTAATTTAAATGCAATTAAAAATATAGAAAAGGAAACTAGTACTAATCTATTGAACATTGACATAATATGACGAAATTACTAATTTTCTAGGTAATTCGTCTGAATTATAAAAGCTACTAAATCTTAACGTAATTAATGACGAGAAGATTGGAATGATTATTATCAATTTTGTGTATACTTAGGAAACACAGACGTATCTACGAAGTCTGGAAAATAATTTAGTCATTCGTGAATTAAATGCTAGACAACTATTCCAAGCTTGGATTATTGGCCAAACCCTTTCATCCTTTATTGTGTTTATGCATGTGTCACTCGTTTACAAATTTCCTAATGGGTTTTCTTAGTTCTACAGCATTCATTTTTAACAATATTCATTTGTAACTTAGTGTGTAAAAGATATGTCGGTCGTGCGTGTAAAAGATACACTTCTTGCAAATAGCCTAATAACTATCCCAGCACTTAATGTCAAAGTAAGTTCCCAATTATTTAGCATATGATTGAGTTTCAACATGTCTTATTGTTTAATACAAATGAATTACTTTTCGTTTAGGGAAGAAATGTTGATATTATCATCTGAGAGTAAAACTTTAACTTATCATTAGCTGTATTAATAACCGTTTAGAATTGTGTTCAGAGTTGTCAATTATATATAAAAGTATTGAAATGGATTTCAATGCTCCTAACTGCAAACATTTAACTATCAACCACCAGACTACGAATGAATAATGGTCGCTGGCTGCCAAAAAATTAGTTATTACAATTAAAATTTATGTCGAGATTTGCGTGAAAGAGGACTATACATCAAGAGATATTCATTGATTGAACAATGTTTAAGTTCAAAATCAAATACGAATTTACAAATCCATACAAAGATAACATATATTCGCATTATATAAATATCTACAAAATTCTGATAAAAGTAATTACCGCAATCAATCAGAATTACGAAATGTTCATGGTTAATTGACTTACTCTATAACAAGCTTTACCAACACCTAGCCATGTAGCACAAGTTGGAGAGCTTTTACACGCACGTAAGTAAATATCTTTAGCTTCTTTATACTGAAATGGATTTTAAAAATAAAATAACACTATGAACGTAAATGAATGTTTACAAGTATTTTTAGATAGTTTTAATTTTGAACTGATTCCAATTGCTGTTCACCTGTAAACCATAAAGTACGGAACTGCAGTTTAATAGTACTATTTAAACTTGTTAATTTATTTCGGTTATTGATTTACTCTAAAGAAGTGGTCTACATTAGGTCACGAAACGTCATAAATACAATTTTTCTACTCATTGGGATATAACAAAATATATATGTATTATTTTTTTCCCAACTATCTCTAAGCAATATTGATTATTAAGTTGGAGAATATTAAGGTAGAAAAATGAATTTCTTTTGCTCATTCCATCATTCGTTTTTCAGAAGGTACAAACAACAGCATATGTGCACAGAAACTTCTTTGTAAGTATAATGAACGGATATCAAAGAATCATTAAATTACCAACTTTTTTCATGAGACGAATATGTAAAGCATTCGAATAGATACTTGAAAGTTTCCCTCTAGAAAAAAAGGTATATTTTACGTTTCCAGTCAACATTAGAATGTACAAAGAAAGTTGTTACAGGAAGAATTAAAGTGTGACTACATGATTATTACTTTTACGTCAGTTAGCGGTTATTTCACTGAAATAGATAAAAACAATAATTAAATCTTTCATGGTTGTATTAGAAAATAAAGTAATCCTATTTTAAAACGTATAATCTAAAGAATATTGTTAAACATTTATAAATTTTAACAATATGTACAAACCTTCAACTGTTGTAAATAAATCGAACCTAAACGTAACAATAAAATATGTTGATCTTTAGGTGGCCATGTTATTAAACATAAACAACGTTCATAACAAGAACGTGCTGCATTTAAATCTCCAGCAATATAACGTAAATGACCTAAACATGCCCAAGCTTCTACAGCTTCTGGATCAGCTTCAATAATTAAACTAGCATTGAATTCAGCTTCTGATAGATCTTGTTTATATGAATTCATTGATAAACGTGCACAAAGTAAATGATATTCAGATACACGATGAAATAAAATATTTGTTGAAGAAATTCGATTAGTTATTGTAGATAAACCAGCAGTTGAAAAATTTGTTGGATTTTGATTATCACTAGATGACTGTGTTTGTATAGGTGTATGTATATCAGTTTGTAATTGTAAATTAGGTACTGAATTTGATATTATTGTTTGAGGCTCATAAGTAATTGTTTGATATTCTAATTCTTTCTTCTGTGCTATTAATTCATGAGCCAGAGCCATAGATGTAAACTAAAATAAATATATTTAATGCTTTTTAAAACATTTTAATAAGAAAGTAATCTACTGAACAGATTTAAATGCTACTATTGTTTTATTTATATTTTCTTGGTAGAAAGTATAGGTCCCAATTATCTGAACCTTAAACTAATAGAATTAATTCAACAGTAAGCCTTGTAGTAGAGTACAATTAAAGGACTTCTTACGTAATGAACAGCGACAAGGTTTTTTTTCACTCAATAAGTTTTGAAGTAAAATTCTATAGTGCTCTATGCGTAACGTGTATCAGATATGGTCAATAAGTATGGAAATATGAATAACCTGTTGCATTAAGGACAACCCTTTAACGAAGTATATACTATTCAGTAAGAAATGCGAATATAATGGAATAATTAGTGTCTTGACTAGTATTAGAAGCACATAAAATCATTTAACTCATGAAACACCCCCTATAATGAAAGATATCTAAATGGTACTCAAACTATGACTGATAAAAATAAGAATCAACATTAAATACGGAAACAAACTGGTCATTATGTCAGCAATATCAGATTTCTTCATACATCGCTATTTAGATTTTACAGACCAAGGTTTAATATTTCATCCAACATTTACCTGACATCTATTTTGTTTTATAACAGTCACATTTTGAACTGAAAGACATCTTGACTCTTGAAATCTTAAAATTGCTTTTATTTAACTTTTTATATTGTGCTTGACATTCTTTCCAATCCACTAAAATAAACTGATCGATATGTACAGATTATTACTGTTTTCACTACTGATTAAAAATAGAAACATCTTGAAGAAAACAACTTGAACTCCTTACATAAATTTTATAACTGAATTGAATTGAAATTTCAACTTAAAATCTTTTTTTAATCGTAATGCAATGAAATATGTTTGAACTTACAAACATTATTGAGTTATTAAAGAAAACGAGTTGAAATGATCTAATAACCTACCGAATACATATTTTTATCCAAAAGAAATTCAGCTGTTCTAATAAATAAACTCATTCTTGATGGTTTCTCACAGACTGTTGATGGTATCAATGTTGATTCACATTGTATATCAGTTGAAATTTTTGTACCTGATTTTGGAGCTTTAAAAAGAAATAAAATCTTACACAAAATTTACTAAATTACAATATAACTAAGAATATATATACATATATATATACTGCTTTGATACTAGATTATTGATATAATTAAGATTATTGTACTATGTTTTATTCATAATTAAAAGAATACTTTTTATTTCAATATCTAGTAGAAATGTGCATTTCTGAAGTGACAAAGTGGTTTAGAGGTTAAACGTTCACATACAAGACTTTTAATACTGGCCTCCATCTACCATAGTAAATTCGTGAATCTGCACTATTGAAAAGTCCTATACTAGGACAAAAGAACTTTCTAGTGCTTCCTAATTTTCATTGGTTCTCTAACTAAGATCAATGAGTGATGTGTTTTATGAAAGTATCACAGTTAAATTTTATTTGTTAATTTATACAATGCATTGAATTATAATACTGAGATCCAAAATATTTACAGTGCTTGACAGAATGTATCGCCGTCAATTAATCATTCTACTGTTAAAATGAAAACACGATAAGAGTTAATCTGTCGAATAATAATTTGATTATTTCAAAAGATTTCTACTCTGAATTTTGTTGTATATGGACAACTTGTATTTGTGTTAATAAAATCACTGTTCGGCTTATAACTTTATTCACAATCGTTCACTGTAACTATGTATCACATGAACTAGTGTGACCATTCCATGATCCCCATCTATATATATAATAAACAAGAAGTATGTATGAATACTCTTACCTTTAGAATTACGACTTTTTCTTGTTTTAACTTCATTTATCCTATCAACATCATCTTTAATTGCATCACCAATTATAATAGATCGATTACTCTCTTTATCTAATTCATTTAAAGTTATTTTAAAATTATCTACACTTTCTTCTAATATTTCATCATTTGTTGATTCCTTGGATAATTTATTAATTCGCTCTTTAAGTTCAAAAATAAAACAATTTTTTACTGATAAATTGACATTCTCTTATGGGTTTACATTAATAAAGTATAAATAGTTTATATGTTTATCGTATTTATGATAGTCACTACATGATAATATATATAATAAAGTAGTTGATTTTATTATTTCCCGATAATGTGAACAATTTAAGGCTTTTGATTTAAGTAATCTGATGAACAATGAACTAACTGGTGTTCTTTATTTCATATTATTTCTTTATTTCAACACATAAACATTGGTACAAGGAGGCACCAACTATATATGCGCCACCTAATTCATTCGATTTGTGTGAGGGCTGTGATACTGCCCTGTTGCCCAAACCGAAGCAGGTGGTTTTCTTAGGGTGTCACACCTGAAGCCTTCAACCTAAAGGTCTGATCCACAAGGCAGTGGAGCAACGTCAGGAAATGCAGTCCCATGGTAGCCGGTGACCAACGATTGGTTCATACGCCATTTGATCCTTCAGGAAACTGGAGCCCATGTGCACCATTGGTTTGAAATCAGGGTTTCCCAACTCCCCTAGGTGAACTCTCTGTATCCACCAATCCGGTTAAAGCGCTTGACATTTGCTTTCCGTCTTATCAATTTCTGAAGCAACACCCCTGTTGCAAGAAGGCAATGAGTAGCACTTCCCTGGCAGTGGTTGTATACGCGTGACCATGTGAGAGCATTTTGAGAGGGAGAGCTGACTCTCCCCACTCTCGGCCGTACCAGGGCATTTGGAAGCAATTAATATTATACAATACTGTAATTGACTGTTTTACCAAATAAAATAAAAGTTTATGTGAAGAATATATGGATTTCCCCTTTCAAATGTTTTGTTAGTCTATTTGTCAATGGTATGAATTTCAAAGTTTGTTCATTGTTTTTTTTCCTCTAAAATTTCAATACTTACTATTTAAAGACAATGATGAAATCGAAATAATCACGGATATTTTAATTATAAGTGTTCAATTCATTAATTTAGATTTGATTTCATATACCGATGTCTCTTACAAAACATTCATTTTGTTCTGAATAAATTATCAGCTAGTTTATTAGTATAACAGTACACTACTAAACATGGTTGTTAAGTTTGTCTTACATTATTCCTACATGTTCCTTTTCTACTCTTTGTATGTTGTTTTATACTACTTATTTACGTTCAGTAGGCAGCTGTATGCCAAACAATTTTCACACTTATGTTGTATCTCAAGTTGTACTGTAACATTCTGGAATGTTCACCTATATCCTTAACGTTTATTTTACTTATAATTGTATTTATCATTATAACCACTGTAATTTAACTACTGTAACGATTATCCACAGTTTTGTACATTTGTTTGAATGCAACAGTTTCCATATTGTTTTGCTCTTGGTTCGAGTTTCGGTTGTTCATAAACTGTTACCAAATTTAGACACAGCTATCGGCTGTCTTTGGACTATCGTATGTTGTAATCATTCTTTATGTTACTCTTACAGGAAGCCTTTGCTATTTTTATTCTTGAACGACGCGTTTAAACGCCCAGACACCTCACAAGTTGAGGTTTGTAACTAAATTTTGTATATTATTTAATAAAGAACCGCTTTTGTAGACAAATCGTTGTTTTGGGACTTCGATTTCGCGCGTATCTCAATCGGGGTTACTTCGACGCTTCGATAGAATTAACAGTTCTCAACTTTGGTCTCATTGGTGTGGATACCAGTTCTCAACTTTGGTCTCATTTGGTCTGGATACAGTTCTGAACTTTGGTCCTAATTGGAGGGAACACTTGCTGTAACGAAATTTGGTCGGAATTCTGTTTGGTTCATTCATCCCAACGATGACTAGAACGAGAAGAATGAAGTACAACGATGACAGTTCCCAAGACACAGACAATTCCAGTGCTGAAAATATTATTCCTTCAGTTTCCAAGGTGAACTCACCTATTCCTTTAAATCTTGCCTTTGATGTTGTTAAACCTAACCCCAAAGACAGTTGCTCGGTAGGAGACAACTATATAGAGACTAGATACAGTGTAGAAGACGAAGTGGACTCTAGGGAAAGGGAAGTAGAAAAGATTGAGCTGGAGATAAGAGAACTCCAACTACGCAAGCGATTGTTAGAGCTAACTCCGAACTCTTCAAACAAAGTGAGAAGACATAGGGAGACTATCGAGTTGTCGGGGTCTCGATCCGAGGATAAAACTTCGGCAGTTACAGCAAGTCACCGATACACCAATGTACTTTCGAGCGATGAAATGCAATTCAAAGCACAGGTAGATAGTGTCAAGGCGTTATGTATGTCAGTAAGCTTACCGAAGATAGAAATCATGAAATTTGACGGGAGCCCTCTGAAATTTTGGACGTTCATGAAGGGATTCAAGGTTAACATAGCTGACAGAGTAAATGATGACACCCAGAAATTAATGTACTTGATACACTATTGCGAAGGTATAGCAAAGGATGCTATAGAACACTGTGTTTTATTACCAGAAAAAGAAGGTTATACTGAGGCAATTAAGCTTCTACATGAACGGTTCGGCAGACCACACGACATCGTAGAAGCCTTCTTAACAGAACTCTTAAGTGGATCACCATTGAATCAAGACGACATAACTGGCCTACAGAAACTGACAAGACTCATGACTAATTGTAAGATAGCCTTGTCACAGATGGGCAGGAATGACGATCTGAATTGTTCGACCAACATAAAACGAATAGTGAAACAGCTACCACGTAGTATGCAGTTTAAATGGGCGGAGGCCGCGGACGATATTTTAAGAAAGGGGCTAGAGCCCAATTTCGATGATTTATTGCAATTCATAGAAAAGAAAGTGTCAATCGCAACAAACACATACGGACAATTGGCAGGCGGAAGCTATAAGGCTCAAACGACATCGAACAACCGGTCGTCTTCCATAAGAGCGAAGATCCATACTTCGTCGATTAAAGGATCAGTCCATTGTGTAATTTGCTCCGATGCCCACGAAGTCGCATCCTGCCCTCAGCTGTTGTCGGTGAGTCACAACGAAAAGGTAGAATTGTTAAAGAAGTTTAAACTTTGCTTTAATTGCTTAAAACCCAATCATCGAGTCACAGAATGCAGACAGCCCGTGTTGTGTGAAATTGATGGATGCAAGCGACGCCATCATAGAATTCTTCACAACACAGAACCTGATGTTAAACGAGCATATTGTAACTCTACTCATACTACTAGGACGTATTTAGGCTTTGTTCCAGTCAGACTACATGGTCCCACAGGTTATGTGGATACCTATGCACTGTTAGATAATGGCTCGGATTCGACATTACTGCTTAGTGACGTAGCAAAGCAGGTAGGAATTTCTGGTGCAGGGACAAGATTAAACATATCTTCAGTAATTGGAGCGTCATCTCAGAACGCTGAACTTACCAATTTCGAAATTGAGTCTTTAGATAAGACCAACCGAATAAAAATCGAAGGTGCATATACTATAGATAACCTACCTATTAAAAGAGCAGAAATCCCACCAACGGACTTCCAAGAAAGATGGAAACACTTGAAAGGTGTACAACTACCCTCCGTAGCCTGTGACAAGGTTGGTTTGTTACTTGGTGTTGACGTTCCTGAGGCCCACTGGGTACTCGATCAGCGTATCGGAAAACCTAAACAACCCTATGCTTCACTAACCATGTTAGGGTGGGCTTTATTTGGACCAACGGGTCAACTTAATAAAACTTCAGTCTTCATGAACTGTTTAAAAGCAAAAAATTCCCTTGAAGAGGATATTCTCAAATTATTTGAACATGAATTTTCTGAAAATAAATACTCTGATAAGGTTACTATGTCCCTATGTGATAAGACCATTATGGAGATTACTGACAAGCAAACAGTATTGCTCGAAGGACATTATCAAGTGCCGATACCCTGGAAGGTGGATTGGCACTCACTTCCAAGGAATAAGCGCGAAATAGAAAAACGACTAATTTACCTACGGAAAAGGTTGCTAAAGGACGAACAGCTTCGGAAACAATATACTATTATATTAGCTACCCACGAAAGTAAAGGATACTTGGCTCGAGTAACACAAGCTATCGAAGAAGAAAGGTATTTTATTCCACATCATCCCGTATTTAACCCTAAAAAACCAGGTAAAGTTCGGATAGTCTTCGATTGTGCTGCTAAGTTACAAAACAGATCTCTGAATGATTGTATATATTCTGGACCAGATCTTACAAACGACCTAGTGGGAGTTTTGCTCAGATTCAGAAAGCATAAGATTGGATTGTCAGCAGACATTGAAGAAATGTTCCTCCAGGTACATCTACCCGAAAAGGATACAAAGGCCTTCAGCTTTTTATGGTACCCCGATGGCAATCTTGATTCTCCTCCTGACGTCTATGAGTTGCATGTACACCCTTTCGGGGCTACGTCCTCACCGTTTTGCGCTACATACGCTTTAAGACGCACAGCTACAGACCACCGAGATTTGTTCGATGAAAAAACACTGTCCACTTTACGAGAAAATTTTTATGTAGACGATTGTTTAGTCTCAGTAGAAACAATATCAGAAGCTGCTGAGTTAGCAAAGAACCTAATGAGACTAGTGGCACTTGGAGGCTTCCGTTTACATAAATGGGTTAGTAACGTAAATGAAGCGCTGAATGACGTCCCTATAGGTGACAGATCAAACAATTTGGTTCGTATACCAGGCTCAACAGAACGTATACAGAGAACTTTAGGACTTTGTTGGCACACGCAATCCTATTGTTTCGCGTTCGACGTAAATCTTCCCGAACGCCCGATCACTAAGAGAGGCATTCTATCATGTGCATCATCGTTATATGACCCGCTTGGATTTCTAGCGCCTTTATCACTTACCCCTAAACGAATTCTGCAACAGCTATGTCGTAAAAACTATGGGTGGGATGAGATGATAGACGAAGAGTCACGATTGAGTTGGGAAGGTTGTTTAGAAGCAAAGAGTTCTATCGAGGACGGACCCACGCCGCCCCTTTCTTTAACCACAGTAGCGCCTGAAAATTCTTCAAATCGTTCGTTGCTGTTCATAGATGATCCTGGTTTATGCCTTAAACACTCCTGATGTGGCACTCTTAGTCGATGATGATGATGTACGCTCACTCATAGTAGCAGCAACCGCTGTTGAGACTGAAGATCCCAGGGTCCATCAAGGCTTACCGTCAGTTCGTTCTTCTGGATTTAACACTCCACCTGATTCAAGAAGTAACCGACTTATAGACACCTTTGATTCTGTATCTAAAGCGACAGACCAGAATTTAATGGATTTAGAACAAGTTATTTCATTACCAGCTGTTGACGATGAGTACCTTCTAAAAACTGCCAACGATCGTCATGTCGACACAGTAGTGAATAATGACCTTAGATGTATTTCTCCTCCAGACAAAATTCTTCCAACAGATAGTGGAGAGTTAATGTCATCGAAAACATCTGTTATGTTCTCTGCCGAAACAGATCTCCCTGGTGTTTCTGACGTAAACAATAGTGCTAAGTCTGTGATACAACTACACGAGTCATCAATTAGTTGCAAAGCAACAACAACTCAGTTCTCTGCAAATACGAAACTTGTATCTCCTGTAGTAGCGTCTGCTGAGAGTTCTATTGACATCAAGCGTGAAACAGAGAATCAGAAAGATGATTGTTTTATTCAGTCTGTTGATGATGATAAGAAGTTTAAGACAACTGTATCCATGTCTCCTTTAGTTGGGTTAGACAAGCAGATACAACATCCATTACCAGACTTTAAGGATAGAGTAGCCGAAGAAATGACTCATCGGAACATAGAATGGCACCATAACACTCCCTACGCAAATCATCATCGAGTATGGGAAAAATTAATAGGAAGCATACGTAGACTTTCGAGCGCAGTATCTATGTCCTACGAGACACTCACCACCTGTTTGACTGAAGCAGAGAGAATACCTAATGATAGACCACTCTTACAGACGCAACCAAAATGGACACAGGGAAGACAAGATTTACAAGTTCGCGATTCAGTCTTGATTATTGGAGACATTTATGCACGAAATAACTGGCCTAAAGGCCTCGTGGTAAGTTTTGACCCAGGAGGAGATGGTCTATGGAAACAAGCGAAGATCAGAACGTGGAAGGGTACAATTATTAGAGGCATATGTAAAATTTGTTTATAAGAAGGAGCTGATGACCGAAAAGTAGAGGATAGAGAGACTTTTCAGAGTGACTGTGGCTAGAGTAAATTGTACCATTGTCACCTCTGAATGTTTTTACGTTAATACCTAATCAGCGAAAGTAAGGAAAGACATGCTGTCTTTGGGGGGCGGTGTTAAGTTTGTCTTACATTATTCCTACATGTTCCTTTTCTACTCTTTGTATGTTGTTTTATACTACTTATTTACGTTCAGTAGGCAGCTGTATGCCAAACAATTTTCACACTTATGTTGTATCTCAAGTTGTACTGTAACATTCTGGAATGTTCACCTATATCCTTAACGTTTATTTTACTTATAATTGTATTTATCATTATAACCACTGTAATTTAACTACTGTAACGATTATCCACAGTTTTGTACATTTGTTTGAATGCAACAGTTTCCATATTGTTTTGCTCTTGGTTCGAGTTTCGGTTGTTCATAAACTGTTACCAAATTTAGACACAGCTATCGGCTGTCTTTGGACTATCGTATGTTGTAATCATTCTTTATGTTACTCTTACAGGAAGCCTTTGCTATTTTTATTCTTGAACGACGCGTTTAAACGCCCAGACACCTCACAAGTTGAGGTTTGTAACTAAATTTTGTATATTATTTAATAAAGAACCGCTTTTGTAGACAAATCGTTGTTTTGGGACTTCGATTTCGCGCGTATCTCAATCGGGGTTACTTCGACGCTTCGATAGAATTAACAATGGTGAAATAGTGATTTTGAAAATTTCGTTTTCACTTTCTATGAGTTAGAAACAGAAATCCACGAAGATAGTTCAATTAGAAATGCACCAATTTCGAAAAGAAAAGTACTAATAGTCTTTTCAACACAATCATTTCTATTCATACAACTGAAAATTGTGAAATTCACCTGAGCTATTTACTACATTATTATATGTAAAACACAGTGAACATAGACTCAAGTCACTTTAGCTAAGAGCTACACTACTGCAAAATAGATAGAATCCAATCAGGATTAGGATGTGGACGAATAGGATATTGGTTATTGCTTCTTAAGAAAGATGTAACTGTCTCAATCTCAATGTCAATAGCGACCTCAGTAGTTCCATGTCAATATCATGGACTGTGATATGGGGTCGACTCCCATTAGTAGCACCAGTTATATAGAGATTTTAGGCATACCTTATTGATGAGCTCATACCGGAATGAAATTTTTTTAAAGGATTTCTACTTCCAATCATTTTATCTTACTAAAAATAAAATTTTAACCTTACCATCGTTCTGTGAGCCGTCAGATAAAATATTTGATGATTGACGTTGATTTATTAATAAATTATCATTTGATTCACTTTTTGGCGAGCTAACAATTTCTTGTTCATCACCATCTAATCTTCTAGCTTCGTTTAAAGCCATATCTACACCAATGTCGTTGGATATTGTTTCATAAAATAAACCTAATTAGTAAATGAAAAACTCTATTTTATTTCGTTACGCTTATTAGTTGCTGAAATTCATTGTTTATTCTGGTTAATAAAAAAAATGCACTTAGTACCTAAAACATTGATGTGAGAAGGGTTTTTTATTATTATTGCAGTCAATTGCTGCAAAAATGTGAAAAAAATGTTGGGAAGCAACTTTTCACTAAGGCTTTAGTTTAACATTATATATATAAAATCCCTCCATCTTTAAGTAATCCTAATATTCCGTTTTATTGGAAAAAACTTTTGGATAACGCTGAAGATAATTCTAGTAATAGAAACATTTTTATTAAATCAATTGTCAGTGTGGGTTTTGTGTAGTTCAACCAGACCTGTTGTGAGATGGTAGCTCACTGAAGGCAATGGTGGACGGCGGTGCAATATCACGGATTGGTTGAAGTTAGACATCAACACCGTTGGAAGCCAGCTCAGTGGTTTAGAGATTAAGTGTTCTCCTGCGATAAATCCTAGGTGCGAATCCCGCGAGCAGGGTCGTGGATGAGCACTGTTGTGGAGTCCTATACTAGGACGAAACGGTCGTCCAGTGCTTCTAGGTTTTCCATGGTGGTCTAACTTTAATTGACTCATGAATTCAACTATTAAATCAATTGTCCTGATGTGGATGATTAAAACAATAAATACTTCAGATTTCGTTGTACATTATTTAATTAACTCTTCAAAAATCCTTTTTGATCTCAGTGAAAGTTCCTTAAAATCATCAACAAACTGATAATTTTATGTCACGTTTTTGTATCAACTTAGTCATAACCAGCTCATTATTTCTGCTATTAATTTGTTAAATAAATCAGCACGCTTAATCATATTAGGTTCTTGAAAAAAAGTGGATTCGCTTTGAATGTAAAATGGTCCTGTTTTCTCGATCATATTAACAAGTAGATAGAATATGGCACAATCATTAAAGTATTGTTCATAATAAACAGATGAAAAGCATTGATATTCGGGAGTTAGCAATCCATAACATCATTGTGAATGCGAAATAGATTCAACTGATAAACATTTGAATAATTAACATTATTATCTAAAATATAAAGCAATATTATTGCAAAACTATTTAGTATCATGCCTTGACTGCTTCATGCTTGAACTTTACTTGAATAATTAAAAGATGATATTTTGACTAACAGAATTTGGATCTTTAAGTAAAGAGATCAACCAAGGTTGTATTTATGAAATGTGTTACAATCTTTAGGACTATTTTTCTGAATATGAAGCGTAATAGGCAGACTAAAGTCCGATTCACAGTCTATCTATAATTAACTAAGAAAGAAATACAAACGTCACTGTCTAAACTATGCATGTATTAACGAACTATTGACTAATTATGCACAGAATCGATATACATTTACTCTTATAGGCTTACCAAGTATGACCCATAGAACAGGATTTTTAGGATCGTGAGACACTGCAGCTTCTAAAAAGTCAGTAGCTTCTTCATTAAAATTTTGCATGGCGGATACAAGACCAAATAAAACTAATCTGTTAAGGTGAAGTAAAATAGATTAAATGGAGTTACTTCTAGTTCAAGATCATTATTTGATTATGAATAATTGTATTCTAAACAAAACTCGATATTTCATTCTTCATTTAAGAGTATATCTTATTAAAATGAAATTTATACATAGAAAGTTATGCATGTTGAATAACTCAATGTTATCAAAGGTGTAGCAAATGAACTATGGTGAAATATAACTATAAGTGAGGTCCATTTCTATTTAAAAGTGTTTAGAAATGCTGAAATGGAGATTAGAATAAAGCACATTACTTATATTCAAAACAACCGAATGTATGATATCCATCTGTGTTGCAGTACATAAATTATTTGGAAATGAGACTAATGATTATAGTAACTTCCAACAAAACTTTTTAAGTAAGCGATTTGAATCCACTTTGTAGTCATGGTTTTTAATTTTTTAAGGTTGTAAGCAGCTGATATAAACGGAAAGCAACAACATAAATTCATTCTATTCTCACTTACTATCTGTGTTTATTCACTAAGTAAACACATGTTTTTAGACCTTAGGATAAGATATAATTTGATGACAACAACATTTGTAGTACAACTGAACACTCTGATATTATAAGCGTAATAGTCTTTCCCTTTGACTATTAAATTTGAACCTAATGTATTCATCACAGATCACTTCAGAAAAGTTAAAGTAAACTGACCGTTTTACATCTGTTCATAGTTTTATATTTACTTAACCAAACTAACTTTACTACTCGTGAATGTCGTTCAGTCAGCAATAAAATATATGAAAATTGAGGAAACTTCTCTATGAATAACCTAACCTGTTTTATAAAACTTAATAGAACATTGCGCAATAAAGAAGGGCAAACGTTAGAACACTTTTAAATAGCCTATGGAGACATATCATCCTTAAGTAATTTATATAAATGGAGAATAATGAAAATTTATGATTCAGTAAAATAAGTAAAAATGGCTTAAATTAACTTGCCCAGTGCTTTGTTTAGGATCTATGGTTAAAGAACGGTGGAAACATGTTGCAGCTTGTTCTAAGTCATTTCGTCCCAAATAATAAACACCGAAGTCGAGCCAATAGGCTGATGAACTAGGATTTCTTGCAATTCTTTCCTAAACGAAGTAAAATAATTATATTGGGGGATATCTATTTAACGGATAAGAGTACCCCATAAGTCGACAAAAGATTTCTGTGTAAAAGTGGTTAGTATAAGTAACCATTTGTTAATCTTACTTATGAATTAGTAAAGTCTATATGCTTTGTCATCATCAGTATCACGCAAAGACTTCTAAAAAGTATAAATAAACTTATATGAAAATGTCAGAGACAAAAAGGCTAAATCAGTAATACGAATAATTGTGCTAACGTATTATACCAACTTACTCGATAATATTTAACTGCCCAGTCATACATCTGATTTTGTTCAGCCTCACGAGCATAGCGTAATAAAGTTTCTGGATCAAAGAAATTCAGTTCTGGAATCTTCGTAAAATCTCTTGTACAAAATACTTTCTTCAAACCAATGTGCATTTCGTCCACAAGATAGACAAAGAGATCTCTCAGAAAAAGCTTAAATTATAAAAGAGAGTGAAAAGCCGTGAGCATTGGTAATCGGTTTTTGGGTAATTAGATTGTAGATTAAAAGTATTATTTTTTCCTTAAAACCGTTAATCCCTTCCAAAAATTTAGACTGTATAAATAAAAGATGGAGTCAATGTGATGATATGAATAAACCATTCAATCGAGTGTAGTGAGAAATATAGATAATTAGCTTCAGAACAAGTTACCATTAGTAACGATAAATGCGGGGAGTAGAAAACATTTTGCTTATGTTACCTTCAGAACATGCGTACCCAACTATGAAACGTTTTTTCTAATTATCATGGTTATTATACTTAGATCAATCGTAGCTGAACAATTAAAGTTGTCGGCGACTCCAACGCCCAATATTTGTTCCATATAGCTATACTGTTTGCATTATTATTCTGGATAATTAAAATATTAGTTTGGTTAGTCAGATGATCATGGAACTCTATATAATCTGTTTAATATGACAAATAATTATTTTATTTTTGATTTAGTACAAGTAAATACAGATTACTATCATTTTCCTTTCAATGAAGTTTAGGGTTATCAGTATTTGTAAATTATTAAAGAAATCTCGATTATATACATCTGCATCAATTAGTATGTCATTTTATTCAACCAATCCAGAAAGACAGTAAAAGTAATTCCAAGTGCATGGCTATAAAAGTAAAAGAACCTGGAATCAACAATCATGATTATGGGAAGAGATAATGATATGTCCAGACAAAATTATCTGTGTTTGATTAAGAAGTACAGACAGATATATCTGATATATCACGCATGAGTAATTACTTATATTCCCATATTACCTACTTCTTCCCTCGTACTTTTGCATCAATAAACTTTTGTTTCGGTTTACATCTGATTCTCTATTGAATAGTCAGATTATTTTGTACGAGTTTATCAGAGTTATACCATATTCCCTTCTTTCATATTATTACAAAAAAATGGATAATTGTGAAATATTCAACTGAATTAAAAGTACTCTCTTTATTCACAATACGATATGTATCTTCATCTATATAAATTTATCTAATCAATTTTTTAAAAATCCAATCCAGATAAGAAAATGTGAAAAGATTTTGATACTGACATTTTCGAAACTCGAACATCAGAATTTGTTTACAGTTATCAAGAGTATCGACATAGAATTAAAATACTAAAGAACGATGCCAACATCGAATAATCACAAGTTCACAGATCAATTTCACAAATTAATATAAAAAAATCTAAATAACGGAATGATCAAACTATCCAATCATTATATTAATACTTTTGAAACAGATTAATCACATCACTTTTAGAAAAATTATTTTCAATTTTATTACCTATGAGTTAATCATCTTATGATAAATAAATCGGTTTTAAATTAAACAACTATATAAACATAATTAAGATGATGAGTCAATTGGAGCTAGACCACCATGGAAAACCTGGAAGCACTGGACAGCCGTTTCGTCCTATTGTGGGACTCCTCAGCAGTGCGCATCCGCGACCCCACCTCGCAGAACGAAATGGCCCTCCAGTGCTTCCAGGTTTTCTATGGTGGTCTAGCTTCAATTGACTCATCATCTTAACTAGTGAAATTACTACAATCTCCATAAAACCCCTTCTGATACTAATATAAACATAATTGAATAATTAAACTAACTACTCACCTGTAATTGTTCTTGATCAGTAAATGGTTTAGTACGAAAGAATTTTTCTCTAACTATTTTAATTACAGCAAATTTTAAACGTTCTTTAAATGCGAAATATTTCCCAGATGTATTCAGTGAATAATATAGTTCATGTTTCCTGAATTAAAAAAGTTTGTTTGTTGTTGTTTAAATGAATTATTTAATTAAATCTTACATTTGTTCAGCGCATTCATGATCTACTGGTAATTGATCTGTTTGTATAAGATCAGAAAACATAACTCTACAAAATGAAGAAGAAAAAATATTGAACAGTGAATTTATATTATAAAGAATAAGTGTGTTAGAGATAATGAATGATACCTATTAGAAATTTATAATTCAATAAGACCATAATTGTTGTTGTATTTAACTTCAAATGGAAACCTTGTTCTATCTATTTCGCTGTAAGCAACCTAGTAGTATCAATTGCCTATACAATAAATGCATGAAACGTAAACAAACAAAAATAGATTGCATTACTTATTATTGTTATCTCTCGTCAGTCAGTCTTGAGTGCTGTTAGAGGTATGAGGGCGGCTATCACTTCCCGGTTGCCCACACCGTGGAAGGGTTCTTCTGGAGGTACCTGAAAAGGAAATCGGATTAGAAGTGGTCTTAGTGACCTGGGAGCGTGACCGCAGTGCCCAAGGGACAACTGCTTGAGGTCGGTCACACACGACTTTTTTATGGGCAATTTTTATGTTAGCTCCGTACTTGTTGAGACCTTGCCACCGGAGACGGATATCCGTGGGATAAGGTGAGGTGTGCATTTTTAGGGTCGACCTTTTCTAACCCCACCCCTCCTTGTGGGAAGGCAACATTGCTGTCATGCTGGTTGTCTGAAGGAAACACCTTACTGTTGTCACACCTCTGTACAGTCAGCAGTACGACTTCGCCTTCGGACCTTGGGTTTGTTGCATTTAGTCTCGTAAAGTTTTAAGAAACGGGTTCTATATTTAGAATTAGAAAATATTTTAATTAATATAAATCTACCAAGTAAATGATTTACATTCTGCTATAATTCATTATCAGCTTTATAAATGTTTACGTATCCTGTTTGCAATTTATAATATACATGATCAGTAGCTTCGTTCTAAACGTTTGATTTAAAATAAATAAAATCTTATGTCTTTTTGAAAAAATACGCCTAATTCATCATTATTACATCTCAGTTTGTATAAGCCTGATCATATTTATAAGCTGGATTAAATTCTATATTTATTTACAGAATACTTGATTCTCACCATAAAATGAAATTTAATACCGAGTGATGAATATACTAACACAACATCTGTAATAGAAAATCTGTTAATTACTAGACGTACTTACAATTAGACTGAGTTAATAATAGTCAAACTTGATAAAAACGACACATGGTCAATTTTACTGTGAAACTTGCTTGAATAATCTATTAAATGTTACTATGCATTATCAACGATGTATAATTCACACGAACAACATTTTCTGTAATTTATCAGATATTAGGCTTTGTTGGATGCAATTTATGAACAGTCATTCCTGTTCCAAAAAAATTTCAGCTACAGTTTCTAGGTTTGCTTATTTCTATTCTAGTCAAACTGAAGTATGACATTTAATTATCAAGTTCTCTGGTAAAATTCAGTCGAATCGACATCAAATGAATTAGCATAAATAATATACATTAACTCCAAGTTATCTATATTAATTAACTGTCATAAAATGGGAAATGATAATCAATAAAGTAAGATTTATCTACAATATTTCATTAATTATTTCTTAGAAATAGTTTCTGCTGAAATCCAACTAACAGACCAAAATATCTTTGTTTCGCTCAATCAAGGGTTTAGAAGTTATGTCACACTGAAGGTCATGTGTTCGAGTACCACGCACCGCTACAGAGTCCCATACTATAATCAAATGGCCATCCAGTGCTTCCAGATTCTCAGTGATTGTCGAACTTAAATCAGTTCATGATTTCAATAAAAGTTTCATGATGATAAGGTGTATGTTTCAATTATTTATATAACTCAAAAGAATTTCTATATATAACATTTCCCTCAACAGTGGCTTTTAAATTACATGTTCGGTTAATTATTTTCACGTTGACAAACATGTAAATGAGTTCGTATAAGTGATTAATGAAATAATACAATAAAAATGAATATGTATTCTTTTACTTGAACTCCATTAACAAATAATTAGCAACTTCTGCTATTTGCTTGTGATATTCCTTAACCGCCTATAATAATGAACAAATTAGGGTATAATTATGTTTATTAAATTCAACAGGTCAACAAACTATTATGCACAACATAATTAACATTATAGATAATTTACAATTCTTAACAAGCGAAATCCTCCTTCTAGGAGAATCCAACAGTTTACACAATATTTCGGATTTCTTGTCAAGGTATTCAGACTGACAATAAATCATCAGTTCGGCATGGCTATTTCAGTAACTTATTAAATAAGTATTTCTTAATGAAATGGTTATGTAAATTGAAAACTGTTGAATTTGTAAATTCTGTTTTTAGTGTTAACAATTAGTTCGTGATTACTTACTTTTCAGCCAAATTAGAATGAAATGAACAGGAAAACCACACTTTAGCTCAATCAAGAGCGTAAACTGTCTTCGTGTTTTTAGCAATTACAATCGTAATTTTCATACATGGAATACTCTTTCAAAGCTATGAGAAGTGAACAATATTTCGTTTATAGTTCATCCAGCCAAGTGAACAACCAATTTTTATTTACACCATTCATTTCGATCAGTGAAGTCAAACTATACTGCTAACCATAAGTGATACTAAAACTAAACTTCAGGTTTCCAAGTCACATTTTAGCTAGTGAACCGACAACTTGAATAAAACAAAAATACTTCACTAGTAAAGTTATAAATCTTAATTGATGATTGAGGTTTTTCAAATTATATACTTTCCCAATGCATATTATCCGTCTAGCCGTCTCCATATTAGTGATATTCCAGTAAAACAAATACTCATTTAAAACATGTTACGCAATAGTAGCTTTATCGACAATTACTTATTCACTTCACTGTCTTTAACAATAATCTACCTGGGAAATCGATCAAATAAAGTAATAAACAACTTATAGTTATTAATTGTGACCAATTATGACATTTGTACACCAATGAAACTAGTATCATTCAGTAAATTGTTTAAAGTTTAATTTAAACAAAGGGACAAAGTCATTAATTTACATGTTGTATTCAATTTACAGAAGAAGTACATAAGTGGTTACAATGATTTCGCTTACACATTATGTTATGCTCATACTGTCATGATTAAAAAGATTCTTTGACTAATTTTAGGAGTTCTAAGCACTACTATAAATGTATATATATCAAACAATAAACTAAAATTTGTCTGATCATTATTAGATCACTAATTTTAAGATGATTTCAAAGTAACCGTCAAATTATATGACAAATCAATAAAATTAATGTGTCTATTGAAAACTTAAACCGCTACACAAGGTTTGTGTTGAATACTTTGTTTATTTTTTTCTTAGTTTGAATCATTCGGAGACTTAAATAGAATAATCTTTTTGATTGATGTTTTCGGACTATTTAGATGTGATTTGATTCAATCATTAGTATATTTCATTGATTGGTATCATTTGTTTACTAGCATTTATTTATCGGTTTTGTTTTAACCTCTGTATTTTTAAGCTTTTGTAACTGCACTCACTGAACAGAGTCAGTTTCAATAAAATAAATTTATTTCTATCAGTATTTCAAAATAAGCTACTAAATAGACTTACCATGATTAGATCACTATATACGTAAACCGGTTGACTGTTGAATAGAATATGTATTATAATATGAAAGGCGATTAAACATTCACTATTACTGTTGCAAATAACTAAGTGTTATTTGAATCAAAGCTATTTTTTGTAACAGATGGTGTCCGAAATCTGATGCTGATGCTTTGCGTGATAGGCGCTAACCCCCCCCCCGCAGCCGACTATTTGAGCGAGAAAGCATATTGAACTACCGAAGGAAATGCACAAATATTCATATATATATATACCACTCTATCTTTAGGAAATCAACCCATTTCCCCCAATGAAATGCACTTATCCTTTACGTTACCTCCAGTTACCATCGATTGACTTTTACTACTTCTGGTTGGCTCTCCATATCACTATTGAACTATGTGCGTGATGTATATATTTATAATCTTACGATTACATGATCTCAGTTGACTTCCTTTTTCTATGACTCGGAGAAAAGTAACAACACAAGTCAGTACACAATATCTGTCCAACTCCAAACTCTAAAATGAATTATTTGTGTAATATTATTAAACTCAATAGTATTTAAGGAATAAATTAAAAACATGAATTATATAAGCTAAAAACAAGCTACTTTTTCAGCTGTGGTGTGACGTTTGACAACTGGCTGTTTTTCGGTTATATAAGTAGAAACTTTTTGGTCAATTTCTTCTAAAGTTCGTTTTTTAACCAATGGTTTTTCTAAACGAAATTCTAGCATTATAAATGATTGTGCATCTAAATATTGTTGAGCTTCAGTATTTTGTACTTGATCAGTAGGTTGTTCGTTTATGGTGTTTGGTGTTAAATTGGATTTTTGTCTTTCGATTTCACTACGTTCTCCAGTTTCCGCCTCAAGTGCACTAGCACTTCTGCCTGTGGTCTGTAAACAAGTATTTTTAATTATTAGAAAATAATCAGTGATCATTCAAAGACAGAAAAATTTGTTTAGAAAACATTTTTCATAGTCACGCACATTGTGAGCAATGTGGATTCATCTTATACAGATGGATTTGATCCATTGCATCTGATGTTGAACTATTTCTCAACTATACAACAACGAGTCATTGAAATAGATTATCAAATACGAATGGTAAGTTCTTCCAGTAGATATCACTTGTTTAGCTTAATAGGTATAATGCACCCTAATTCACAATATTATAAAATAAAATAAATAACTATACCGAGTATAGTTCTACTTAGATAGCTACATGGTAATGTCTTTGTCTAGACAACTTAATTATATAGGTCTGAATGTTGCCTAAAGTGTAAGCTACATTAAATTTCTAAACTCATTTTCTCCTAGCTGTTAACATGAACGTAATACATGCATAAATAGCTTCTTTCTGTTTGTTTGTAAATTTCTAACACTAGATTTAATTAAATATATTTATTCAGAATGGTGAATAGGATAATTAACTGATGGTTATTTTGTTTTAGCTACATCTATTTAAATGCCAAAAATTCATTCATAAAGACGTACGATCTCATCTACATTTTGTTAGACTTATTTCAGATATGATAAATGGGATGAACTACGTACTACGTTGTACCACCGTAATTAATTCGACTTTCTTATCATAACGTATACACTAAAACAATGTGTTATTCAAGCCTAAGTTAAATAAGAAAATTCCATAAATGAACAAATTGATTGATGCCTTTCATAAATGAGGCACGTAGCTAGCTAACAATCTTTCTTCAATACATCAACCGGTTCACAAAAGTTAGTTTATTTTAAGAAAATTTATGCTACGTAATGCCGTTCGCTAGAAGACCTTAACTAAGATAATTCAAATGCTCAATCTTCTGCTGCTTTGTTTGGTTTACTAGCTGATGATAGTTGAGATAACAAAATGTCGTAAACTTGAATAAATCTCTAAATCCAGCCTCAACACTGTAGTTTAACTTGTAGTTTTAATACTGGTGATGTTACTATGCACCCATGCTCATTTTGATCGTTTTTTACTTTATTCACTGATCTAATAACTGTAATACTCAAAAAAATACCAGTAGCTAATTAGTTATTAGCCGAAATTGGTTTTTATTAAAGTCATAAGTACTAGAAAACTTCAAACAAGATTACTTATTTCTAGCACCCTGTATTTGTTAGCAAATATTTTGGTAGATGCTAATTAATCTAGTTTTCCTGCCTTTTGTAATGTGAGTTATGTAGGAAAATTGAAGCAACTTAAAGAAAGTTACAGTTATACTGTATTTATGAGGAATTATAAATCTTAAACTCAATAATCTGTTTAGGAAGCACATTTTACCATATAATTTATTGACTGTTTTGGCTATATTGGACGAATTTACAGATAAATCAAAATCGTCTGCTACATAAAATGAACCGTATTACAAATATCATTTTTACAGTTTATATAACAGAACATAAAACCACACTTCTTACGGAGTTAAATTGCATTGTATATCATGTGTTCCCTAACATTGGCTTAGTAGAACATAAACGTTTGTCTAAGTGAACTTGAAACGGAGTAGACTACATTTTACTTCATAAATTTGTAAAAGAAGGTAAATCAACGAGGAAAATGTTTTTTTTCCGATGATTTCACTTACTTAAGCTGTACAATCGTATTTATGATTGATTTTAATTTCTAAAACAATGGTCTATAGTAGAGCAGAGCTGTGTTGTAATAATTGTTAAATAATAGTTATGAAAATAATTGGAAAGGAGTAGAAATAATTTTTTTAAAGAGAGGTTAGGGATGACAACAAAGGAGGTTAAAACCATGTAAGAATGAGGGACTGAACATACTGGTTTTGTACGCAAAAGTTAGGCTTGAACTGATGTATAACAATAAACTCTGTTGTACATAAGTTTTTTATTTAAATTCTGACTGCAGGCATGATTTTGAAGGGGGCTGACTTATGGTGAAGTAGGTTGATCAGAATTGACATGATGCTTCAAGATTTAGCTTCTAACTAACTTCTGTAATCCTTTGAAAAGCCAGGCAGGGTAATGTTAGAAGATGCGTTTCAAAAGAGCTCGCTTTGTGCTGCCAATATGATCTGCTCAGCATGAGCTAGTAAACCAATAGAAGTACATTGATTTGGACCAAAGTGGAAGCTTATTCTTCACACGACTAGAAAAGATAATACGAAGCTCAGTCAAATAGAATGTTTTTCTAAGAGATTTCGAAAGCCTGTTTTTTTCAAAATTTGTGCTGTGGCGTTTAACTTGAATATTCATAAATAGAGTCTTCTTTCGTGCTAGGAAAACTCTTTCACACTTGTTTTGGTTTTAGGTTTTGCCTAACGAATCTAGGTAAATAAACATTGTTGATCAGTATCCGTTGAAATTCATCTTCAATACGGATTCGTCTAGCCCTTGTACAGAGAGAATGAATCACGTTTCGCTTTTGGTTCAGTGGGACTTTGAAAATTCATGTTTTGACCATCCCATGGTGGCTTTTTATATGTCGACCTTTGCATGGATCTGTCAGATCTCCTCTTTATCAAAACATCTAATAAGTGGAATTCTGAATGTTTTTTGTCAAAAGGAAACCTGATGGTTCCCTACAAAGGTTGGTATATAGAAAGCCAACATGGAATGGTCAAAATATGGATTTTTAAAGTTGGGTCCGACTGAAGCAAACTTCATTATGGGTTCAAAAATTTATTTGCAAAATCTTACCTTAGCACCTGTGACGCTTGTTTTCCTTTCATGTTTTGGAACATTAAGCTGTGTTTTCTTTTTATCTGTCTGTACGTTTGAGGTACTTTGAACTGATACTTTATTTAAAACATCTCGAAGTAAGCTATTTTGACGTTTTGTCTGAAAATAAGTATTACAAATTAATGATAGATTGTAGCACCTTGATATCCAGTCTATTTTTAGGAATATGAAATATAAGTCCAAGAATGTTTTGTTTAGTAAATGAATCGAATTCAGACACATGAGAAGTTATTTTATTACAAACTATCTAGCCAGTCATATGCAACATAGTTCCTGACTCATGCGAACAACGGTTGACGTTGCCACACCCCGTGAGCGCAGCACAATGAAAATGTCAAGGAAAATCTCAGAGTAAGAAGGCTAATAATAGTATGAATGATAATGTAAACGATTAGACTTAGATTTAATTCGAGGAGAAAATTCGGATTGGTAATGTAAAAAATTTGCAAGGTAATTTAGAAGCTTAAGATTTTAGGGAAGACAAAATGTGAATGCACCTGCATCATTGGGACTGATTCTAGGTCATACCACTCAAAGTCTATAGCCTTTAGTTGCGATAGTGAGGCGAACCCTAACCAGGTAGCCTGCGACTGCCTACATAGGTCAGTTCAGTAGTCAGTGTCTTCGTAGACATGTTCGGGCTTGGTAGCCCTGAGCTTCCTTCCAGTCTATACCCAAACCAGTTATCATCGTGTCTTGAGGTTGTCGGTGGATGGGCATACGTAATACACATCTCAACGTCTTCGGCCGATAAAGATTCGTTTTTGAAGTTACGCTATTTACACTGAATGGGTCGACTAGAAAAATGTTAACATAGACCTGCTAACATGTTTAAAAAACTCTAAATAATGTAGAAGCCTGTCATGACGATAGTAGCTAAGTTTGGTGATTTCCAGTGTTAGATGCTTCTAAAATTTCATTATAAACACTGAGCAACAATGCTAGGATGTTTAGGACGCCTTTCTCCTCTCTAAATGCATATGGTCGCTTCAGGACTGGCCTGCGTCAACACCTGAACTAAGGATAGAGAGTGAAGTAGTCGAATGCATCGATAACTTCACTTATCTTAGAAGTCTGATCAGCCCTAATGGGTTGGCGTCTGACGGAACCTCTACACGGGTTCAGAGAGCTCGTTTAGTTTTTGCCGACTTACTTCACTTATGTCAAAGGCGAGATATCCGTCTATCAATCAAGGGACGAGTATACTGCACAGCAGTTCGCTCTGTTCTACTTCACAGCTGCAAAACGTGACCATTAAAAGTAGAAGATACTTGTAAGTAGCGTCTGAAATGGGGTGGATTGTAAAATGTAATTAAGTCACTTAAGTTCAATGTAGCTCATCACCTAACCAGTCGGCAGTCATTCTGAGTACCTTTATCACAAATTCATTTATTCCTCATTCTGACTGATTCTAACTTTTTCAAAATGTATGGAGTGTTGTCCAGTACATACACATTGACTGACACGGCATTCTACAAAAAGCACAAAATATTTACCATACTCCCATTCCATTATATTATTGTTCAGACGTTTTATCTTGAAATAATTATTTAGCATCAGACGTCATATAAAACAATCTATACATATTCCACTTTTCATAGTGCTTGAAGTATCATAATTTATCACAGCACAAGAATCTACTAAACCTATTATTTTTTCGATAAGATCACCTTACGTCTAAGGCTTCGATTCAATATATAGCTGTATTACTACTTACCTGGTCTGTAAAAACCACAAAACAAATCGTAAATAATTTGTCATTTATAATCCCTTAAACGTCTATTGTCTGCGATAAATTTTATAGATACATGCACCAAAATACCTAATGTCTGATTGTAGCACAAAGGACAATTAAAATTCTAGCCACCTAATCAATACTTAATTTATCGATTACCATGTAGTGATAAAGGAAAATACAATTGCGACTGATCGATTAGCGTGTCGAAATTAAACAAACAACACACTTTTTATGGACTTCAGTTCATTCAGAAAAGCTTCTAATGTCAAAATATTCGAAAACATTTATTGAATAGGAACTTGATAACAAACTAAATTTTCCAGAATACTATGTGTGTGCTCACTTTTTCTTCATATTCTTTCTGATTAAAAGGATATATTTTGTATGCCCCACGAACGTAATCCACTGAAAAGCGAAAAGTTTTAAAATTATTTCGACTGAATAATTATTAATATCTCCAATGGATTCTATGTCTTATATTATGAAACTCATAATTGGAAAACATTGAAAATCCAATAAGTCAACTTCAATCATTGGGCATCATCATATTATATGTGATTACATCCACTAACATGAAACCCTGCAAGTCTTATTTATTCAGATCTCCCTATTTACAATCGGTTTTTCCGGCAAGCTAAACATAAACTGTTACAATTCAACTTCTGACACCACATAACTAGAATATTTAGACCCTATCATTTATTTCAGATATTGAGTGCACATGTTCTAAAAAGGTGCGCGGAGATAAAGACTCACATTCTAAAATTACACATACAACAATTAATTAATTCAGGATACGATCATCCATGGAATAATAACGTCACAGATATAAAGCTTGGTAATAAATGAATACTTTCATTGGCGGCATTGTGATGTATTCAACTGATGCACTACGATATTTACTGTGCGATCACGATTAAAATCTTCACATGGCAGTCTGTATTACAGACTGCTGAAGGTTTAGTCCACTGAATAAAATACAAACCATAGTACTTTTTGAAACACAATTTATCATTTTTAATTTGACAAAAATTGGGCACCAACTATAGATAATTCAAAATATGAGAAAATTATATTTGAAATAATCTCAGCGATTATTGCCCTGAAGAAGTCCAGAAAAGCTTACCGGAAGAAACGTTGAGAATATTTAAATTTCAATCACTGAGATTATTTCAAACATAATTTTCACATATACTGAACCATTTATAATACTAGGGTTAAGTATGGAATTTGTGTTGATTGACTATTTCTTTGTACATTATTCTGAGCCTGATTCGAATTTTGACTGTGCCCGCGTTGATCTCCTCTACACGTAACTGTTAGAGTATGAGTTGGATAGTTCTGGAAATCACTGTTTATTATACTGGATTTTACTATTTCTGGCTATCATATTTAGACGGCATCTTTTCAAACAACTTGATGTACTTTTCTCTTAAACGTTACTTGGCAAAGACATATTGGCAGTATATTATCAGGTTACAAAATAGTGGAACTCCGAATTAATAACACAAATAAAAGTAAATTAGTTGTAATTTGTGAAAATATACATTCATATCTTACCACCTGGGTAGAGAAGCGGAGTTAAATTAACATAAGCTACACCATGATGAGTATGGGTGGGTTCATCGTCCTATATATTTAAATAAAGTCGTAATATATGAAAAGAATAAGAAACCTTTTTCTTTCTTCCAGATGAGCTGCCCTGCATGCAAAACACCTCCACTGGTAAAAATTTATAAGCTGAAATTCTTTCTTTCAGTCTAAAAGTTCATGAGTTCATTCATTTACATATCAAAACTTGCTTCAACTGTGATGTCCTGTTCAGCAAGCGCCTGTGTTGCTGATTCCAAACAACTTTATTTTTTACAGAATTAGCTGAATTTCTAAGAGTCGAATATTGTCCTATTGGAAAGTCACCATCTTCTTTTTTATTCAATGCTAGAGTAATCTCCGGAAAACTTGAAGCCATTTGGTCATTTAGAAACGATTGACTGTACCTGGTTAGCATAATATCTGCAAAACTCCGTGCACTTCCAGGGGCAGGCCATCTAAATGAAGTGCTGATGTATTCTGCATCGGATGGCGATTTCAAATATCCCTTGTTCGAAATGATTGCGTTTTCTATATTCTACTGTCATTAAAGTAAAAATTTCATAACAGACTTCACTCGAGGTAATCAATGGTAGTGCAGCAACAAAAGTATAGTGATCTTTTGTGTGGAACGTTTCGGGGACATTTTGAATTGACTCAATATTGATATAAATGATATTCAGTTGTTCATAAACTTCATCATTTAAAAGTGGTTGATCAACTGAAACTAAAATATCAACAGTTGGCTGAGATAAGAAACGAAATTCAAAAAATAATTATGTCGTACAAGATCGTCAAGAGATGTAGAAAACTGGCTGAATAATTTCAAGTTCAATTCATATTTAGTCGAATTTTTTATTAGTGGTAAGCCATCAAAAGTCGTCTGACCGCACAACTCAGTTTTGGCTTCCTTTTGTTTCTTGTCTTTTACTTTGTGTTCGTAAACAGTCACTGGCCTATCACTTATTAAAATTTATGTAACTTACACACAAAAGGCTGCGAGCACAATGAATCTAAAGACGCAACATCCATGGTGGACAACTCATACTTAAAAAGGTGGTCGATTATTAACTGATTATCACCATTCAGATCACATCTTTGAGATTCACCACAGGAGAAATCTCCATGCTCAAGCTTGACTGAATACTTGCTTCCATCACCCAACTTGACCTAAAAACAATATTATCTGTAAAATTCAAACTACGAATTTATGGATTCGTTGCAAATGTATTTGAATAGTTCGCAGACTTATTAGGCCTGAATCTTTCGTCATTTCTAGTGTTGTTTGAAAACGCTACACTTTTTCGTAACTACACATTTTGTCAAAATTATCATTTCAGTTTATACAAACACACAGAACTCATAATAAGTGTACTTTGAATATTACTGACTCATGATATGAAAATAATACTTCGATCACTTTTGATGTGCTGTAAATAAACGTTAAAATGTTAAGTTCTAGTTGATGTAAGCTATATTGAATTTTCGTTAGGTTCTTATAACATGAATTTAGTTCGGAAGTCTTTATAGCAGCTTGGAATGACGAAGTTATAGTTAAAATTATATTGATAAGCAGTAGTTCATGCAAATATAAAAAACTATGATGTACGCAAACATTCGGTTTTAAAAAACAATTCTTTCGAAAGGCAGCGTGGATGCTTCGTAGAAAATATATCGATGACTGAATATACGATTCTTTGTGTTGGTAGGGTAACATCAAGGTGACAAAACAGAACCCCGGAACTTTACGACGATCATTTGGGGCCAAAAATACTTTACCGAATGTTTTTGCTAAAACCAGGAAATCTCTTTCGACCAAAATTTGCTTATCAAATCATACAACTATTCTAAAAAATCAGAACCTAGAGACTCATCATATGAATCGAACGTGATGCGACCAAGACTCAAAAACTTCACAGTACAAAAATATTCAACCTAAAGCTTAGCAATAACAAGTCCATTTTTAAACTTAATGTCACATAAAACCACCAAGCATTATCATGCATGACAACCACAAGCATTCAGTCTAAAATTTCTGAGTGAAGTTGTCGGGCTTGGTTCTCACAACACTGGGCACTCATCATTATAGACAATATACATCCAAAGTTCTTCATCTTAAGAGAGGGTTTCTAGGAGGCTGTATGCATTCACAAACACCGATTTTACACACGCACACATGCGCCACTGAGTGCCATCACTACCACATTTGATCCATATCAGATAACGTTTCAAAAGCCGATGTTTTGATACCATTTACTGTTGTTTTGTCGTATTATAATGCCTTCATTTGTTGGTCATAATTCGACTTTGGTTAGGAAAAAACTGTGTATTGTTTGCCCGACCACAATACATAATCCAATTTGAAATAACTAGGTCTGTAGATAAAAGTTTTATGCTGTCAGTGAAGTGACAACACTATATTATCGATTAGTCTTTGCCAGTGTTTTAAATAATTAACGTGTTTATTCACTAGTTGTTTTTTGTTCCCTAGAAATGAATGTGTGATGATATGGTGCGAATGCATGACAGAGCGCCTTCAATTATAAATTGCTCAGTAGAACTAATGGAGTCAGTATCAATGTGAAAAACTTTCTTTAAACCCACGGGAAAGTTCAAGGCTGCTGGAGAACATGGAAGCTCTTAGCTATTTACTAACAATGTCGCTCTCAAAATGTTTATGGCCATATACTGAGATAACTGTTTAGTGGTTGACGATCACTAAAAATCAATAGTGGTATGAGAATTTAACGATTACTCTGATAATATGAGTTTTATCGAACACTCTGCTAAATAAAGGCACTTGATCTGGAGCTCCCACTTATTTCAACTCCCCATCAATCACAACTGGTCAGCTTTGAACTTATACTTCATGTACCTCCACATTCAATTCTCATTCACCCTCGACATTTTCATGAAATAACTTGAGTGTATACTAACAGAAGATGGTTGGTCACTAGTTTTATCTGATCCCGTTATTTCCAGAACCCCTTCAACTATTTTCCTTCCAATGAACTGGATCTAATACAAGCACTCATAAGACACATTTTAGTCACTCTTTATAATATCGGTCAGACATGCCACTTTCTTTACACCTCACTTATGAAGTAGTCCGAATGTCAAGGCATAAGATCATAAGGATCAAACGGTCATCCCCAATGCAACTTCTGTACACAAAAATCATCAGAATAGAGATTGATAACATTACTTGTATAAACTCACGAATAATGCCGGTTATATGGACAATAACTTTTGTCTAAACCATCAGTAAAAAACTTGGCCTATATCATGGTACTGTTCACTGATAAATGACAGAGTTTCATTAATAGACTGGTTTGATCTGAGGTAATTATAGATCTCGACAAAAAAATGACATATTATGTCGCTTCGTCACGAGTTCAATTACCCATAAAAGTAATCTTGACTACTGATTTCCTTCTTCCATTCAGACTCCATCTGTAAACAAAACTGACGTTGTTCTGAGGAAGCATGAATTAGCACCTGGTAAATAAATATACATGTCTTACCGAGATGGTCTTTCTCTCAAGGTATTCATCATCAATTGTAGAGTACTCTAAAAACGTCTTTTATATTTAGGTCACGCTTTCGATGCCTGACAGTGTCAAATATTGGATTTTCAGACCGCAAGAATATATGCTTCAAAGGTTTCACAAGTGATAATTCAGAAATCTGCCCTATATATTTTATCCGTTCATAACAGATCATGTACTACTCATAAATTTGAACGAATTCTTTCCATTATCTCTGAACAATTTATGTGCAACCTAAAAATCAACGGTTACTAGCCAGTATAAAGATATCTGAGAAACCTGTTCAGAAAAATGATATCAGCTTCACAATGAGGTGCTTTTATCTTGAGTCAACAATAGTATTAGAAAAAACGGACCCACACTGGAACGATAACCAAGTTTGATATGAATTCCGATGATACATTATCTTAACTTTGAAAACCACGAATATTCTACATTGTTGGAATAAGTGTTGTCTTCTCTCGGTTTTTAGCTACGAATATCTTTGTGAAATATGATATGACTACTGCAACTTTCTACACAATCTTGAATTAGTACAACCATTTTGATTTACTTCCTTTTCAGTTATATATCACAAGACCCGTCTTCAAAGTTTAAGTTCGTAACTATTTATATCTACATATTTTTAGTCTACGAATTGCTATCAGTTTGTCTATTTTTACAGGTATAAGTCAACTTCCAGTTTGTGAACATCATTTCGAAGCAACTTCAACCACTATCAGCCATACGTAATCAAAGGTTAATATTTGATCATTGTCTGATTTACCACAGAATTACCTGCTGGAAGTTTTCGGAAACAAAGGGAAAATGAAGAATATGTACATCTGCGATGCTATAGCCGATTTTGGGTTACGCCGTAAAATATCGCACTCGCAGTGGACCGAACCAAGAAGTCCCCACACCGCTCACTGACAGGCAACTCGGAAAGCCAGTTGTCTTCTGATTTACTACTACGTCCGGTAACCTCACATAACGAAGACCTATTACCCCGCCGACCAGCCTCACGTCTTTACTCAATACCCTACTTCATAACATATAACCCAACCCCAGAAAACGGAATGTCGCCTATTCCGAATGGCTAAGCCTCACGTGCACAAAACAGAGTAAAACGATCTGCTCCATTGTACTCTTATCCTGTATGGCTCACGCGTACACAACATACTTCAGACAGATTGATTATACTAGCCAAAATGGCACATTTGTTCAGGTACGAAAACAGACGAATATAAGTCTACTAAGCCTGTGACTTAAACATGACATAACACTAAAGACCTAAATCTTCGTCTGAATTACTGGACACCAAACGGATTATAACTAATTGAATACGCCACCGACTGGGCGGGAGTGGATCATGGAACTGATACATCACTGTGGCTGTATAGCGATTCTAAACACTAATTGTTCTGAATATAAACAGCCGCCAAGAAATAAATCAGAAGTTACTTATATACTGGGGAGTAAAAAAAGCGTTAAAGAACGCTTGGGAATTGAATCGACGAAGAATAAGAACATTAGATAAATTATCATAGATCAATTAATTGAAAAATATTTTACAGTAGCTAGTAAAATTAAATTTCGAAATTGCAATCTACAGAATGGCAATGTTTCTCAATGATAATACTGATCTTGATAAATTTTTAAGCAAAAATGTACATGAACGGAAGATAATAATCCACTCTGTAAATAGAAATCAAAGTAACCCGACTTCAAAATCAATTGACAAATGTATTAAGATAATCACACCGAAACATTATCACAGACCAGGGAATGCATAATCCAGAAACTTCAATGCAACTTCGTAACCGAGAAAGCATGCCTGAAAAGGTAGAAATCGCGACAAATTGAGATATAATAACTTAGAGCTCACAGAACAGAATAAGTAAAACAAAATATCACATTTACAACTGTTTGTAGTTATAAACTGAATTTTTCAATAATCTCATTTTTAGTAGTATTGATTGAATGTGCAAATCATACCAATCTAAGCACACTTATTTCAAATAGAAGGATTGGGGCTAGTAGTTGAGGCTTAGACGCGTATTTTGTTCTATTCGGTACTAGTCAGCTGGATGTTATATTATGAAAATATAATAAACAAAACGCCTTGGGATGAACTGTTCAGAAACAAATCTGAGGCATCTACATACTTCAAAAATGAACTTACACATGATATTTGTTGTTCAGAGTTTCCCCATCAACTAGACTATTGTCGTGCTTATGTAAAATGACACAACAATTGATCGGTGTTAGAGCTATAAACAACCGATGTGTCAGCATCAAGATTATTTTGACTAGCAATGAGAAAATATCTCGAGATACAAGAAAGTGACTAGTGAAGAGCGACAATATTTTCCATTTGTACACTTGAAAACTTGTTTTATCTTAGTCTTTTGATGAAAGTAGCGTAAATAGAACAAAATCAATGCACTTTCCAGATACGGATATAGCCGATGATCGTTGGGAAGTAAATGATGTAAATTCTTTTCTGGATTTCGCCATTTATAGAAGCGATCCTCAACTAGTGATAAATAACTATTAAATGAAGTTCCAATTTATATTTTTAACAGGTCATAGCGAGTACAGTTCGAGTTCCAGAAAACTTGTCTGTTTACATCTTAGTGGTAGAAGAGATGATATATGAGAATCCAAACGACACCAAATAATTATCACTTTTAAAGGTAAAATATAAACCACTTATAAAAACAAGATATTACGTTTCAGTTGATAATACAATCAAAGCTTACAGCATTTGCAGGAAATGCTCGAAGCATCACCGGAGTCATACCCCGATACAATCCCAAAAAGCCTTCTTTTGCAATAAGTTCAGAGAATACCGACCGAATTCCATTGGGATAAACACCCTCAGAAGCTACATTTAAGATATAAGAAAATTTAAATTCAGAAAACTCCATTATGGGATCATTCCACTAGAGCTTTAACTAAAAGAAACCATTACGCCATCTAAGCTTTTATAGTTAAAAACATCAAAGTGCGGTACTTTTTATGCAATATTAGAGATATCAAAAGCGAACATTTTTTGTCTAATATAGGCAAGAATATATCACCATCCAAAACCTATAAGTACTGAGAGTTTATCTTGTGGATAGATTTTATAGACTGAGGTAATTTAAAACAACACTGAACATTCTTTCTGATACGAATAAGAATTATGTCTAATAAATTAACTATTAATATCACTTACATGTCAACGACCTATCCTGTTATCCGCTAAATGTCATTTAATCATGTTTATTTCGCGTTAACATTTCGTTTTATTACAAATGATGACTTCCTGGAGACTTAAGATACTTTTTACGATAACAATTTATTTAGAGCTTGTATCAGTAATTCAGTCACATGAGGAGCTATTAGTGGTTGTGCTAGAGATGAAGTAGATAAATTTATCCACATCGGCCAGGTTGTTTATTAAAAACTATCACAAAACAAATGGAGTAGATAAAAAAACTAATTACACATACATAAAACTGATAATCATTGCCATTTCCACTTTTCGGTCGCCTACATTTGATGTTATATTGTCATTTGATACGATTACGATTGTAATCAGCTGAAGGTAATCTACCAAATAAAATGAACCCATATTATCCACTATTCTTATTTTATTTAAGTTGATCAAGTGAAATAACTTTATGAAAGTATTAAATAAAGGATTTTTTTAACTACATCTAGCAAAAACTATTCCAACTTATTTAGATGCGGAGCGATGGCTTAGTGGTCAAGGAGTTCGACTTTCGGCTACTAAGTCTCATGTTCAAACCCTACTTCAGATTGGGTAATTAACTAAATAGAATCATTAGGTTTCACACCTAGTGTACCTCACCAAATACCTAGTGAATGAAGTAACTTTAATACGTCAAATTTCAGAACTCATTTCAATGTAAACGAAAAATTATAAAGAATCTAGTTAGAACATTAAAAACAAATCAAGGACGTGTCAAATTATGGTAGAACTAGTAAAGTACACACAACAGATGTTCAGTAAAACACCTTCATGATAATTCTGACTAACTTCTTCAAAGTAAACACGTCCTCAAAAATTACCTAATTGTTAACAACCCGTTATATCCTTAAAGAATTATAAATCCACGTTTGTATATTTAAAAATAATTCGGTTCACATTATCCTTACAACTAAAATTGTTAAGAACACATTTAAACATCAAGAATCAACTGAGATTAGCGTATACAATTGAAATGAAAACCTATAAACATAAGGATCTAAACAATATACGCCTGCATCATATACACATGTTCATGGTCATAACTCTTATCGATATTTGAAAAAAATCAAATCCAATAAATATTATATAAATAACAATATTATTTAACTACGAGGAATGTATTAGATATTTCAGTGTTGGTCATAGGAAAACAAAGACTACAAACAGATTAACAACTAAGATCATGTGAAATATAAATAAGGTGATCATTAGATTATGATAAAAATCATGTTTACAGGTATAGAAAACCGAACAAAATTTACTAATTAAAAAATCACCTACTGTAATCTTGCAAAATAATCTGAATCTGTAAATCTCAAAATAAAACGTACCACTCTGTAGACGAGATTTTAAAACATCGGGAGGAATAGCTACTAGCCAGTTGAAGATACCTGCCATACCACCGGCAAAGAGAGTTTTACCAACACTCAATTCATTATTCCTGGTAAACGATAAATAGAAAAGGAAACTAACTTTCGATTGAGACGAAATAAGAATAATCGAGATGATTTGCAGAAAAAAACTTGCATCTGCTCCATTGAGACTCACTTTGAACGTACTTTTCGCCTTTAACCCCTTACTTTTTTACCCACAAGACCTTATTCAGGAAACACTTATTTCAGACCGACTCAAATAAAGAATCACTTTATGAACTGCTGGGGACAAGACTGATCTTCTAATGAGCAACCATATATCTCACATATTATGATTAGCCTAAATTGGAGAAACTCAAACAAGACTTCATCAATACTGTGGACAGTGGGTATCCGCGGTAAACACCAGTTGTTATCAGATGACGAAGCAATCTGTAGGATGAACACTATATAGGATTGTTAAGATAAATGTACCCAGAAGAAAATATCTCACTGATATGACAAGTAACATTCAATCCTGATAACCAAGTATTAATTTCATCACGGAGTGATTAAACTTACAAATCATTTCTTTCAATAGATCATTTGCTACATAACATATTCACTATTGCTTCAAACATTTTGTATGTGTTAGTTTTACCAAAAAACAAGCTTTAGCAATCCATAAAACATGAATAACTGAGGTATTCATCAAACAATCACAGATTATAGCATGTGACAAATACTCAAACAAAAGATAGAGATATCTTGAATCAAAAGCCGAAATTGGGGTTGCATAATCTTCCTGATGATAGTATAACTATGATTATATGATTAAAATGGACTGCCACTCTTGTGATACTGAGTAAAGGTGTATTTAGTAGTTGTCATTAGGTTATCAAGGATGTCTTCATAGCAGCAGTTTATCAAACAGGAACAATCGCGATGTGGGTTCACCATTATCAACCCTTCATATAATGAATCAACTCGGATTAGTAGATAAATCATTTAGATCTAGTTTATGAAAGTAGATTTCGCCGTTAAAAATGGTGAACAGCTTATCGATAACTAGTGGTGGTTCAGTTAGAGTATCACATTTAATCCAGTAGAGAAATCTGCATTAGTCCAGAGCTTGCTGTTATACATCTTTATGAAGACTATAGAAGCTACCCAGGAACAGAGAAAATGACGTTAAAATACTCGGGTTTTGGGGTTTGTCCCTATGTTTGGATTGCAACTAATTTGAGGACATGGACCTCCCCTTACAATCTGAGGTATCAATTCTGTTAGTGACTCATTAAATATCAGATTTAAATTGACAGCTCTGAATGTCCCCTAACCACGGGAACATCCAGCAAATACCTGTACCACATGTTGTCAACCTTTTCCACTCTATGTTTTAATATTTAACACTCGGTATTTCTGATGCATCTACACAATGCTACTTACCTATCTTCTCGAGAAGGAATAATCAGAGGAACTGCTTAAGATAGTATCAAAACAGTAATTGAAAATTTAAAGACGCTCTATGAATTTGAACCTCTCCCAATACAGTATCTTGCACAAACTTTCAGAGGACCGAAAAAGTTAACACATACTTCCAAAACACTGACTCCTGCGGAGAAACGCTGTGGGGAAATCGCGAAACGAGCCAGCAGAAGTCGTCACAGTATGAAATATGGCAGAGTTTATCAACCGGTTATAAAACCTTGTTAGCCGCTTTTGGTTTTAAATCAATAAAATCTCTATACTTTGAAAATCGACTGCAGTTCTGAGTAATAATTTTATGGGTATTTTTAATAAATAGTACTGATTACTGAAAAGTTTGATTATGCAGACACTATCCCGCATAGTGAATAATCACCCGATCGCAGGTGAAGTCCAAGTCACTTTAATAGAAGAAAAACCTACTTCACTGCCTAGTTGAACTGGCCTTTGATGTCAATTCATTTGTGTCTCGTATAATTGCACATCGTTTATCGACCGATATTTTTTGTATTTATTTTAACAAAGTCCATTACAATGCACCTAAAATCAGCCTCCTTATCAGTAACCCAACCTACTAAACTTACAGAATTGTTTGACAAAGTTACAGGTAGAATATAATGAAAAAGTAATTTATCTTACTCGAAAATGATATCAAAATGGATATGTAATCCCCAAAACATCTACGACGGAAAGCTGAGAAAGTCCAATCTTACACGAAATGCTCTCATAAGCCTGTGAATTCATAGTCTACCCCAGAAAATGACAGCATTTTCAAGAAAGTGACAGTGGAAATGAACCTCCAGCCTAAATCCAGTGGACGGATAAGGAGTCTGTTTAAGTAACCTAGAAAATCTTGAGCAGTTAATTTGTTACACAATATAACGCATATTTTCGTTGGATTCTATTTAACACATGATGACTTATTAGATAGTCATATTTATTTATACACATAAATATTGGCACAAGGAGGCACCAAATACATATGTACCACACAAATCATTCGATTTGTGTGACAGCTGGAATACTATCCTGACTGAGGTAGTCATAAAAATAGTGCAAAATCAACAGCTTGGTACGTCAAAATCCAAGAAGCCATTAGAGACCACACTGTATTTACTTTTGGGGAGAATGATATCTATTTTGAGTGTTTTTACTTGGATATACTCCATTATCTTGATTCTGGTTTTGATAGGATGATTTTTTGTGCCACCGTTTTTGACTCATCATGATGAGAATTTTTTGTATTATACATAAGAGTGAAATAAAACTTACGTAACACTAAGTTGCAACACAGTAATTAGAAATTTACTTCATGAACTATGTTAAAGTTCAGTAAAAAGTTAGTTAGTAACATATAATTGAATGAACACACAAATACTCAGATGAACATTTTAAGGACATATTTTTACACCAAAAATCACATCCGATATGAACTTACAAATTTTAAAAACTCTAATCTACAACAAAAGCACTCACTTTGAGTGTGGATTCCTTAATGCATCTTTCATTAATTCATAACTCAGAAAATACACTCCAGATGCAGGGACATCTAACAAAAGTGTAAAATGAATAATAGTTATTTTAATTAGTCAGCATGATAATTAAAGTAAATATGATGAAGCAACCCGTAGAAATGTCTTGTACGGTTATATGGGAAGTAGCTGACTATGATTTTAATCTGATATATTTATTTTTAACCAAATATCAACTCGACTGAGAAAGCAAACATCAGAAAGATTAATGTAAAAAATATCACGTTCGATTCGTTACTGATATCCAAAATACATTAATGTAACATTCATGAGAGTACAAATGAATAGCGTATTACCTATTTATAAGTGCCAGCCCCTGATTTTTTACATATATTTGTAATAAATTGAATTTTTTATTTTAAAAAAAACTAATGTACGTTAATCGAAAAAATGGCATAGTATGTCTGAACTAATTTAAAAAGTTGACTTCATTTCATAAAAACTTGTATAAATATAAACAACGTTTTTGATTTTGTTGACTAAATAATTTACGCAAAGGTAGACGAACTTGTAAACTTTTACAGTAAATTAATTATAACAAGGATACCAATGAAAAATTTATTATCCGTTTTTTGTCAAATATAAGAAATTTAAATAATGATCGGTTACTGATAAGTGACTTATGTCAATATTCGTCTAAGTCATCAATGATGAATAACTATTAATCAACAGGTTGCAATGTGCTTTATGACAGATGGAATTACAAACCACATAGATAATAACGAAGATAACTTCCAAAAAAATAAGTAACAAATAGAAGTGCTCCAAATAATGAAAATAACCGAAACATAAAGACTGATCGAAGACCAAGTGATTTCAATATAGAGTTGTAAGGTTTTGTAAATTCATTAAATCTTATTAGGTTAACCAGAGGTTGGTAGGTGCAAACTACTTGGTTGGGATTCGCGTGACTGTCATAACCAATGGTTGGAGACTCTGGGTGACATGGCTCAGAATCGATCACAGTGGCGTAGGTGTATACACTCTCTGTTTTTCCTTAAACTAAGAGATTAAAATCGCTTCATATATTTCTTTCGACGAACTAATTCTTTCTTCCTGTACTATATCCTTATTGTAATCTTTCTTTTATATATTACCACCTCTGAGTTAACTACTTTTATGAATCCGGTGTCCATCTTGTTGTGTTAACGAGATATGGCAACTTGGACCGATGCATATATGTGCCTGGTCCTATGTTGTACCTGACTGAGTGAACCAGAGGTTTAGTGCACAATAGAGGGGGTGCAAAATTTGTTATTTTCAATATTTTAAAATACACTTTCCCTAATGTGGAAAATATTAATTGTAGAACCTGAAGAGAATTTATCGAAAAGAATATTCTTCATTCAAATACTAGTTTTTTAATATGACGGGGATCTTTAAACGATAAAAATATTAAAACCAAAAATGAGTTATGGTTATCAAGACTGGCCACTGCCGATATATATGTAATATTTACGGTCACGGGACATAACTTATGACAGCTTGCTTTCTATATTCTAGGGAAATTTTAACTCTGATTTTATTGGGGGACTATATGAATATACAGTTAAGTGACCATACCTCGCAGAAGTGTTGCAGCTGTTCCCTTGAAAATGCTTCGAATCCCACCTTCGCGATACAACTGACGAAGAACATCAACCGGTCCACTATACTTCAAAGGTCCAATTGCATTCGACTGAACCTAAAAATTATTCAAAATAATATGAAATAACTCCCCAGAGTAACTTTTCGAGTCGAAAAGATACCGTAATTCAAAATCTACTGAGATGAAGTAATCATCAGGAGAACTAGTAAATACATAGCTATAGATTTTAAGTATTTGAATAACTAACTACCTCGGAACAGAAAAAAGGGGTTACATTGACAAAAAAATGATCTCATACTTAGCAGACGAGCAACTAATGACATTACGGATCTATGTAATTTCTTCGCCTTACCGAGCTAGGGTTTTATTGGCCAGAAGATACTCAAATGTAAGAATATGTAACCAAGTAAATAGCATATTCAAAGGCAACCAAAACACTGAAAACTGTTGCTGACCAAACTATTCTTGAGTACTTTTTGATTTTAGTAGTCCAAACCACTGAACAGGCAATCTTTAAGAATAGATGAGAAACACAAAGGTAAACATTGACAAAGGGATTTCTGATTTATGGGCTATTATCGGTGTAGAGCTAGGTGATACGCATTGTAATGCGTATTTCACAGCCCCAGAACTAGAATATTTTCTTAACTTTCATCCATTTTTACAAAGCCTAACTGATGGTTAACAAAAGGCTGTGTAGTTAAATTTTAACTTAACATTTTACAAACCAGCCTTTTCAAAATTGAAAGATGCAACTAGGAATGTGGAGCTCTACCAGGAAATGAGGAAGCAACTCAGGCTACATAGTTCTGTATGCAAGGAGTTTTTCGAAAATAGAACAAACTCCCCTAACATATTTTACGTAACATCTAAAATGTGTCGCCCAAAAACTATTTGAACATGATAGTCAACCAGAGCCCTATTTCATACGGTAATTTATTCAACCACTTTTGAGGGTGAAAAAATAAACAGAAACACAAATTCGGCTTTATCATTTGTGTGAAATTATATTTAGTATACGTGACTACGTGCACAGGATGCTGTGAAGTCATAAATAAACACAAATAGCTGGGATAACACAGTTATACCAAAGTCTTACTTGTAATAGGCATTTTATACGCTCTCCCGGAGCCAAGATTGCAGTTGAAAAAATGCCAGAGAACATTCCCGCAAACAAAATTTCATGTTTCCTACAATAATGTAATCACGTGAAAAATCGTATGTACCTTAAATCCATTGGATCCTTGGCAAAAAGCTGCTTACCTAAATTGTACCCAAAAAAGCAAATGGCGAATACAGGAGCCACTCCGGCTAAGGGTGCCCCCATCCCCTTATAAAGTCCAAAGATACCATCAGCCGCTACAGTTTTCTTTACACAGTCAAAAGTCCCATAATACAAAGGCGCTGTTCCTGATGTTACGTGAGGCATTGTTTGAAGTCGAACCTAAGAAAACAACTTGATAACTTACAGGCAGAATAGCATCTATAGGATTTCTACTAATCATGAATTCCTATACAAAATCATATTTTAAATAGGTTTGCTCGAATGAACATTATGACTGATTATGGTAATATACTTCGCCGAGATTAAAAAACCGCCGGAAAACAGGTGGTGGAAAGTTAGCGAAATATAGGAAACAATATGAAATCAAATAACAAACAGAACACCATCAGCTAGACAGAATACTCAGGTTACGCGATCCGGTTAATTGTCAGTAATTTGGATATTTTAACGTAAAAAGGAAGAGAAAACTTTTAAACGGTCTAAGCTTGATGTCAAAGCCTCTGAAATAACGAATCACCCCAGAGCCTATAATCTAGATGTCATAGGACAATCTTATAAAGAACGCAACTGGCACGACTAAGAATCTATTCATATTATAAGCATTTTTTAGAACTATACTAAGCATAAGAATTCCTCTTGTATGTACGATATCTTTAACAAATATACTGGTATTTTAAAAATACGAATTTTTACGCTGCGACGAGTAAATTTAATAGACTGTAAAGCGTTAGTGTAAATGAATCAAACTACTGTGGTCGCATTATGATTTAGGAAAGTTAAAATCAATGAGCACTACCTAGGAATGCTCCACATAAAATTATACCACAGACCATCGAACGCGAAAGTAATGGTTACCTGAGTACTGAGAAGTGATAGGACATATGATTAACAAGAACTATGGTAGGTAAAACAGGTATAGAAATGAAACCACGACTATCACAAGCTGTGAAAAAATGCGTTTGCAGGAGTGAGGTGGAAATAAATATTTAGTAATCTGAGTATTAGATATACTTTTCAAATAATACCTATCTCTGACTACTAAATAAATAATAGGACTGATACAAATGTACTACGAGCCATACATCCGTTTTTAAAAAGACAGAAATGCTATATCTGTAATAATTTTAGCTAACATGGGGACGACAAAACTAATGTGTATATCGATCAAATTAGAACTACGGGGAAGACAGACTCTCAATTACAATTAGTAAAGCAAACCTTTATTGTGTCGAAAGGGTGACCAATTGCAATGCAACATGCTCCACCGAACCCACCAGCTAAAAAGCTTTTAACCGGGCTAATAACCTGAACTCTAGATTCAGACATCAATTAACGTGAGTAGACCGGAATTCAGACCTCATGTCTAAGGTCAAGTATGCTGTATCCGGGCGAATCAAACAAAAGGTGCAATCCTCAATATTTGTCTAACAGGTATGATAAAAGTAATTTTCGTTCCCAGATCGAAAGCAGAAATGCAGTGTTAATATTCTGCATACTAATTTAGTTTTACCTATGAAATAGCGACTGAATATTATTGGTTTTCAGATTCCATTTTAAAGATCAGCAAGTGTGTCAGACTCTTAGACGGTATATTTGACAATGAAAATAGTAAAACTAACACTGATTAATAATTCGATGTCTCTTAAAAATACCTCCAGAAGTTTGGCGATCACTGAAAACATTAAATGCAGTTACCTTACTTTGCCTAAGCTTTGAAGGCTGACAAGTGTACTAATACATACCAAGACCCTAATCATGCGTTGGTGAGATCGACCAAATAAATCTGACCCTTTAACAGCCCCTTTATCCACTCAAAACTTCATCGATTGATTTTCGGCTTTTTATTCTACTGGTCTGTGCATTGATGCTCACGAATATTATTTATTGTTTGAATAGTCGGTTTACTAATCCGAACGATACTAATAGCTGGTCAATTATAGTCATGAATAGGTATTATGGTTCATTAAGTACTTTTAGTGACATTTACATGCTTCAGTGGAACGGGTTTGTTAAAACACCAACCACTAGTAAATACGTCGCTTACTCAACGTAAACACACAGGCTGGCAGTCAATGTAAACAAGCATTGAATAGTTATCCAGATCTAATCATTCACCTTGTTCCTTCACTGATTATTTTATTTTGTTTTAAACCATGAATCATCCCGTGAGATCGTTGTTCGATCAGTGCCTTCCTGATTTCCACGTACTTTTCCGGACTCTATTTACAGTAAATCAACAGCAACCTTTTTCGAAGTTCCATATTATCCTCGTCATGTTCCTGACTGCGGTTCCCCAACTCGTGCCTCGAATATTTTATTTTGTTTCCAGTCTTTTTCAATTGTCGTATCCTATGATAACTTACACGTTAACCTAGATTACATACGCGTTAAATCATAATATCTTAATATCCCTTGAATTTGACTATAATTTTAACCGCCCCTAACGTTTTCCACTACACCCGCGAGGTATTTGTCTCGCTATGTATTCAGGTTCGAGCTCGTCCGTGACATTATTAATCTAGCAAGACGTTTCGCATAGTTAAAACCATGGGCGAAAACAAAGTCATCGCATTAATATATCGTACTGCACTGGTGGAAATATATTACTACATATTATATGTTATAATGTATTAACTTAACTGTAGTATATTTGTCTGTTATACAAGTACTCAAAATAGAAACCCTGGAGTCCACCTTTACGGCTGGTAAGGAGTTAAAGAATAGTTCTACTTTATGGTTTGTACTGTAACCTGGCAATACAGATTTCTTAATGTTGCACAAACCACTTTAAACGTCTAACACTTCTGAGCACTTAAAATTTGACTTATTTTGAAATGTACAAAGTACTAGCATCTTAAACGACATCTATTTTGCACTAGCTAATACCCTTTCAACACCATAACTAGTTATCCATAATAATTTGTGGATATCGTCATAGAACAATGTCAAGACATAACAATCATGTTATATGAGTGACAAATTTGATGAAATTATTAATGCTAACACAGTCGATAAGTTGTATGACAATTTTCAATGAAAAATACTGTTTTCTCGTGGTTATCGTTATCTAACACAGATGATTTCTGTATGTTTTTCTACCAGTTGCTCATCTAATAACCATTCTGGAAACTTGTCAGTCTAAATAGAAGTCTAGCGACACACTCACTCGTGCAAATCATCAGTGTAAATGGTCGACCAAGTCTCCTGGAAACTGAAAACGCTGCCGTTGAATTGATCTTAACACTGAAAAATGTCCATGCTATTATCGTAAACAGAAGTTGGAAGCTATACTTGCCTTGATTACAGCGTATGCTCTCCCTCATAATCACACAAACAGCACTCGCTGTATAATATCCTTTAAAATATTATTTGGCTGAAAATATAGTTCAGTACCATGACACCTACAAGTTTGACTCATAAAAACTACCGATTCCAACAACTCATAGTCACTCAAGCTAAAATAAGTTGACTTCCATCTTATACAGAACTTGACACTTGCAGCTGTCAAGTATACCTTACCAATCTGCAGGTAAAATCGTGAATAATTGGTTTATTCCACATCTGAATTTTACGTCTCGAACACATCTTTCGCAGATGTACTCAATTAAGCATAACTTTGATTACTGTCACACATTGAAAGAATTTCTGACGACAGCAGTGGAGTTGAAAATTATCACGGTTAAGCAATAACGAAGACGAGAAAATCTCTCCGAAAACAAATGAACTATAACGAAGCTAAAAAATTAACTGGAACGCCAGTTGGGATCTCTTTCTCTTCACGATCACAATTCTGTTTTCTTAGTTAGTCTACTAACACAGACGTCATTGGAAATAAACACATACAGACAGTATGCCAGGATGAACACCAACTGACAATCAACTTTAAATTAAAGATAGTGCTATTAAAGTTTTTTACCTTGTTGATTTTTTCACTTGATTAGTAATGATCTTAGCACCAAATACTTACACTGTTCCTATGCTGAGCACTTGACCACTGGTTACTGTTATACATTTTGATGTAATTTGTTAGAGTATCTTACCAGTGAATCATTCTACATTATCGCCGTTCTAATTTGTACAATTCTTGAATATTTCCTGCGTATATTTTCACTTTGCAACTACTGGGAATAAAACAAAACATTTTAAGGTTATGACATGCTTTCCGACCACTAGTCGCTTCCGTGATGTTAATCTGTCATACACCTTGTCAATACCTGAAAAAGTTTTATTATTCAGCTGGTCACCTCTGGCGCATTATAATCATATTTGGTTTCGTATCAGGCTAACGTCACGTTGATTTTAGTGGGAGGTTAGAACAGTGGTATTGTTTCCTAATCACACGATCGTTGGATCCGAAATTACCATAACCGGGAAGACCTACATTAAACACTGAGGATAAGAAGAAAGTCAAATGTACTGAATTCGAAAGGATGGAACCTGAACGGCATGGTTCAATTATGCAGGTGTGGCCATGCTATTTAGCTTCATGTGTGACGTTGAATATCTTACTCTGTCCGTTTCAAAAATGTGTTCTCCGAATTCAATAGCTACGGACTCTGACTGTCACGATAGGACGAGTCGGCATGAACTTGTGTATAACTGCATTTCTGAAGGAACACAAATTGTTTGTTCACTTCATTTGAGTACCGAAAAGCTGTTTGTAAATAATAATACTGAAAATATAGATGTGATTTCCACATAAACTCTGGTAGATTAAATCATCGCATCATCTCTTGTCCACGACTTTAAGTGAGGATTGTCATTCCACTGACATCCACTTGAATCTCAATCTTACATTGGTGAACACGACTAAAGGAACACAACGTGAAAAGTACACTAATATTGACCTACGAATTAATCATATACACCAAACGTCTTTATGGTACTTCTTAACATTCAACAATTATCTCAGCTTAACCAGTTTTATATTTTACAATACAAGCGTTGATCCCAGAAGCTTATCAGCGACTTTTAATAGCTTCATGGGACAATATTCTGCTATATGTGTTGTTTTCAAGCAACATATTTTAGATACCTCATTATTTTAACACTACCTAGTTGTTAGAATTGCCTTTGCTTTACCTAGCTGCAACTTATCCAATTCGACTACAAATTCGCATCTGTATTTGCTGGCACACACCAATTCGCCTCTTTGCCCCGATTCGCTCGATAAAATTGTAACTTTGTTATATGTGCTATCTGTTAACAAACTTTGGTTACCGCTTCTTATCGCCTTCTGATATCAAACACCGTTGCAGTTTATATAATAACGATTATCAAGATGATTGATTGGCGAAGTACAGCCTCAATGACATGTCCATGCCATCGAAGTCGGCGTTTCAAGATATTGACGCGGATTAAATTATCGCCACTGCTCCCGAACAGACGATACGGAACCTCTACATTACTAACATGGTGTTGCCACCGGGTGTCAGTAAACCTTCGGAGACAACAATGATCGAACATGGAGAGTTGTTTAACATCCTCTACTCGGTGAGGCCAGGTTTCACAGACACAGAGCGAAGCTGCTCTCACCAATATATTGCAGATCCAACCTTTTACAGCCAGAGTAACACCACGAAGGCGCGAAAGATGGCGAAGATTGGCGTAAACCACTCTGGCTTTCACTATGTGTGAATTGATCCCATTGCTTACACAACCACCAGCACTTATACAGCTATTTTCATCTGCTCACTATCAAGAGTGCAAGTTCGGGGTTCCGTCAGTTTTGTAAAAGTTCTTTGCACTTGAAAGGTAGAAAGCATATGCCATACCTTCGGACACTGATTGCCAACTGGATAAGTGCAGGTTGCATGTCTTGTGTATCGTCACACGGCAAAACAATACCAAAAGTCTTTCTCCAGGCAAAAGATCTACACCACTATTACCTACATCCATCAGAGCTATTTCCAGCACGTCACTGATGGCAGAGTACAAGAGCGATGGTGGAATTAGGCGACCCAAATTAACCCCACTTCTCGAATGAAACAATGAAGGGTAACGGTTTAATGCCCTCGCTCTACCTGAGATGCTCGTATACAGGGCTCTCAAGATATTAATAAAGTTCTCAGGCAACCATCCTTCGGTTGACGATCCCAGAGAACAGTCATGTCGAACGAGTCGAAGGCGTCCCAAATGTCAAGAAACACTGCGAATGTCGGTCTGCGATAAGTCTGTAAGTGTCCCAACATTCAAACTCCGCCTGGAGTCCCTCCGGGGGCTACTGCCGGTCCCAAGCCCGGATAAAGGAGGAGGGTTGGGCATGGGGTTAGCGTCCCCATCCCGTAGAAGACTAACTCGCTAAAAAAACGCTAACCAGAAAAAATTATTCAAACCTTTTAAACTCTGCCCTGGGAGTCAGAAGATCTTCATTTAGAAGAATTATGACGCCTCATGATG